ACGTTCTACTTCCAACCGGGTCCTGGTGACGACAGTTGACCCGTCTTCGTAGCCGTCTGGTACACGCCGTGATCATCGTAAAATTCGTTCCCGTACTCCGGTGCCAAACGCATTACGACGTAATAACGTTCCGCCAAACAGAAACCGACGTGAGCCGCGCACTTAGTGATCGTTAATGGGTCTCGGTTAGCCAACGTAACGGTTCTGGAATTCTCGGTTCTGGAACTCTACTGCTGTTTTGCATTTCGACAAACATTTTATAAATATTATACATAATATTTCCGTTTCGCAATTGTGTTTATATGAATCGGATTGTGTGTTTCGGTGGGCGGATACTATACAGCTATAACGACACGGTTTTTGTTGGTTGGTAACGAAAATAATATTAGCCGTTGTTTTTTTATTCTGGCTACGTCGCGCCGCCGTTTCGATCTGTAATTGTTATTTGCAGTGGCGTGCCCGAAAATTTTCAATAGGAGGGGATGTAGCAAAAAAAAAAAAAAATAAAACAATTTCTAATCAATTCTCTTCGCCACTCGACTATGGGAATTGATAATTTAAAAGCCGGATCTTAAAAAAAAAAAAAAAAAATAAAACAATTTCTAATCAATACGTCAAGTTTTTTTCTTATATCCTGGCTGAAATATATGCATTTCGATAATAAATTACTTATATCTTTATTCTTTTTCTTCATTTTTTTTGCCATTAGGTGGAGATATAACCCTCAACCTCTCTCCCCTGTGTACGTCACTGATTATCTGTAATATATAGTGATGAGAACGAGAAGACCCGTAATTTCCGTAAAAATCATTGAACCGGGTCATAAACTCTGTTCACTAGACTCTATACGTGTATATAGTTAGCAATCTGTGGACATGGGGCGGTAGTCAGACATATATCCGGTACAATTATTTCGAAAACATAGACAAAATAATAATACAGTTATGTTATTTCAATATTTTCTTATGAATTGTGCTGTGTGATGTATTATAAATGTATATAATGTATTTTATACTCAAGGCGAAGCAAGGGATTTATTGGTTTTACTACATGATGAGTGTTTTTCTTATTTTTTTTAAACAGCATTTTGAACAGAAGACTTGTTTCAATCGGAAAACGACAAAAGACCTTTTTTGTTACATTTTCGATCTAGTTGGTACTTTTAAGAAGTTATTTTTCGATTTTCTCTGTGTTTTCAGAATAATTGGGTAAAGTCGGAAACAAAATTATAGGAAAAACAGCAAATATTTTCTATAGGTACCTAGATCATTGTATTATTAAAATTAAATCAATACTGACTAGTGGAAACTATGTAATAGATAGGTACTTAAAATTTTGCAATATTTTTTTTATATCATTATCGTATAAATTAGAATTTAAATTACGTATTAATTAAATAAGCAATAGTAAATAATATTAAAAAAAAAAAAGATCACGATACTAGGTACTATTTTAATTCTGAGTATGGGCTTGAAAGGGACGATATGTGTAATCGCATGACGTTCTGTCACCTGTTGGTGAAAATTCAATATACCGAAAGATGTTAATTGGGTTGTACGTATTGAACATAATGTTATTTCTAATAGTTTCGCATGTCTTGTTTTTGGCTACTCGGGAGCGGGACGTCAGGACGCTATTAATATTCTTCACTCGGGGTTGCTGTTCTATGGCGAGTTATTATAGGTTGATGTTCTAGCACATCGAACCATTAAACATTTTCAGAAAAATCGTCGTCTATCATTTTTTTTTTTTCATTAAATTGTTAGTATAGAGTCACGATTTTTGGAAATTGAAATGTCAACCGATTATTTATATGTTAACAGTTTTTATATTTTTGATTATCTAAGACGAAAAATAAATCCAGTTTCATCCAAATCAGCATTTCATATTTACTTACCAACGAGAGAATTGGGAAAAAATCTGATAAAAAAAAAAAAACAAAATTAAACTTATTCCTGACCGTTTTGCATGGACGCGTTATATCGATTTTATCGCGTTTCAAATTTAAATTGTCCAAATGCGCCGATATAGCTCCGGCGAAACGTGCTTTCCGTTTAGCATTACTCGTAGTATGGTGTGCCTATATTTAAAAGAATATTACAAAAATATAAATACGAGTTGTCATCAACTTTCGGTAGGAGTCGGGAACTAACACAAAATATATGACTTTTTTTTGCAGGGTCACCTACAGCTACAGTTATTACTTGTATATTGTTTTGTAATTCGAACTCGATGATTATCGCATGCTAAAAAACAGTTCATTGTAGAATTGTCTTTATAATATATATACAATATAGAAAATATATTGCATTTTAGTTAGAAAAAACTAACCAGGAAATTTAAAGTAATGACTATAGATACTCTGAAAATAATTTTAAGTGTCTGTGCTCGGTCATTGAGGGGCTAAAAAGGTCACTGCATATTGCTCTAAAAGCAATTTGTTCAAATTTTGCTATGTACTTTTTATGGTAAATAATTTATGTTTATATGCTTCAATAGGTTTAGAGGAATACCGCATTTGAATTAAAGCCTCTATATCTCTACATTGTTTCTCCTTAATTACTCTCAAACATCTTCATCCTAGGTTGGTCCAAAGATTTTCCTCGTGATTTTTCTTCCTAGTATTAAGAATTCTTTTTTCGACAAATTTTCCTGGTGGCTATATTGTTTTTACTCTATACAGGATTAATTTACGCAGGGCCAGCTTGGAAAATATCAAGGTTTTGTGCAGTCAATTTTCAGAAACGTCCATAAGCTTTCTTTGCATATTCTTTTTCTAATGTTAAATGTAGGTAAATCGTTACTATAGAATTCTTCTTTGTCTATTACATTAAATGTATATTTTTATAACTGACAATATGTAATTATGAGCTATAATTTCGACTTTACGTGGAGCCCCTAAAAGCACAGGACTCTATGAGAATGCACCGCCTTCAAGTCGGCCCTGACTGTACGTATCAAAGCAATGTAAAATTGCTTTTTAAAATTGTTACTTTATAATAGGTAATTTACAAATTTAAAAAAAACGTATAGACTGTATATTTTGAAATAGGCAATTATTGAGATATTAGGAATAATCTTTGAGTTATAAGCATACTATTTGTTTACATATTTATCGCGTAATACTTGTAATAGTTTACTATAGAGAAGGCGAAGAGTAAAATATAGTTTATAATATTAAACATATACACTATATCCATTCAATTAAACTCTATTATTGCTCTCGTATTGTTTAAAGCAAATGCTGGACATACATATCAACAACCTATATAATATATAATATATAATATTGATATACTTATACCAAAGTACTTTACACTTACTTATCATGCAATCATGGATAGTAATATTATCCAAAATAATGTTAGTATAATGTTAATTTAATATTGCTACGTATAACAATCAATCTAACTCGGGTTAAGTACGAAATTAATCTATTAATAATAATAATAATATATATACGTAGCAATATTAAATTAACATTATACTAACATTATTTTGGATAATATTAATATCCATGATTGCATGATAAGTAAGTGTAAAGTACTTAGGTATGAATATACCAATATTATATAAATCGAGTAAAAATCCTACGATGATGCATCACTGCGTCGTCAGCACCAGAAATACGGTTGAAAACAATTATTATCGTTGATACCTTTTTTAGACTCTTTTGACTATTATGATTGAGAACGCTCAGTTTTTACATTTACCCACGCAACGTTGTCAAATATGTAGTAATTTGAAAATCCAATAATATAGTAATCAAAAATGTATACATTATATTTCTATTATATAGTCATTGCTGTCAAAATAAATCTTCGGAAGGATTATTAAAATGTTTAACGTGTGTGGGAAATCTATATCGGGGAGTTAAAATATAATCCATTTTTGCCATGACATGACATTTCGCATATCATTTTTATAATTTATTTATGAGTTTTAACTTGAATATAGTTCAATAACTTTTCACATAATTTCGTTCTCAATAGTACTATCTATTTTTTAGGGGTGGGGGGTGGGGAGTGGTTAGCGGCTATTTTATTGTTCTATTTCGAGCGTTCTCAACCGTACGCTAAAAAAGGTCGAACGTACTCAATATCGTATTATAACCATAATAATTATAGTTTAATCCATCTGTTTGTTTTGAATGATTTGTTGACTTATTGACGTGATAAAAGAAAAATAGATTGACCACGACTAGTAAGAACCAAATAATAAGACCATTATAGTATTACAATATCTATAGTAATAGAAGTAATACATGTTTGTCTGTTTGTTTGTGCATCTATCGAAACCGAATTTTCGAAATTCAATCCCTAAATGGTTTTGTATATTTGAAATTTAAATTAAATTATTTTTGTTAATTTATGGGTTACTTTAGAGACATGGATGTCACATGATAGTTGAAAAATGTAAAATACATTTGTATATCCGAGATTTTACACGACTGACGTAAATGAAATAAAAATCGAAATATGTGTGACACGATAAGACGGAGTGAAACGAAGGGATACGTTAAACTGAATCAATAAAACAATATTGAATTATATTATTTTAAAAAAAAAAAAATGATTACCTAAAGTACTACGCGTATTTAATTTGTCATGGGCAACGCCATGTGAGTTCAGTTGGTGAAAAAGTATAGGTATTTCGATGATTAGAGTAAAAGCTCACATTTGATTGATTTTAATTATTGAAGAATTTAGTAGGTACTATCTAGGTGACACTATGAGTTCACCACAAGTACGATTAAGTTTAAGCCATATATATAGGACAAATCGTATCGATAAACCTAGAAATATTTTTTAATTCCATGAATTATACGATGACACAAACGATTTTCGATCAATTTAAAATAATTGCACACGATATTAATCACATAATTAATACCAGAGATGTGTATTTCATTAGTAATCTTTTGATAGATGACTGTTAAGCTTCAGATATACTTACATAAAGCCGGCAATTTAGTCGATTTATAATATAAGATTATATACATGTGCAGTAAATACTCAAATAACGAAAAAAACGTGATTGTAAATAAATAAAACGTTCGAGTATTATACAGAAATTATTATAATTATCTAACATTATGACACTTATGATGATTTAATTTTTGTTTGTACAATATTTTTCTCGTCCGGTTTTTGCGTTTCGGTTACTTTGTCCGCGTTATAGGCGACTTTATAAAAATTCATGAACAAATAAATAAACGCGAAGAGATCGATGATTACGGTAACCGACAACGCTCTTGGCATGGTGCAATCGTATTTGTATAGATACGCCATATACACCACTGCGATGACTAGTTGAGACTGAAAAATACGTATTATCAAAATTATAATAATCATATTATGATCTGATGCAAATCCGTAACTAGGAGATAATAATATAGGTACTCACAATTTGTATTCGCGTTACATAAACTTTCCACCAAAGATATTTGTGCATGTATGGTCCAAGAGCAGCTAAGAAATAGTACCCGTACATGGCTATGTGGACGCTTGAGTTGAGCATCGCTCCGTAAGCTGCCTGTTCACCTATAAATATCATATACAATTAAAATCAATGTTCGATATATGCATTTAGGTATTTAATAGATACCATATACTATTCTGTTTGTTCAAATATACAAAAAAAAAAAAAACAATATAAATACATATTTAGTAAAAAAATAAAATCTGTTTTTATCCTTCCCCCTTTTTGATTTAACAGACATTTAAACTTTAATATTATTCTATTATAATAAAAAACAATTAGATGAAGCGTTTGCGAGTGTTTTAGCGATTCGTGAAATGTACAGTTATATAAGGTTATTGTTTGAATACGGTCATAGTCCGTGGTTTACATCGTTTAAATGATTACATTTTTCACTTTATTTCGTTTATTTTTAATCAATTTATAGACAAATATAAATCATACTTGAATATTAGGAAATATTGCCATTAAATAGTCTGAATTTGTATTAATAAGTATTTTAAGAAGATAATATTATAATATTATGAAGGGTACAGAGAAAAATTAAAAAACCGAAAAGTTACTTTTTTTCCCAAAATGGCGTAATTGGTATCAAATCATTTATATTGACGTACCGAATCTTTTATGTCAGTGGTGATCAACCTTTTTTTTACAGAGGGCCATACAAATAATAACAATTATTGGCAGGCCAAGAATTAAAATTTTTAATTTCAAGTTAATAGAATATTATATTTTATTGTAGGTAAAATGATATATTTAATTATTTATTATGCATTGATTGTTATAAATGAGAAAAAAAGTGTAAAGTATAAACATTTATTATTTTAATGTGAGTGTTAATTTTTGAAATTTGAAGTTATTTTTATTTTTAATTTTCGATTTAATACTTTGGTAGGCCTATTAATAAACGATCGTGAGCCATAGTTGGTCACTACTGTTTTAAGCGATTGAACCCACAAAAAACAAGATTAGTCGAAAGTAATGAACGTCAGAAGTTTAGGTCTACAGGAAAGAAAAACAGGTAAGTCGATTAACAACCAGTTAAGTGTTGAGTTAATACATAGCTATAATATAATATAATAATATAATACTATCGTCTTGTTGTTTAAAAGTATAACGTTAAACTTAATCAGAACTTTTCACCTTAAAAAAAAAAATTGTTACGTTTTGAAATTAAAAACATGTTTTTCTCAGTTTGAAAAGGAGTGACTTTTCTGGTTTTTTATTCTCAGTACCCTTCATATATTTTTTGTTGATTAACTTAGCATAATATTAGGTATCGAAAGTTTGAAATTTATTTTCTATTTTTTTCTATTAGTTATTCTGTATACATACATATTATGAATTGATATGAGTGATTTAAGTAGGTGTTTATTAATTATTAAATTTAATATTGTTGCACAAACACAGTGTATTTACTTTTGAAAAATCGCATGTGTATCCAACACGAGATCACCATTTTTGTATGATGGTAAACGTGCAAAAATGATACGTGAGATTGTTTTTTTCTCAAAACAAAAAAAACCTGTAACGAAAATGATTAATTATTTGGATTGATAGGATAGAAGATTTTATCAGTGTACTATTTGAAAATGTATGTAAAAATTGATTAGTAAGCTTACCGTGTCCAGTAAATCAATGATCTTGGATATAAAATAAAACCACGAAACGGTGTGCAGCTGTAAAAATAATAAACAGTATTACAGTTATTCATCGGACACATTTAGTAGATATTCAAACGTATCGACGAAATTTTAATTTTTTAGATTCTGAGTTAAGCGAAGAATATATTGATTTAATAATGTTTTTTTTTTTTATGGAAACCTTTTTCTACCAGAAAACTTACTCCGATTATCAAGTACAGCATCTTTTTTGAAAGAAAATGTTTTCTGAGTGGTACTTTAAAAAAGTCATTTTTTGAAATTCAAATTAATATTCGAGATGATGAGGATAACATGGTTTTTTAGGTTAAAAAAGATTGATAGATTAAAAATAAGGTTGTCACTGGCAACAGTTTTTACTTACTTTTTATTATTATTAAGTTTTTAAAATTTTAAAAATCTTTTTTAAACAATCATTTTTGTCATTGAAACACACATTGTTGTAATTATTTTACCATGATATGACATTTATATTGTTGACAAAGAATTCCACTCACAATCGTTTCTCGTGAGCAGTAATTTATCATTACTTATAGATTTACATTAAATTCCCATCTATATCCTATCTTCCCAACTTCCCATCTACAACAGTGGCTGCGCCGATGTGCGACGTATGTCCGTCCTTTTTTTTTTTATTAAATTTCATTTTTCATCGAACAAATAAAATATTTACATTTTACATACATATTTATGAGTGGGGCAAAAAGTTATGATACCGAAAACTAATTCGGAAAACAGCCAAAACTAATATTAAAATCAGCTTTTGTTTCTGGGATTTACATTATGGTGGGAGAGGAGGGTTGTGGTTTAACTTGCTTCGTTTTATTGACATACGGATAGAACCACACCAATAGACTTTTCTATATGAGAGAAAATGGAGAATATTCGTTTTCGGTACTTATACCTTATTCTTAGTTTTCTAGACCATTCTATCTCACAACTAATCCTTCAGCTATCTTATGCATCGCCAAAATCATCCGATTCGGTTCATTTAATTCAAAAACGTCCACGTTCTTTTCTACTATGTATTCTTGCGTCATCTTAGATATTTTCCTTATTGGGTTCTGATCCAGTATTACTGGTTAAAAGTGGATATTAGCTTTATTCATGTATATCCACCTCATAGCAGTCTTCCTTTTTTGATAATCTCTAGTCCAGAGGTTCCCAAAGTAGTCTATATCAACCCCCTGGGGTCGATTCTAACCTACAAGGGGTCCATGTAAACGAAAAAGAAAATTGGGGGTGCATGAGGTATAAATATTGGTCTATGATAGTTATTAAGTAAAACGAGTATCATTTTAGCACGGTTGCCAAATATTGATAATTATTTACTACCAAAGAATCAGATTCATCCTTCCCATTAAATATATAATTTTTATTTTTTTACATTATTACATTTAACTTGTGTAATTAATAATTAAAAAATTAAATAAATATTGTCATTATTAAAGAAATAAAGATATGAATAAAATACAATTTTACACGCTTTTTTATTTTAAAACGTTTCACTCAATAATAAATCTTATTCAAATGAGTAGCTCCGTATTCAATATTAGGTGTCTATGAAAAACAGACAAATTGGCGCGTGGTCTTCGGGGAAAAAAAAGTTTGAGAACCTCTGCTCTAGTCTATTCTCGAGCGTTATCTATAGTTCTGTATACTTCTTTTGTCTCCATTATGAATTACGATTTCCTATAAGTATATAAAGTACACATGTAGGTATACGGGTACACGAGTATTTATAAAACTCGTGTATTTATATGTATGTAATACACTAAGCGACGAATCTAGGCATATTATTTTCCAATTTATTAATAATTATTGAATTTTGACAATACTTACTGGCCTATATAATATTATCTGCCCTTTTCTCTAGATCTTTGCTCTGTAATCATGTATAACTACACTTTTTTTAAATACACGTGAAATCGTAAGCTCTAGTCTCCACTCTGCGGTTTTGTTAGATTCTACTAGTTCAAAGATCTTCCGAAATTCCTACGTTTTACTTTTCATTCTAATAATAAACAAAAGTGTTAGTACAATTTGTGTACATCTATTTTCCTCGGCAGCCAAGTTTTGGATCCCTACATTATTATTATAGTCAGGGTTAGAGACTCTTTGTGCCCTAAAAAACCTTAAAATTGCATGAACTTGAGCTCCATAAATTTATTAAATACGTTCTAAAAATTTACAAAACCGCTTAAATATGCACTTCAAAATATTTAATTTTTTTTATTAAAACCAAAAAATGAAAATGAAAATGTGTCTATTTTTTTTTTCTTAATCTTTCATTTTTTTTTAAATTTGCCTTCAAACAAAAAATTGCAATCATTAACACAATATGCAAATGCATATTGTGTTAATTTAATAGTTATTTAACTATTACCAAAATGAAAAATTGCATTGTGTTACTACTTTATACACAATTTGTTAAATATTTTTGAAATAACATCAATTTATTGTATTCCGTATTAACCGACATTACATGTATCTGAATATCAAATAAATATAAATAACTGGTGAAAACATATGGTGAATACTTATTTATAATTTGAAAAATATAAAATAATAATAATAAATTATTTTAATAGATAACTTTTTCCAATTTCATTAAATGTTATACTAAATATTTTATAATATTTGAAAAATGCATTTAAAATACAAATAGAAAAAAATATACACTTATATGGAAAATAAGCTAAGTATGTAAAACAAAACAAGTTGCTTTATATTTTAAGAATTATAAAACAAATTAATATACTACTTAATTATATTTTGAATGATTATTGAAAAATATGCAAACTCCTATAAGTACCTAGCTTTATTTATAACTAAAGTACCTACCTACCGTTTAAATATTAGGTACGTGTTACGAATTAATTATCCAACTCTGGTCTTCACGCCATCGATGCAGAGCATTCGCGTTTCGCCACAATATTGTAAATGGAAATATTTGAGAAAAAAAATGAACTTTTAAAATACCTTGACTGGTATGTGAAATTTATTAAAACTTATTACTTTATTTCTTACAAATTTTGATTTGATGTATACATTGTTTGTAAGTACACTCGTGAATTTAAATATTAAAAGTAATTCAATTTTAAAGGGATTTTTTTTAACTAAGACAATTTCACCGAATTGTATATCATAAAATATTATCGTGATATAAGTACATTTAGGTTGGATAATATAAACTGATTTTAATTTGAACCATTTCAATCTCAGATTGTTATGATATTAAAATACGATTGTAATTTAATAATGTTGCGTTTCATATCTGATTTTTACTGATACTACTTATTTCGAAACTAAGTCCACTAGAGTGCTTTTTATCATAATATCCATCCCTGTGTATATCACGCCTTCTGAAGAGACATCAGGATAAGAACATAATTCGTACGGGTGACAAGGTGTCACGTAATCGATCAAATAGGAGTTTTAATATATTAATATTGCGTTCGTGCTCTATTTGTTTATCGTTTGTTTGTTTTTTTCTTTTTAGATTCTAAGTGGAAGGAAGAAGCTTTTTTTATTTTCTCTCGGAGAACACATTTTTGATTTTATTAAAATTGTCGATGATAGTCTATGAATTATGATAAAAAAAAATAAAAATAAAAAAAAGCACCCTGTATACGTAAGTTCGGTTTTTTCTTTTGAATCAACTGTAAATACGAATTCTCAACTAGGTATTTTATGTTTTGTAGCATTATGTTTAATCTGTAACTGTACCTATATACCTACATAGAGTTCAAGCCATTATGTTCATTATCTAAACCCGTGAACATTCTACAAGAGTAAAAATATTAATTGATGATAAATAATTATTGAAATCCCTTCAATAATATTAATAAATTTCATTTTTTTCTTCTTCTCAAGTTCCTTGGCCACTAAAGACCATACAATCTTAACCCTGATCGTCCGTCCTCTTGGTCCATTATTTTTCTATCTGGTTTGAACCTCCTCCTAGTAGTTCCACATACATTTGTACATTATCTTCCCAGTTCCTACCTCGTTCTGGACATTCCTAGTAGTTTTTTCACGCGAATTCTACTCCATCCCCGGTTTTATTAATCCATTTTGACTCCCATAACTTATAATTAGGACACAGATTTATATACACTTAAAATTCACAAAAAAGCGTTTAGAAATGTTTAAAAAGCTTTAAAAAATATTTAAAAAAGCAATAAAAGTATAGGAGTTTAAAAGTTGTCCCCTCTATTGTTTTTAAATTATTAAAATCATTTTTTAACACTAAACAAAAGTTTATTTCAAATTAATTTTATTCAATTGAATTTGTACGTGTTATAAAAATAAAATGCTTTGTGTTAATCATTTTTCAGTGTTAGAAAAATGTACTTGGTGGAGAACTGTGAGAGTGGGGACTTTAAAACTCGTATACCACTTTTGCTTTTTTTAAATATTTTTAAGTGCTTTTTTACGGATTTTTAATACATATAAATCCGTACCCTACTTACAATCATATCCCGCCAATTGTAATAGTCTACTTGTTTCGTATACTAAAAATTATATGCTTGTAATTTGGAATAAGGCTTTTAGCTCTGCATTATTTCAACTTTCCTGCTCGCAACTATCTTCATTCTTAGTTTGCCCGAAGATTTCCCGCAAGATTTTTCTTTTTAAAAAAAGAACTTTTTCACGACAAATTTTCTTAGTGGTCGTGTTTTCGCACCGTAAAGTATTACTGGACGAATCAAATCAACGAATAATTTATTTTTTAATTCTTTCGGTAATATAATTCCATTGTTTTACTAATATTGCGTTCTTATACATATTTGAACTGCTATAATAATTATTAAAATACGAAGCGTTTATTGGCATTAGCATAAATGCGTAGAGGTATGTACTTACGCATTTTATTAAATATTTTTCGTGTTGAGTCTCTTCACTTATATGACACATATGAGTATATATAAATGATGGTATTCCGGGTGTCAAAATTATCTGAAATTATAAAAAATGTATGACTTATGTGATTATTCTGATTATATCATTATACGACAGGATTTGATTTACGCATATGCACGTGGTATACGAGCACAAGGTTTTCAGGTTCCGAGGGCCCCGTCCCACTCTATATAGAAAAAAAATAGTACACTTATATTTTATAGTATTAGTATAGGTATTTTATATTTTTAGTAGACATACGATTGAGTGTTTAATAAGTTATTACTATGTATAAAAATGTGACATTTTTGTATTTAATTATATTCTGTATCTATCATTTCCCAAACTTATACGTATAAAACTCGAATGCGTTCTCTTATTACTCAAGAAAATGTTTGTGGTTTATAGATATACTTTTATTTGATTTAATCCATTTTATAAATATATTGTTTTTTTTTTTTTTAAATTTTGATCAATATTTTTTAATTTAAAAGAGGCCTTAAGGTGTGTATTGCAAAAGGCTTCTATTTCTTCAAATCAGGCCCTAATACGACTGAATAATACTATTGTTATGAATTGTTCTAATATTGAATTGTACCAATTGTCTTTATTCAAATTCGTGAATAATGGTAATTAATTTCAATTCTTAAAGGATCGATTATAGATTTTAAAGTTATTTACATAAGACGGTCATCGTTTCCATTAAAATTTTATTTTCGTTTCCAAGAAATCTCTTTCTACCTATCGAAATTGTAGTTTGGGAACCATTCAGATTTCTCCGGGAGTCACTGCGATGTCCAAAAATTATTTTTTTCTTCTTTCTTTTATCTTTTTTATTATTAACGTCATCATAATTCTTATAATTAAACGAAAAAGAAAATCAAACATTTTTCATTTTGACGGAAAGGACGGACGCCCAATTTAAATTTGATTACAAAGTATAATATATACCTATTATACTCGTTTTGTAAAAACGTATTGTACTTCGGTAAATAAATTATATTATAAACGTACAGAAATTATAATATTAACATGGTTGTTACATTTTCACCGTTTATTATTTTTACTGTAAGCCGTGAAAATAATTAAACGACAATGTTGGTACCGCCTACCTAACCACACGATCAATTATTTATACCTAATATACTACCATTAATTATTTACATTTTTTTTCATTTGAATCCACTATTTAGAGACGACTTTATTAATTTATAAAAATATTTTGGTATAATATATGACACATTTTTATGATGGAAAAAAAAATGTGTGAGCCGTTATTGAATATTTGGGCGGTCGTGGGCCAACGCCTTATATGTGTTTATCTTTAAATCTAAACGAACTCTACTGGACTATGCATAACATTATTAATATTATGGCGTTTAACGTTTTTAATTAGTATATACATAATATATTGTATATTTGAATTTCGTTATGCGCGCACACGAAACATCAGCTATCCTGCAGAAAACTGTATAAGTAGGTAATAACGACATGACAAAATTGTTATTATAGGTTTGAAATTATACCGTTTGAACGCAGCTGAAAACGAATAATTATTATTTGCCTGTCATAAGCATATTATTTTAGCGTTTGTGTTCGTCGAATTAATATCGAAATATGCGAAGGTAAACGTTTAAATTATTATGACTATTGATTTTAAGAACAATTATTATTTATTTTATTTGAGTTTTTTTTTTTTAATTTTCATTGCTCTTTTTCGACGAATAAAAAGAAAATTCCATATTTATAGGTGAATACATATAAACTTTAGTACTCGGGAGTTTCAAGCGGAATTATAATCTTAGCTGATTTTAATTATTTTTGTTTTATTTTTATTTGATTTTTACCATACAAATTGTTTTTTAATCGTTAAGTACTCCTGATTTCCGATAAGAGGTTTTACCTCATTGGATAACCTGGATAACCTTGAATTTTTTTTATGTATGTACTATAACAATATCTAAGTTAGTTTTTAGTGTTTGGTATAATCTAAATCAAATCTAATCCCCCAGAAAAATTGTCTGGTATAAGCTATTATGTGACAACTGTAAAATATTAAAACGTCAACTCACCCAGAGACAGAGCAATGTATTGTAGGAGAACTGTATGAAGTTGAAAATCAATATTAAATTAGTGATGTTAAATGGTTCCCGGTTTTCCATCATTTTGGGGCCGATTTTTATTACGAACAATAGGTACGCCACAAGTATCGTGAATACTGGCCATGGATGTTTGACGAAGGGCCACGAATCGATTTCTTCATCTAAAATTATCGCAGATGTCTATTACTTGTGATTAAATATAATTATAATTTCATTGAATACATAATAATATGCAAGTAATACGAAATTATTAGATTTTAATAAAATGTATCAAGAATAGAATATTTTATATAAGTTCTATAAAAAATAATAACAGGTATCGCTTACCGTACTTGACTTCGCTTTTAATGAATTCCTGAATATTATTAACTTTTTCTAAAATATACTCAAGTATAGACGTATAATTCGTGTCGGTCATTATCGTATTTTTCACTTTGAATAGATACAATATCTTTTCATTAAGTTTAAGTATAGATTCTTGAACAAAAAAAAAAAAAAAAAAAATATATATATACTAAGTAATATTATAAATAAACATTTATAAACAGTTTTTAATCAGAGTTAAAATATATTGATTAAAATTAGAACACTTAATAATTTCAAAATATGGTTAAATAATTTAAATGAGTTAGTGTTCTTACGGAAAATGCTAAACTACGAAAATTTAAAATATTCAAATTGAACATTAGACGCGTATAGTTATCCTGTTTTAGTTGCACTTGAGTTTAAAAATGTATACCAATATAAATTATAATATGAACTTAAAAAAAAAAAAAAATTAGAAAAACACTTAAATTACATCAAAGATATATTAGGAAAAAAAAACCAAAAATGTTCGGATGTTCTGTAGTATGATTACGTATCCATTAATAAACCGCGTAAATTTTTTTTTTTTTAAATAAATCGTTAAATATAAAAAATACATTCAATATTAAATTAATAATTTTTAGGTACCTACCTTTCTAATTAAAAAAAAAAAAAAACCAGGATGAATATATTTGTGTTTCTCTTCAGATCCTTAATATTATTCTTAATTGGATAAATAATTAGCACGTGTAATTTGTTTCCTGCATTGTACTACTTTTATGGTATAAATGAATTCTGAACAAGTCTGTATGTTTTTTGTCAACAAAAAACTACCGCGTGTTGTTTACCTCACTATGATGTGTACACATTGTTAAAATTAAAAAGAAACAATTATTTGTCACTGCAGCAATAGTTATTAGAACTTCATATTCTTCTCGTGAACTATTCGTGTCTAATTATTATTATAAATACAATGTCTAATGTATAGTCACGATTGCGCATTGATTAGAGACATCTGGTTTAAAAAAAAAAGGCCAATTTTGGAATTTGTCTCAGGATTATCGGTATAGGTACATTTGACCCAAATATTATCCTATAGGTTTATCTAAAATAAAAAATATTAGATACACAATTTTGATTAAAAAAAAAAAAAAACACGTCGAATAGAAAAATGAAAGCGCAGCCAAATGAATAATAAATTTAATCGCACAAATTAATATTATATGTACTTATAGGTACTGTCGTTAAAATATTACTAAAGGTGTTGATTTCAAACATCAATTAATGCGTATTTGAACACGAAGTCCGTGTACTTACACGTGAATGAAAAATTTGTAATCACATAAAATATTTATAATTTACGTAAATTTAATGTCCATGTTTATGTGTTTTAGTGTTATTTGCGTATTCACGTATTCATTGATGTTAAGCGATCGTTATGTAGTTCCTAGGTCCTAGATACTAGAATAGGTCTTTGCCGATATATCGATTAATCGTTTTTCATGAATGATAGTATCGATTAATCGGATATATCAATACAATCGAGAATATATCGATATAACTGAAATCGATACATCGAGAATACATCGATAGTATCGATTATTTCAATCCAATTGACTATCGAACATAACGAATAAATATCATGAGTGTATTAATTGCTTCTTCAAAATATATCACAATAATCGATTATTTTTACATAGTCGACTATCGAGTCTAACGAAAATTATTGCGCAGGCCGATACTAGAATACGAATTTATACATCTCCTATTTATATAGGGGATGGCCGGCCTTTACGTGTGTCAATGTTAAGTCGATAAAACTATTATTATTATCTACCTACTATTATTATACGTTAGGGATTTGGTATACTTGTTCATACTAAAATACGTGAATACACTTGTACCCGTGAATAATTACACGTGTATACGGATTTATCAAATTTATACGGTTTTATAGAAACGAATGTTAATTTTACGTGAATACGTGAAAGTATGTACACGTGAAATAGTGAACTCTAAATATAACTTATAACAAAAACGGTTAACCGAATGAACTTAGTAAGGTAAAATATATTTAATGATACTGATTTATAGAGGTTGTTATATTGCAATATAGATTATCAGGCCCCTAGCCAGATTAATTCTTCAGGGAGTCAGGTTCTTTTGCTCTTATATTTTTTTTTTCCAATAATAGTAATAAAATGTAAAAAATCTAGAGGTAGCAAAGAACGAGTCTAGGGGGGAACGCCCCCTATTCCCCTCCCATGATTACGGGTCTGTAGATTATAAACATAAACTATGTTGTATAGTTTGTGTTTCCGAGTGAAATGATTTGAAAGTATAATATCTTTTAACATAGGTTGTTATTGTAGAGACTACATTAGTTGGTTTTGGTCTGCACGTTCAAATATAGGAACAAATTATTATCAGACGGTATTATGTCTTAACTAGCTCTCTATTGGGAGAAGAGACCGGTTTAATAAGATAAAAATAGAGATGAATTGATAAAAATAAAAAGGAATTCAAACAATTAAGGATCGTCCATTTAGTGAAATACATCTCAAAACAGAGAAAAATCGAAGGAATATGTTTGTTTTGCAGCAATGGGCTTCAAAAAAAGACCTTATAAATTGTATGATGAAGAACACACTTGTAGAAATAAAATAATAACTGTAATAATATTGGATTTGTGATGAAATGACACTATTTCCAAAATTGTATTATATTAATTTTAAACATGTTTAAATATCTATATTTTAAGAGAGTTGTACGATTTGTGATTTAAACAAGTTTTATAGGTACTTTCTTGTTTTTTTTTTTCAATATAAAATCTTAGATACCGTGGACTGCAGTGCTTCATAAACCAAAATCTATAATTAAGCATCTTTTTGATAATTATCAAAAAAAAAAAAACCTTAAATGTATTTTCGTTATACGACGAAATACGACGTAATGTTTTAAAATGGTTAAGTTATAACTCGTTAGAAAATTAAAAAAAATATCTAATACCTACTAATTGATGAATTGGAATGTATTTAATATACTCTACGAAGGGTTTGATGTAAGTAGCATCAAGTGAATTAATTCGCACATTATTCGACAAGGAAAAAATTAATATTATGATGATTTCCAACATCCGTAACGGACAGGAACTTCAAGACAATGTATAAAAACAAAACAAAAATGATAACGGATACCAATGTAAATACAAATATTCGGTTCATATTATTTTTGTCTTGAAAATAATTGAAAAAAAGTATAACTATTTTCTTTATAAAACCGAGAACAGTAAAAATATAACATAGCATGTATAAAATGTCAAATAATAACAATAAAAAAATAAATATTGTTATTATTTAAAGTGCTAATAACATACAAACCTATTATATTCTTATTTTTTATTTTAAAATAATTAAGTGTTTATTGCTCTTCAATAATGTATATTAACTGTATAGGTAAGTTGTTATATAGATTCACATTGAATCATCATAATGGTGAGATTATTGTTTTGTACCGATTTTTAATTTCATATTTTTTTCCAATTTTCCCCTGTACATAAAATTTTCCTGAGACTATTAAAACGGATGTCTCGAACACTGTGCAGTTTAGGCCCTAGTGCCCTACAGTGGGTAGGTGGTACTTTTTACTTGAAATCTTTTTCGATTTTCTCATAAAAACCGTCCTTCTATACCAAATCTAGAGGATAAACCGATGAATACATAAATAAATAAATGGTGCGGAATAAATTCCATTTTTTTTTTCTATTAAATATCTAACACGGTAAACAAGGAACAACCTAGTATGTTAACATATTAAACCACGTCAGGGTTAAAATTATGAGCAATTTTTTTTTTTAATTAACTCAATATGCTGTTCTCTTTGATAATACTATTTTGTCCACCGTAGTAATAATTTTCAATAAAATTGAAATTTGCATTTTGTATTATAGTCTATATAGAACTTATTTCTCGTTTTAAAAGGGAACAGAATTAAATCCCTTATAAATACACCTAGTATATTGGTATCAGGGTCGGACTGGACCACTGTGTTACCATCTTATAACACAATAGGCCAATAGCTATGGTCTACGGGTCACGGCTAACTTTTAAAATGTGTTTGGTCTATTCAATTAGTTACGTTTTTTTCTGATACGAAAAAAAAGATGGATGTATGGAAAAACTAATAACAAGTCTAAACAAACTGAACAATTACAGAAAGTAGGTGAAACATTTGACCCATATTCAATTTATTGGTTGATTCGTTGAAAGAAAAATTATGTCAATCCAATATCATATTATCAGCCCATAATTATTTTATACATTCAAATGTTTAAGTGTTGTCCCGAATAAGATCAAAAACCATATGGCAATGAAGCACTAACAAATCCAAAATATGGTAAATTTAAAGTAAAAGTTTTTCAAAATATTGTAGACCGATTGCGAACTATCCTAACTGAAAATATCACTAACAATTATTACAAGTCTTGTTGCAGATATAAAATATTTATTGTCAAAACATTGTTATAGTGATGTAAGAAATAAATTATAATACCTAAATTAATATTACACACATTTGTAGTTTATAATCTGTTGTTTACTTGAAATTAATGACTGAACTTGTATATGATCTAAGCTTTTGATTTAATATGTCCTATGATAATACCTTTGTAACTTATTGGAGTATTCATTTTTTGATGATTACGCCATCTACCGGATAATATACATAATATAAAATAATACTGCTGATATAAGAATTACAAACACTTTATCGCGGGACAGTTTATTGCATGACAGTTCATCACCAACACTTAATCGTATGCTACTTCATCATCTAAAAATTTCATCGCGCAACAATAGTAGTCTTGTAAGATACTTTATTGCGACAGTTACTTCATCACGATCATTTTATCGTGCGAAAACTCATTGTTTTATTATTACAGTTATTTCATCGCGTGAAATATTATGAATTTGAAGAGATTCACAGGATGTAATTGTAGAACTACGAGGTGTGGCTATTAAATAACGAGACTTCTCGCCTAGAGGGCGCCCTAGATGGGTAGTGAAAAAAACGAGTAATGCGTTGGGTATCTAGATCTCTTATCTATGCACATACCAAAACATGTTTTCGTCACTATTATAGTATTTGTGCTGTAGTGGTTTGAAAGGAACGTGTTTTTTTCTCGACGGCTTTTGGTACACACTGCTTTTTGTCCTCGTTGCATAGTTAGTCAAATTTCTCGTTAAATTGAAAAAAACTCCGACCAAGTGCTATAATTTGTTGCAAGAGGCCTATGGAGGCAATTCTCTATCTCGTGAACGTGTTTTTGAGTGGTAAAAGCGCTTCAGTGAGGGCCGAGAGAGCACTGAAGATGACCAGCGCCCAGGTCGCCCTGTCACTGTTTCAACTCCGGAAACAGTGACCAAAATCAACCAAATTGTGCGTGCAGATCGTCGAATGAGCATCCGGATGNTTGCCGAGACTGTAAACGCCGATAAAGAAACGTTTAGAAAAATTTTACATGAGGAATTACATATGACAAAAGTCTGTGCGAAGTTGGTGCCAAAAAACCTGACTCCTGACCAAAAGTTCTTGAGTCAACAGGTCTGTTCAGATTTCCTTGAAAAGTTAAAAGAAGATCCCGGACTGATGAAAAATATTATAACTTGCGACGAAACATGAATTTTTCAATACGATGTTGAAACAAAGCGACAATCGATGCATTGAAAGACACCTGAATCGCCCAGAATCAAAAAAGCAAGGATGTCCAAATCAAAATTTAAGGCAATGTTGATCGTTTTTTTTGACATTAACGGTATCGTGATGACTGAATGGGTTCCAGAGGGTCAGACTGTCAACCAGATTTACTATTTATCAGTTTTGGCAACACTGCGAGAAAGAGTTCGTAAGAAACGGCCCGAGTTGTGGAAGAACAACTCGTGGATTTTGCACCAGGACAACGCACCTGCCCATAACGCGCTATCTGTGAAGCAGTATTTGGCCGGTAAGCGCACTCCAGTGCTCGAACACGCGCCGTACTCGCCAGANTGCTCGAACACGGGCCGTACTCGCCAGATTTGGCACCGTGTGACTTTTTTTTGTATCCAAAGATAAAATCTGCTTTGAAAGTGACCCGATTTGAGTCGATGGAAGCGGTAAAGCAAAAAACGGCAAAGCTCCTAAAGGCCCTCACCAAAGAAGACTTCCAGCACTGCTTTGATCAATGGAAAAAACGTATGGAAAGGTATGTGGCGAGGGGAGGGGAGTATATTGAAGGGGAAGCATTTGAATGTAGAATAATTTTTATAATAAAACACTTTTTCGTAACCAGTCTCGTTATTTAATAGCCACACCTTGTATTTAGAAAAATGTAATAAAAATAAACCGATCTGGAGACGACTGCTAAATTCAATTTTCACTGCCAGTGACACTAATATTGTATATTGTTTATAAATATTTTACTTAGTATACTATAAAATAAAATATTATTTAAATCTATTATAACTTTTAAGTATTTTTACTAACAGTTGACTTTTTATATTATAAATTAACATTTTTAAATCTATATCATTTTTTTTTAGGCATTTTTTAGCTATTTGTACTATACGGAGCACGATAAAATTCCACACAATAAACTGGTATTGTGATGAAATATCTCGCGATGAACTAGTTTCGCGATGAAGTGTCTGACGCGATAAAATGTCACGCGATGAACTGCCCGCAGTGAAGTGGCTGCATATCGCTGATCCGATGAGTTGGTAACAGGTATTTGGTTAGTAATCATTAATCATTAATGATTTTTTATCACCAAATGCGAGTCGAGTAGGATGGTACTATTTACTTATAATGATATAATTTAAACACCACTTTATGATATTGGACCCCATTGAATATTTTGGGTAAGCAGACCTATGATTGGACACGTTTTCAGATTAGCCAGGCACATTTTGCTCCCCGCCTTTAGCTGTGTGCCTAGTTAAGACACTATTTAATTTGTTATGTGCTTTTTTAATTTACTCACATAAATCATCAGCAGTTAGGTAGGAAGGTTAGGTTAGGTTATGTTTAATATTTAAGTGTAAAAAGACAAATGTTGAAGTAGGTACCTAACAGTATACTTTGAGCGAAGTGATCAAATTTGATTAAAAAAACGTTTATTTTACTATTGTTCATACATTTATTTAGCAAAATAGAATTACTGATTAGGAAGAGGAGTCCTAAACACATTTTATACTCGCCATAGAGAATTTTTGTAGTTCGGTGCCACTGCTTGTAGGTACTTTATATCTATATACTTACGTGTATCATACATATTACACTGGCAACATCGTATTTTGTAAGAATACTCAGACGTACTGTATTTTAAAGAATTATTCTTTATTTTAGGTATGTAATTGCTCTGGACAGTTTTAGAAAAACAACCTAATTGTGTATTTTATAAAAACATAATTTATACTTATAATTAACACTATATTTTTTTGTGTTTTGTAGTTTTGAAAATATAAAAATAATAATCTGATTTAACATAGTTTTTTCCGTGTGATACAGCAAAATCAAAAGAATTATCAATTTTTAAATCCATCAATTCATCATATTTTTTTTATTCCACGAATCTCAATCAATTAGGTTACTTTCGTGACATATTATCACGACTCGTTGATCCAACATACTGTTAACTGAAATCTCTATCAAATTGTATTCTTAATTATTATTTTTCGGTACACGGAAAAGGAAAGAATAAGTTTATAATTCAATTCCGTGCATTATAATTTCGATGTAAAAACATTTGATAGTAATTATTAAATAATAAATTAAATTTATTTTATATTTATGTATACATTTAATTTATTTTAAAGTTAAGTGTACAATTTGTTGAAAGTAAAATTCACTTATTTATTTTATCATACATTATTTGGTTTTAAGTAGGTAGTTTTTTTACACAAACATATACATATATATATATATATAATCTACCTTCATTGCATTGTACATATTTTCTCACCCAAATATATTGTACAATATGCACCGTGTAACTATGATTATACATTTACATAATATGTTTTAATTGTCTATGATATTGTTATCAACAGCGGAAATAAAGTTTACTGCAAATACTGTGGTAAATTGAAGGGAAATAACATTGTTATTAGGTATTATACCTGCATAGTTAATAATCTTCACGTTTCCAAGAAAATCTACCTGTAACGGTTATAATTGTACGGTTTTGACAGTATATACCTATTACTTATTTCAGTATTTAATTTCATTATCACAGTATTGTGTGTTATAATATTATTGCGTGGGAACAATAACATTATTTAATGTGATATTATGATGTTAACATGATGTTAAATCGAAGGTTATTGTTTTATTTTTCAGCTGTAACAATATTATTTTTAATTATATTGCTCGCACTGAAGGAAATATTAAAGACGACGGTGTGCAACAACCAGATAACTAAACATTTTCCGAAATTTCACTAGACAGTATAATGTAAAGACAAAATTATTTGTATATACTGCTGGTGCAAAAATTAGATTAATCTGGAAAAATCCGAAAACGTTTTTGAATGCTCTTGAACGGATTTAAAAGTGGCATTATCTGATTGTTGTTTCAAGGTCTTTAAGGAAGGAAAAATAGTATCAACAATTGGGAATGTACTATATTATAATATATTGTTTATTTTTCGACTAAATATTATGTACAGTAATAAATATAGGCAGATATACTAAATAGTATGTAGATTTTATTTTTAGGTTAAAACCATGAGTTTTGTGGAATCAATCGTCGAATTGCACTCAACATATAATACATTTTTTGTTAAATAAATATTTTCGATTATGTTATATGTTTGTTGTACGTATAATTTAGATGTATGGCATCTATTACCGCCGTATATTTTAAAAAAAGCAAAACAAATAAAACAAATAAATAAATAAATTTCTTTTTAGGTACCTAGTGAAGTTATTTTTATTCTAATGTACTTTTTTCGTGGATTTTAATTTGTACGTTTTCATGTAGAACATTAAGAACAAATATAAAAACAGAGAAACGTCCGCGAACGTGTAAAGCATAAACAACCGTGGATATTTGCAGTTAGATGTGTACAAAAATATATTGTACATTAAGATCACTAGGAATTGAACCTAAAAAATTAATTTCCCAGTTATTTGTATCTGTGTTTAATATAGCGTAAAAATATTGCCAACATTTTTTTTACTCACGATTTGCATGCGGGTTAGATATTTCTTCCACCACAGATATTTTTGCATTTGCGGACCCAGAGCTGACAAAAAGTAGTAGCTGTACATTACGCAATGAATGATCGCGTTAATGACTGCACAAATTACCATTTGTTCTCCTAAAAAAAAAAAAAAACGAAAGTCGTATGTACTTATATACTATTTATTTTTTATTTAATGTGGTTTACACCGGCGGCAGTGGCGCACTATAGAGGCTTAGACACGGTTTTGTATAAATTAAAAGGGTATTTCATCTCAAAAATAATATAAGTCGTAATTAAAAATGTTTACATTAAAATTAAATTGTTTAATATTGCATATACATCTTATTGTATAAAAGTAAGCATATCATTAAAATGTTCAAATTAAATAAATTTATCTGGTATAATTAATAAATTTTAATTAAAATGTCTTTATACGGTGAGGTGTTTGATTTAAGTTTAATATAAAAGTGTTTAACACTTCAAAATAATTAAAAAAGAAATAGGTCAAAATATTAATTAAAATTAATCATATTGTGATAATAAATAAGTAAGAATTTTCTTTAAAGGAAAAAAAAATGAAGATAAAGAATACACCTAAATATTATTAAAGGTAAATTTCGATAAAGTAAATGTATGCATTTATGCAAGACTGAGCAACTTAATGAATACCTACTATTAACTCGGCTATGGTCAATTAATATTCAAGTTAAAAGTTAATTGTTAGGTATATTAATGAACTAAGTTAAGTTAGAAGTTAGTTGAACATTTAATTTACTCGTTGTTTAAAGTTAATTTTTTTTTTGTTTTTGGTAAATAATTGTTATTGAACTTCGAGTTTGTGATTTTTTGAAAATTAGGATGTCAATATCAAACACAAGAGGATTTATTCTGAGAATAAAAAAATTATAGGTACTTATTTTAAACTTGAATCTTCATACACATTATCGATTAATAATAAAAAAAAAATTAATACTATTCTTATAATATAACACCTTTTTAAATAATGTTCAATTTAGTACTTGTTGTGTTAACATTAAAATAAATTGAAATTAATTTAACATGATATAATCTAAAATAAACAAAAATATGTCAAGTTAAATAAAATTAGATTAATAAAATATTAAATGTTAAAGGGTAAGTTAAAAGTTAAAATTAACCTAATTTTTTAATTTTTCAATCCGTAAAAAGCCTTGTAAAATGTTGTATAAGTAAATTGGTCAATAATATTGGTCATATTTATGAGCTATCATTGAAATAGTCTATAATAATTAATATTATTTAATTTTGTTTTATTATTTCCATGAAACAAAATATTGCATTAACGTGTTTTACCTTTTATGTACTTGAGATAGGTCCAGCACGAGAATACCATATTCACGTGATGATAGACGTGCAAAAAAGTCACTTGTGACTGTTTTTTCCTCAAGACGAAAAACACCTATAGGTAACGATAAAAATGTATGAATTAGGCACACCTATGAAATTTGCTGTTAACACTTATAAAATATATTTAATAATCAACGGGTAGCGTTATAAAATTGCGGAAAAGCTGCAGTTATTTTTTATGAATAAATTACACCGTCTATTTATACATCGCGTCCACAGACAACTCAACAACTCAGGTATAACCGCATTTAATAATTTATTGATCTGAAATATAATGCCGAAAAAAGATTACCTTCCTAGCAAAATTTCAACACTGCAGGTTTCATCTATGATGGATAATCGATGATGAAAATAAATTAAGTCACGAATTACCCTTACCGCCATACAGTCTATTCCGAAATGATAAAATCCCGTCAAATATCTCGGATCTCGATGAATGACTAACACTGAAAACTTGCAGGGTTATATGCAGGATATTATGAGGATGGCATTTCAAAAATGTATACCTATTACAATTTTTCAAAATGTTTAGGAAACTCGATTTTATATTTTGAAGTAGTTGATAAAAACCAAAAGATGTTAGAAATTCAGAAAAATAAACAAACTAAATATATAGAAAAAGTAAACTTTACTCTTAATTTATATTTTGAATGATCATGCAGTTTTGCTAAATGTACCAAGACAACATACACCCCTATCTACTAATTTACATGTATACACAATTTGTTACTACTTATTACTATAGGTACAGTTACAATTTTAGCAAGGCTAGCCCTCATCATTCCCCCCCCACACACAAATCCACAGTAATTCACATTAATAATATATGTATACAAATTTAAGTTTATAATTTAAATTGTATTTTAATACTTACAAGTTGTCCGCCTTTATTACAGTAAGCACACTTCTAAAATATCTTCAATATTTAATGTTTTAACAACATCTCTTTCGATATTGAGAACAACCAAAATTTGTAAGAAAAACCATTGTTACAATACACTGAATAACAATAATTCCTTTTTTTTATTATAGAGATTATAGATATAGAAGATTAGATATTATCAAAAAATTTTAAGATTCGTTATTTTTATTTGGAGGGGCTGTGGAAATATTTGGTGGCGCTAAGTTCCCTTAGGTCTCCCTTATTTATATCTCTGCAGGTATATCTATAATGTTTAAAACAAACCGCCAACAAGAAGTAAAAGTAAATACTATAAAAAGAATATGATGTACACTTGTACAGCGTTTCCTCAATAATATGTTACCATTTTGAGTGTATGTAAATAGGATTAACCTAAAATTTGGAACACTCTGTAGAAGTATGAAAGTAAATTGTATTTTGAACATATATTTTTTAACTCAAAATATAAAATCAATTAAAAAAAAAACCACAATTTTTTCTGTAATTTTCTAATTTGAATGTGTCTTTCTATACAATTTAACAAAAATTAATCATATTTCTCCAATGTCGCAATACAATGGAAATTGTGATTTATCGAAACAATTAAATTTTCAGCGTTTTGTATACCTACCTATACCAACTTACCTGCCTACACAATTTGTTCAGCGTGAGTAAGTGGACCCACGCTGTTTGATATTTATTTAATTTAAATTTGTTTCCATTTGCGTGTACGGGATACAAAACACTGATTTACTAGTATTTAGAGCACGCCTTGCCTTTATATTTGCGTTTTCCCCGGAGTAGAGAAATTCGTCTATTAGCATAAGTTCTCTCGGTCTTCTCCCCACCCCACCATAAGTCATACCCGTTCAAAAACGGCCGAGTAACAGACGTGCCTATACACAAATTATTAAATCAACTTGACTATACGGTACGAGTAGATGGCGATTGGTATGTTTATTACTTGGCTTACAGCAGTCGCTGTTTAATAGACGTAAACACTCGACACAGGTAAAAAAACAAATTCCGGAATTTCAAACGAAATCAAATTCTAATGCCAATTCATACAATAATAATGCCTAAAGAAACCGATAGGTATATAGAAGTATTATTAGTAGATAGGTTTACGTTATCGAATTTCACTGGATTTGTAACTGTTTTACAAACAAATACAATGATACGATAACAAAAGTACAGCAATATCGTGGAACAATCATGCGTTTTACAGAAAATCCACAGCACTTTTTCGTTCGACGTGAAATTTTAATATTTATACAAGGCTGATGCCACCGTTTTCAGATACAATAATTTCACAGAAGTAAAATAGCCGAACTTAAATTTAAGCTTATAAAACCGCAAGTGTTATATAAATATTTTCAAATCAAATATAATATTATTTAACAAATATCCTATCGAATTCGAAAAAAAATTTGATATCGTAAAATGTATATAAAGCCAATAAAATATTTAATTCCATTTTATATATCGATAATAATATTATAATTTATTATAAATCGTTTAAGCCTAACGTGCAATGCCTTATAAATAATAATCAAAATTATTATTAAAAAAAAAAATGCATGTTTCACATTTAAAACTACCGTACTCTTAATGGGTAGTACCGAATTACAGAAAATAAAATAAGTTAGGAAACATTTTTCGATTTCAATATGATTCATAAATAAAGAGTAATAAATTATCAGTACTTAATACAACTTATGTTCAGACTAAACTATTGAATTCGATAATTATCGTATAATTTAATAAAAAAAGATGGATATACTTCCCACGTGGATGCAGTCACTGTTTAGGTGGGAAGTTGGGAAGGTAGGATATAAAAGGGAATTTAATGAATATCTGTAAGCAACGATGAATCATCGCTAACAAAAAAACGATTCTGAGCCCCCACGTAAATTTGTTTGGGAAATTATGTGGACCCCATCCATGAAAAATTAAAAAAATAAACCATTATATTGATTACTTATTTAAATATAATATAAATAATCAATATAAAGAGTCATGTTTTAGGTTTTGATAATAATTTCGGGATGGAAAAATAGCCAAGATATATCGAGGATGTCCCGGATCGAAATTTCATTCCATTTTAATCTGGCTTACACGTATTCTTTACCGTGTAATTTATACGTTATAATATAATGAATTTTTGTAAGGTGAAAAAGCATTTATTACTCACCGTGTCCAAAAGATCGAGTATTTTTGACAAGAGGAAATACCATGCAGATATATTCATCTGAAACATTTTATAATAACTGTGTGTTTAGTATACAAATAAAATAAACTTGGGTACATTATAGTGTTTTATAAGCGTACACAACGTAATTCGATTGCGTATAGTGATAATCAAAATTAATCTTGGTCTTACAATCTTGTAGTCTTGGTCTTTCTGCAAAACTAAACTAAGACCAAAATCAAGGCTAACGGTTTCTTGTTTTGATCATCACTATAGTTACATGTCACAAGTATTTCTTACCTCTAGTGGTAATAAGGGAAGAGGGAGTGTTTTCTATGCATATTTTATACAATTATAAAATTAGAAAACTTTTAGTTTCATAATATTATAAAATATTCCAATGCAATTATTTCAATACATTATTTAATATTAATAATATTTGCGTTTGATTGATTTCTATCTGTTATTACATTTCAAATGTTAGTGGTTTTAACAGATCATATTATTTCAAACACGCGATTAAATATATTTGTAAGACAATAATATGATAATGCCATTATTTTATATATTATACATACTTGTCTTAAATTAAATTGGTTGAGGTCTCTTGGAAGTGGATGACACGTGTAATTCAATAAGTCATTTATCACGTTGGGAGTTGTAAAAAACTAAAAACGAAAACAATATAAAATCATTCAATAACATGATCGTTGTAACGGACAATAATAATCGTACCTTACGTTTAGGATATACTATTTTGTTGAAATAAAAATATATATTCTTTTTTATTATAATATCAGTAAGAGTATAATATTATGATTTATTTAGATAAGTAATCGTTTTCTATAATCGTTTGACTATTTTCAATAGAAATTAGTATTTATTTCTTCTATAAATAATTGTAATTATAATAAATTATATAAACTGCCACAAAAATTAATAAAGCGTTGATGTATTAAACCATACACACAAAGCGGATAACCTTCTGTATGTAATATGTACTGAACAATTTTTCTAAATTATCTAATTACCGGTCACATATGGGTGCGAGTTGTGGACGATGGCAGCACAAATTAATAGAGACGAAATTATTGTTCTTTGAAAATAAATTATTGAGGAAAATGTGCCGACCGGTAAATATGGTAACGAAATCGAGTGCCGTTGTTAAATAAAGAACGCTGAAATTCGTGAAATAATGCAAATTATAAAGGCAAAAAATTACGTAAAGAAACAAAAATTTCTATACTTTACACACGTGATGTGAAAAAAAGGAGCCACGATGGTAGATATAGAATATCTACAACCAACCCGAAAAAGACCAAGAGGAGGATCACGGTAGTGATGATGGATTAATGATATAAATCCGAATTTAAAGATATTATTATCTGGTGGGAGGAAAGCAGTCTATAGTATAGGAGAAGATGAAAGGCACGGTATTGGTGGTTACAGGTAAGACTATTGAAGAATCACTAGACCAGGCAAAAATAATTCTGTTTAAACGGCCGAGTAATTTTCCATACATCGATTTTTTTTTTTTATTTAAAACTATTTTAAATGTACGAATTGATTGAATTTTTAAATTGAGTAAAAATTCAAAAAATGAACATGATATTATAATAAATTCTAGATAGATAGGGGGGGGTAAGGGACAGAACGTACCCAAGCTACTAGCCAACCATTAAAGAGCGTTTGTACGGCGTTGTACAAAAGCATCATGTATTTGACGTTCATTGGTTTCCGGTTTTTCATCATATACGGGCCGACCTTTAGTATGAATAACAAATAAACACTTATAATCGAAATAATTGGCCATGGTGAACTCATGAACGCCCACGAATCTACCTCGTCATCTATAATAATAACAACAATCACCATTATTACAACATAGTGTTATAAATTATTATGTATTAATTCATACATTGATTAATCAACATATTAAAGTTTTTGAAAAAAAAATTATAAAATACTTGCCAAAAACCAGTTCCTTGTCGAACAATTGTAATAAATAACGTTGTGTTTTTGACACAACCATGTTAAAATTCTCGTGTACCACTTCGGTCATGTTGGGTACTATTTTCGCTTTCTCCTAAATTCAAAAAATAAAAATAACTGAAGTCATAAGTATCTAATTGCAAAACGTTATAATATTATATATAATATACTTTCCAGCTGTGACATAATTTGGACTTTTTAAAGTGGCCGCGGGGAGTGGAGAGGTAATATGAATATTTAAATAAAGTAACAAGAATATCACACAATTTTATTTACATTTAACACTAATAATAAGATTACGAACAAAGAGATAATGTGATATGTATAACAATTGCTATTTTGTATTAGATATAAAATATTGAGGGTTGATCGATAACCCCCAATGAAATTGAGTATACCACTGCTGTCCAACTAAAACAAAGTATAGGTATCTATTTATATCTATAGTACAAAAATCAGTTTAACGCTTTTTAGATTTTATCCAGAGTGAAAAGTAAGAAACTAGGTTTTCGTGTTGTACTTAATTTTTTAACTTATCAGAAAATAATTAGATACCCATTGGGATATTAAACATTATGCTGTATAAATAATATTCCAGTGAGCGACTCGGATGTTCGGAACATTTTTCTCGGCTGGTAATATTCGTAATTTCGAATTTGTTTTGAAAAGTGATTTTTTTTAACTACGATACTTATAAATATAGAAAAAAAATGTTTCAAATTTTGTTTTATAGAGTTATTTCAAAATATTTTCGATTTTATAAGGTATAGTATAGGTATAGGTATAGTGAATAATTTATTTTTCATTTATATTTAACGTGACGTTCCCCCTCCCATTTATACGTTTTTACCATATCACACTACACACTTATATTCATACATATTCTCAATAATTACAGCAGCCAATAAAATATTTCTTAATTTATTTGCACACATTTTCAGAACAATGTTCTGTGCTAAAATAGATAAACCTCTGCTAAAGAGGTCAAGAAAAAAAAATGATTAGTCAATGTAATTAAATTAAATAAACGAAATATGCAATTTATAATTCAATGAATTGTAAATACTTAAAGAATTAAAATTAAAATTATTATTATTTTTTATTTTTATATAATATAATATTTACTTGAAATAACATAATTTTCTAACTGTTATTGTGAATTTTAAAATATCAGACATTTAGCCAAAATATTTACTTGTTTATTATATGTATATGTTGTAGGCTATGTGAAAAATTAGTCTTTTTGCGTAAAATGGTTATTACTTTATAATGATTTTAGTTTTTAAAGGGCCTAACTACTGTTAATCTGTATGCAGTAAGCCAGAAAAACAGTAGGCTGTTCGGAAAAACAATAAGTAGTTTGCAAACGGGCTACCTCATTGCAAAGATCCTAGTCTTTTCGCAAAAAAGACTAATTATCCACATGGCCTACGAAATATATACTAAATAAATAAAACCATTGAACAAATATCAAAAAGTATGGCAGAGCAAGTTAAACATTTGTTTTGACTTGTAACCGAGTTATGTAAATATAGACGAAATTAATTCAACTTAAAAGATAGCTCATATTTATTTTAAATTCGTTCAGTTAAAAATTAAATCCTATACAAATTAATTAAATTACTATTAACTTGTTAAAAATTAAGTTTCACTAATTTTTTTTGCAATCAAAATATCTTAATAGAAGAAACTAGATCAAGGGTATCCAATTTTATTTTTACGATTGGCGTTTCGTCATCGTGGACCTAGATAAAAAAACAAATATACTAGTGATGGGCATGCTACTGTTGTAGGTGTGGAGTTGAGAAGGTAGTATATTTAATTTATATCTATACGCAACGATAAATTATGAATGATAAACCACGATTCTGAAGTAAAGTTTGGTTAAACATGTATTGAAATGCCGTAATCTTATTACGTCAAAATTTGAACTTAAAATGCATATAATAAAACTACTATACAATATGCTTAATTTTATTTCTTACTTCTAAGTGCAACTTATAATGAATTTCGTGACATATTTCCAAGAATTTCTATTCGGCTAAACAATTTTGTCTACACTTAACTCAATAAAAACTCAAAAAAATGCCAAATACCTATGAATAGCTCAAAAACTCGAACGTATAAAATTAATGATTTTTCACCAAGCCGTAATGACGTATACGTTAAAACCCTGATTTAATCCATAGTTATTATTTATATAGATTGTGATTTTTCGAAAATAAAGATGACTAATGTCACTTAACGTCACGTAACGTGACACACTTAAAAGAAAAAATAACATATGAAGAATTATTTTTACGATGGTAGTACAAATCGTAACCAGTTAAGATCTTTTACTGATTGTAATAGTTTATTATTGTATTGAACAATTGAAATTGAAATAATTGAAAATTGACTTAGTTTTAAAAATGTACATTCGATTCGTTAATATTCAGCCAAATAATAAATAAATCGTATAATACTGTTGAAGTTTCTAGCTAAAAAAAAAGTCCTATCCATTAGTCATTTCGTATTCTTATTTGAGTGATGGTGAAATTTTCGTTTTAACGCCACCCAACTTTAAAATATATCTGTTTTTCGTTTATTTTGATTTTTTTTTGCGTGGAAATTATTGATCTTAAGGTACGCTTTAAGGGTAAAAAAATAGTTAAAATATATCTATGTCATTTTTTGTAGTTAAACCCTTTTTTTTTTTAGTTTCCTAAAATACCTATAAAATAATCTATATCAACTAATATGATTTTATTAGTTGATACAGAAAAGTGTTGTCAAAATGGACCATGTGTTTGAAGTTGTATGCCTACAGATTAGCGTATTTATATGTATTTATATACAGTTATTTTTTGAACGAGACACTTATTAGTTGATACAGATAGTGACCCATATTCCCACATTTTAGGGATCGTTGAAAAACAAAATTTCCGTCATCGCCCAAAAAAGAATCACCCAGATGTACACAATGTGTCATTATTGTACAGACACTGACATATAAATAAAAATGTTTCGTATCTGAAGTTTATTTTTTATTTTTGGCTCGCTAAATAATATATATTATTGTATTTAGAGTTATGCTTACATAATTATACCTATTATGTAGGAGTTGATCGACAAATGTTTTTTCGCGAGAATTGGAATAAACGGACCGATTGTATTGTAATATCGGTTCGGAAACGTAGTATTATACGAAACCGTTTAGGTATTGGATAGAAAAAAAAAACAAACCGTATCGATATTATTCGGCCGTGCGAATCCAATGGATTATATTATACAATACGATTTTATGCGTCGGTACTTACCTGCGTGTATTACTATACACGTATCGGCACTCTTGGAAAACCTCGCGATTCCCTCGAACGGTATTATCAATGTGATATTATGTCGGGACGAAACGGCGTGCACGGATATTAATCGAAATATGAGTAATAATTTTTAATTAGTATTGTTATTATTGTTATTATTATAACGCGTTTTAGAAAACCGTACGGCAAAAACTATTAATAATAACCGCGTGGGCGACAATATTACGATGTACGGCGGGTATAGGTAAGTGTGTACCTATATTATAATACCCGAACGGAACGGCCACTAACGGCCATAACGGTTATCAGCACACTGAACGGACATGTGTTAAAATCGTTTTATTTAACACGTAATCGTCCGTTTTGCAGCCGTGTATTATAATACACGTATACCTATAACAACAACAACAACAACAACAACAATAATAATAATAATATTACAGAAATATTGTATTATATTGTATTCAAATCGCGCGTACAAAATATTGTGTACCTGTGCAAACACCGCGGGTTCGGTACGATAATATAATAATTTAGGCTTCGGAACACGAGTCGAACAACGCTATATACACGGGATTGTGTGTCGTACACGGGTGACCGCGGTGGTGTAGAACCACGGATACCCTACTCGTAGAATACGCGCACACACGCACACACGCACACACACACACACACACACACACACACACACACACACACACATACACGCGCGCACGCAGGCGGCTTGTACGTTTCGGGCGCGTGTACTTCAGAAAAAAAAAAAAAATAATGCGTATATAATGCGTATATAATTACGCGCGGTTTGAAAATCGCTGCGAAAATAACCGGTTGTACCGTGTGTAAGGCGTGTGTTCCGATACACCACATTGGACGGACGTGGACGATAATTGTCCGCGAAACGCCGACGGAGACGAATTCCGCGCGGCGAAACGGTCGTGAAACAGCCGAGGCGTTACGGCCGACCCGTGTATTCAAACGCGAAAAACTGCGATGTGCGTATTGGATCGCGGGAGAGCGATTTCGCAGAACGCCGCCGCCGCCGCACGAACAACGCCGGCGGACGTTTCGGACCGACGCTTTAAAATTACAAAACGCGTTCACGTTTTCGATCCCGAGTGGAGCGCAACAAAGATGTTTATTTTTTTATTCGTGCGCGACTTTTCTATCGGGAACATTGCTCCGATTTTTAAGCGTACCGCGTTTTCTGAAAGAAAATCGGACCGGAGAGGTACTTTAGGGAGGTAATTTTTCGGGGAAAACGGGAAAATAGGTAGTATTAAAAGATGTACAATTAAAGAAAATATAAAATGTCTATGCAATTATTTTACCATAATATGTCATATATATATATATGTATATATATTATACTGTTGACAAAGCAACACTGTCAATTGAACTCCGCTCAGAATCGTTTTTTCGTTAGCAATGGTTTATCGTTGCTTCCAGAAATACATTAAATTTTCCCTCCACCACCTTGCCAATTTTTCACCTAAAATAGTGTCTGCACTCAGAACCCACTTGCGAAGTATGCCCGTTTTTTTTTTCAGTTTTTAACACGTGATAACGGCCACCCTATAACTGCAGTCCGGTCGAAATATCTTTCAACTATAATACTGTCTGCTAGTTTAGTAATATAGACCCTCCAATTGGACAGACGCCACGGCGAGACGATTACAGTATTGCTATTATGTTTCACTCGAACGGTAACACGGAATAGGTATTTCAGCCGAAGAATAGATTTAAATCGTAATGGGGCGGAGGGCAGTGGATTCGAAACACGCGTCATTTTCAAAACGTTACCCACTCGCGGCACACGCATACCGAAATAAAACTTACATTTTATGAAACGGAAACGATTATTTTTAATAAATTGTAACGAAAACGAACGGTCTTGTATGAGTTTTTTTCATGCTACTTAGACACATACTACTTTTTTTCTAACTCGGAAATTGTCCGTCTTCAAAGTTTAACGATTTAACATTATATATGACGGGTAATCAGGCAATATGTTTTAATGTAAATATGTGTTTAATGAATATTTGTTGTATTTAACAAATTGAAAAAAAAATAAATTTGTATTATACATACATGTACAATTATTAAAAACCTTAAACTTCTAGTATTATATAAAATTATTACTACTGGTTTTGTATTTAATTTATATTAAACAGTTCTTAATGTATTTATTATTTATTAATTGCATTTTAAATAATAATTATTAAATATTATAAAATTATCCCAGAACCTTGGAAATCTTAAACTATCTATTCATTAAACACATATTTACATTAAAACATATTGCCTGATTTCACATGTCTTATTTTTTTTTTTTACTTTTCTTACTAAGTCATTATGTATTTCTCAAACGTTTGTATTCTTTATGTATGTACAATAATATTCGTTAGTATAATGCACCACACTAATTAACAATCATCTAAAAAATAATATTAAATTATAAGTTAGTATTTTAAAGAAATAACAATAGCGTATTTATATTTTATTTTAATTACATTTTGACGTGAAAAATGTATTTAATAACAATTTATTTATAGATTTAATTGTTTGGTGCTAATGAAAAATGTTGTGGGTAGTTTTGGTATACATTTTTTATTAAATGGTTTCATTAAAATAGGTTATATCTTTATTTTACATTGGTCAAAGTCGGGAGGCCAGCCCCCATTACAAAAAAGTCTAAACCTATTAAAGTATTGAGTTGCACATTTCAAAACGAGTGTTTGCAAATAAGGTTGCAAATAAGTTGCAAAATAATGGAATTTCAATAGATTTGAAGTGAATGAGTCAAAGTCGGGAGGCTACGTGAAGTTGGCACACCCGAAAAATAAAAACCATTACTGCGGTGAAAGTATGGAGTTGCAAATTTCGATACGCGTGTTAAAAATAATTTCAAACTAGTTGCAAAATGTTGACATGGGTTAGGAGTGAATCGGTTAAAGTCGAAGGACCAACTTCTTGGACGTTATAGCCAGGAGCTTAATGTATATTTGTATGCAATGATTAGTCATTGCTTACGAAAAAACGATTCTGAGCGAACTACGGTTGATAGTGTTGTTTTGTCAACAATATATATGTAATATTATGGTAAAATAATTACATATACATTACAAATTGTCTTTAATAATGTTTGTTTAATATCGTACCTATTTTCCCGTTCTCCCGGTTTTCCAGAATTTTTGGGAAAATTCTTAGGAAAATAATATACTCTTTTGTGAAATCTAGGTACGTATAACAAAGGAAATACTAGAATATAACAATATATTATTATGTTTTTCCTGGAATTTGTATTGTACTGTCCGAACATGTTTGTAACCAAGGTTGTCCAATTTTATAATCTGGCATATATTGTCACAAATGCTTCTCGGTATTTATTATTCACTTTCACGTTTAATTTCGTGTACCACCCCAAAAAAAAGAGTATGTCAAAACTGCCAAACTCAAAGATACTACTATAGTAAGTACTATTATTATATCATATAGTATTGTTATCTATAATGGTACTTGCAATCCGTCGAAATCTTTTGTCGGAAAGTACTTTGTGCAGGTGTACCAACATAAAATATTATACCGATCATTGCACGGATAAGTTCAACCATGATGTCCTTTTAAATTTCATCCGACCTAAAGACAAATATTTCAAGCAGTTAAAAACGTATGCGTCTAACCAACAAAACAAAATAATTTGAAAATACGATCCCCCACTATACCTCAAATACCAAAGACTCTCAGAAATAATTTAAGATATGTGTGCGGACCACTCATATTACAAACCCTTCACGTGTGTTTATGCAGCAGTTCTGTTCTTTCAGTTATCCATTAAAATTTACAACAAACATCCATAAAGTTTTTCGATTAATGATACAGTTATTACATTGGTCGTCTTACATTTACTTTACAAAAAAATTCCTATATTTTGGAGCCTCTGAGGGAGAAAATATTTGTTTAATATTTAAAACTATTAACTGAAGTTGTATTTGTCAGACAAAATTGTTGTTGCTTTGTTAGTATATAAATACTCTAGATGATTTAAGGAAGGACAATTTTTATGACTAAAAACATATTTCAAACATTGTCTAGCATGCCCTCTTAATTTTTATACCAACAATAGGTAAAAATATTAAAAAAAAAAATACATTATCAATCGATCAAATTACATATTAAAAATTATATTTTTTGAGTAAGTAACCTGACTTTGTATGTTTTGCTATCGCGTTTTTTTTTTTTTTTTTTTACTAAGCAATACAATTTTGTTCACGCATTTTCATTATAAGAGTAAAATTTAAAAAAAAAAACGTGTATTTGAAACAATGATAGTCACGTACGGAACGAATAACTCCAAAAATTAGCAGTTAAAGTATGTAGGTAACTATCAATTAAAATTAATTACATGTTTACTCTCGATACCGTTAGAACACAATATTATAACATCGTATCGTTTTAATAAAATTTATGATTATAAATCATAAATGGACGAGGGTATAAGGTATATTTTATGTCATAAAAATATTTTTTATACGATAATTTAAAGTTGACTAGAAGAAGCGTGTGTATTTATGTGTGTATTTTATGTTAGTGTCATTTTTTAATCGATTTTAATGTTTTAACATTTTTTTAAACACAGTGATACCTACGATGTTTGTATTTTATGTGTTATTAATTTATTAGTTAAATTGTCATTGTTTTCTTATTAGTAAATTAAATATTTTACCAAATATAGTTTAATAATATTTAATGGTTTATTTCGCAGTTAATTAAATGAACATACGTCAAATTCGAAGGTAACATCTGTTTCGTCTATAATATTTAGGGAGTGGCATAAAACAGACAATTTTAAAAAAATTCAAAATTCAAAATTGTTTATATCAAACATTTTCAAGTTTACTTTCAAATATTCTTTGTGAGGAGACTTGTATTGTCTGGAATGGTATCATGAGGAATAGCCGTATTTGGAATCGAAACATCTAGAACGACGAAAACTTTAAAGGAAATAACTGGAATAGCAAAATTTGAAATTAATGAATCGCGCACTTCTCAAAATTCCATCTTAAAACGGACAATCAATTTTTAATTTTCTCAACGGTCACTGGCGTCACCACGTTTTTCCGCTCAAAAACACGCCTTTCAATAAAACGCTCATTCCTCGTATAATTGTCTGACTTCGATGATCGTTTTTTTATCAGAATATTGGAAATATCTAGCGCGGACCGTATTGAACTGCGTTTTTCAAACTTAAACTTTATAACTGAACGACCAACAAACAATGTGCAGAGTTAAATTTTAATTTAACTTTTTATTTTTTTATTTACATTTTTAAAGCTAGAAAAATAATATTAATTTAGATTTCGATATTGTATAGATTGATATGCAAAAGGGATGACATTTTGAGAAGTATTAATTTATTTGGGCCAGTATCTTAAAATATTTCTAAAAACAATTTGCTGTATGAGAAAAAAAATTCCGAATTTTTCTGTTGTAGATTTCACAGATGTAAATACTGCCGTACAATACAATACATATAATGTTATGCAACTTTTATTGTGTGATATTATTGAGCAATAAACTAAAATGTTTATATCTGGAAAAACCATTTTCCACGTACAATAACTACCCGGAAAAACTTAGACCAGCTTAAATCTATAACTATCATCTATACTCCCAACGTTTTTTTTTTTTACCGATATCTTATTATAGATTTTTTTTCAAAATTGAAACTTGAATTGTTATTTGTTCGAGTTTCTATATTAACTCCCAGCTTTTAAATTATTTAACGTAATCTATTAATTATAAGAACAAGAATATTTCCAACGTAGAATATAGAATATCAGTTTAATTACGAAGATATTTGTTATTTAATTTTGATGTTTATTAAATTTCGTTTTTATATGCAATTTTAACGTTAAAATTAATAAAAATACTAGTGCTACAGTCTGAATTCTAGATTCTGAACATAGACGTGATAAATATATTCGTTTTGCTAAGTCTCTTTTTATAGCTTCCGGACTAGAAATTTACAGTACCTACGTCTTTATTATTTTAATGTTTCTTTTATATTACAATCTTACTTTGTCATTAATATTAAAATTTAAGCTTTAAAAAAATGTTTTAGTCAATGTGTAATAACTTTTTAGCTAAAATAGGTATACTTGCAAAAATTCTGATACTTTTAATTCGATAAATGTATAATCTGAAAATATTAAAACAAGTTCTATGTGAGCATAATTTTTATTTTTTTTTTTAAAATACACAGGTTGTGTATGGGTGATGTTCACAGTAAGTATGCTTTATAGAATATTGTCATATCGTATAACTTAGAGCACTTTTGTGAGTGTAATTTTTTTAATGCTAGGGTAAAAGTGTGTGAGTGGTTGTAGTGAAGCATAAGTAAAGTATAAGTGCTCTATGGGGTAAAAGTGCAATTTTATGATGCTTAAATCTTTCGTGACTATAACTTTATTGGTATCGGGGGGGGGGGGGGGAGGTTAAGGCAATGTAGTAGAAATGTTATTGGGTACTGCATGGTAAGTATACTCTATGACATGTCCAAGGAGGGCAGTGTACAGGATAAATATATTTATAATGGGATGTTCTCATTTTTGACATATAAAACTGTTCTTTTGAATCAACCATAAACATAATTTTTTTTGAGAGTGAGGAAATGATGACGGCGTTGAGTTAGGACGATGTGCAAAATAAGTATATTCTATGAGGAGATGTAATATCATAGCACTTGAATCATGAGTATAATTTTTTGAGATAGGGATGGGATGGGAAGATAGTGATGGTACTGAGTACAGGGTAAGTACCCTGTAGAGTAATATAATTTCGTGACGCTCAAAATTGAAATTAGAATCCTACGTCTAGCCTCAGAAAAGAAGTCTTATCTATAAAATAACGTAAAAGATAAAAATGTTTTAATATCAAAGATTCAATCAAATTTCATATCTAATAGATAAAGCAGCAGTTAGGTAGGTCAATGGGTTCAGAGTACGTAAGTTATAGGTAGATAAAACGATACGAAAATATCGTTGGATTAGAGTTTAAATCCCAATAATGTTGAGAAAAAAAAATTTTAGATTTTAAGTGGAGCAAGGAATGCATTAGTTTTACAACGATGTTTATTTTTCAATTCTGAGTAGAGCGAAAAAACTTACAATGATGTTTATTTTTTTTTTTTTGTGGACAACTTCTCTACCAGAAATTTTGCTCCAACTTTTAATGATGGTAATGTTTCTGAAAAAAAATTTCACTGGGAAGGTAATTTAGGGAAGTCGTTTTTCCATTTTCTCCGTAGTTTTCTCAGAAAATATGAAAACTGAGATCACCGGGAAAATCAGTATGTTGTACCGATTAAATAAATATTATTAAAGAAAATATACAATGCCTATTTAATAATTTTACCATAATATGACATATATATTGTTGACAAAGCATCACCATCAACTGAACTCCGCTCAAAATCTTTTTTAGTAAGCAATGGTTTATCGTTGCTTATAGATACAAATTAATTTCCCATCTATATCCTACCTTCTCAACTTTCCACCTATACCAGTGGCTGCACCCATCCCAATTATCTTACCTTTCATATTACAACTAAATATGACGTTTTCGAAAATATAGACAAAGATTTAAGAATTATGTTTCAACCCTTAAAGCGTATTATGATTTTTTTGATTCTTTATTAGAATATGCTAGAATTTCTTTTCAAATTTGTATTATCTTTATCATAAGTATAAGACAAATATTTCAAGTATAATTTTTAAAATTTTCAGTGAAACAATTTCTATTTCCAACGTATCCTATTAAACCGAAACCACCTAAACTAATCATAATCAGTTGTACGAGTATACTTAAAATTAGGTCTAAATCAACTAAAATATACACTGTCATCAAACCATTTAATTATTTTATTGTCTTGTATACTTTTTACATATGATTGATATTATTTATAATAAAATATATATATTTCAAAATTATTTCATTTCTTGTTATTTTAGTAAACTTAATGATGGTAATTTGGAAAATTTTCTAAGCGAGTATCTAAATATCATAAAACGTACAAAAATCATAAAAAATATAATTACCTAATTAAATAAAATTATTTACAATAAAATGGTTTACACGCAGTATTTATACAAATTTTATAAAATTAGAATATAGCATTGATAATGCAGAGGTTGTTTTTTTTTATCACGATCCTTCTATTATCTACAAAGATATTTATTTAGTAAAATTTATTTTGATTTTTTTTTCAGTCATTTTAGAACCGTTTAATGGTATTATGTACTATATATTTTAAATAATTTACCTTCATTCCTCACACTTTAAACACATACAAACTTTTTATGTTAAAATATCTATTCTTCTTTACAAAACCAGATACGAAAACAGAGTTAAAAAAAAAAAACTTGTATATACATAGCACTTAGGTGTATTGGATTAAACATTTATTGTGCGTTATAATATGGTTTAAAATATAAACCAAAAGAGTAGAAGAGGCTATAAGCGGGTAAGAAATTTATCACCGATCCCAGTCAAAATTTTAAACTGTTATAAATCATTGAAATTTAATAAATTGTATAACTCACAAACGATACATTCGATATCAGCAAATGTAACATTTTCGGAAATAGTATCTGTTTTATGAATCCTTATTGAAAAGAGGTTGTCGTTTTAATATCAAAAGTTTATACGCATTTAAGGTGCATAAAAGGTAAGTGTGAATAATTGATTTATTTGGTAATGGTATTCAAATCGAGAAATTGTACATTTTAATAATTGAAAAAATACAAATAAATTTATTTATAATTGCTGGATCATGACAAAAAAGATCAACCTGTACATATTTATGATATTATAAAAAAAAAAAAAATAGATAATGTATTCGTATTAAAAATGCATTAGAGAATATTATAATATTAACGTAAATAAAAATTAGTTGAAATATTTTATTACATTTTAAAATAGGTTAATGATTTTGTTTGTATTTGTATGTAATTACTAATATGTTTAAAAACAAACGTTCAGGGAAAAAATAACGTTTCGATTACACTGTTTACACGTCTTGTTAAAACTCGTCAGAAAAAAACATCAAACAATAATCAGTGACATAGCCAGTGGTGTGGTTAAAGGGTTAACGCCTCCCCCTGCAAAATTGTCTCTACCACCCTTAAAGTGTTTAAAAAATACATATTATTATCCAGTCAGTGTAATTATAATTTATAAGTATAAATTATATACTACGGTGCATTTAATTGCACCATTAAACCACAATAGATACCTATATGACTTTCAATCGTCTTAATAGGTACCTAATAGACTTTTATAAAGTGAATGAGATGATTTCTATTTAAGTTCCCCTTGATATTTGTTGTCTGGCTGCGCCACCGAGTCGAATGAATTAATTCTACATTAAAACTAAATCTATAATTAATGTCAATTAGGTATATTGTATACACAATAACAGCAGTTATGATATATTTGTACTTATTATATAAAAAAAAAAAAAAAAAATGAAGTACAATAAATTTATACCAAAATAAAATTGTATAAATTGTATTAAAAACAATTAAAATCTAGTGTGTGATATGTATCATCTTATCACCTTATTTTAAATGTTACCTACTATTCTTTTAATGTCCGTGTAATTTAAGAGTGATTTTCGGCTTATACGTTTTCATATAAAACATAGAGAACAAGTACAAAAACAAGACCATATCACAGACCACATACATTATAAATAATTTCGGAAAATTGCAGTTGAACATATACAAGCCAGCGTGCCACGCCATGATCGTTATGAATTGAATCTAAAATGAAACGATTATCAACTAGGTTTTTGTTTTTATTTTTATTTCATAAATCTCGACTTACGATTTGCATACGGGTCAGGTATTTTTTCCACCATAAGTATTTTTGCATATGCGGACCCAAAGCCGATAAGAAATAGTAGCTGTACATAACCATATGTATGAACGAGTTGATGAATCCGCTGAACAACAATTGTTCTCCTATGAGAAATCGTATTATTTTAATAAAACCCATAAAAGTACTGTGTTATTTTATTTTTAATTTTCGCAATAAAATACATTTATTACATCGATTTTTTTTTTATCTTCTGTTTAGCTACACCGTTTTAAAAATTATTTTATTTTATATATATATATAATGTACATTGTTTCGTTGGTATTATGTTATAAAGTCGAATAATAATTATTATTTTTGAAGCAAATTCATTGCATTAATGTGATACTTAAATAATGGATTAATCCCTTGCTCCCCACCCCCACACAAAACTCAACTGTAATAAATAATAAAACAAATTCAAATTCTATTATTAGAAAAATATATACGTTCACAGCGATTAAAATTTTCAACGCTTAGATTTTTTTTTAATATACTTTTTCAAGAGTACCTTGCTGTTACGGCAATATAAACTTTTGTTCTTCAGTTGAAACACTATTGTTTTAGATTTTGAGCGAAGCGGGGAATGTAATATTGGTTTTACAATGATCTTCATTATTTTTATATTTTCCGTGAACAACTTTTCTACTAGAAATTTTGTTCCGATTTTCAAGTGTAGCACTTTTTTTTTAAAAGAAAAAATTTGACCGGGGTGGTATATTAAATTCAGTTTTTATTTTTCTGAGGATTTTCATAATAAATGGGAAAAAACGTAAGAAAAATGTCTGAAATGTATTATTTTTAAATCGTAAATTATACAGCCTTTCAAAACATAAACATGTATATAACCGAACTCCGCTCAGAATCGTTTTTCGTTAGCAAAGATCGATAATAGTTACGTACAGATAAACATTAATTTCCCCTCTATATCCTATCTTCCTAACTTTTCACCTACAATACTGCCCATCTTTCGCGCTTTACTTATCTTTTTTTTTTTTTAATTTTTTGTATGCATATTAGTAATGGTCAGTTATTAAAAGTACTTTTTAAATGTATTCAGAATACGTTTATGAATGCTTCTGTAAAATGTAATAACAATTTCTTTTAAAATAAATTTTAATATAAATACAAATACTTGTTAGATTAGGTTTGCATCATATGCAAAATATTTTATAAATACTTTTGTTTGGTTTAATCCACTTAATATGACGTGAATAATCAATTCTCCATTCAACAAATTAAAAATTAATATTAAACTTATTTACGAATATGTTATTTAATTGTATTAATAAATGAGCTTATTAGGTTGACTTTATCTAGATAGATTACATTACTATATTGTGTTATGAGTTATAAAAATATATTTTGAAAAAATCTTATTAAAAATTGTTAAAACTACTAAAAAGTAAATTTGTTTAGAAAGAATTAAAATCTAAAATTATAAAATGTGAAATTATTATAGTTTAATGGTAACATGAACTTAAGTGTTTCATTATCTGGAATAAAAATAGATAAAGCTATTATTTTTAAAGTCTTTGAGATTTATGTATCAAAAAGCATTCCTAAATTATTTAAACATAGGTACTCGGACACTCAAAAAGACTGGTAACTGATTTTCGGTTAGTTTACTACAACATGTATTGAAGTTGAAATTAGAATAATCAGTATCGATAGAAATTTGTGAGTTAACATTATAATATTAGCGTCTAGTGAAATATTAATGATTAGAAGGACACACGAAAGGATACTTTGATGAGTAATAATTTCCAAACTATAATTTGTAAATGTTTGAACAAATTTCGCGAAAGAACTGTATTTTAATTTTATTTATAAGTGAGTATTTCAGTTAATATTTTTGTGTAGATAAATTTTCATGTTATTATCTTTCATAAATGTTGTTAAAATTTCTTATACACGGAATAACGAAACCCTTTAAATATTGGAAGATGCGTGACATCCTCTTAAAATAAATTATTATAGAAACACTTAGTTATTTGATTAAAATATAATATTCAATAATTATTAATGCTCATATGATACCTTTTATGAACCTCAGGTATGCCCAACATGTAATAACCATATTAACATGATGATAGACGTGTAAGAAAGATACATGTGACTGTTTTTTCCTCAAGACGAAAAATACCTGTAAACGAATAAATAAATTATTTATACATTTATATTACAACGGTTCCATTATATTAATAGCATTTTTAAATAACAGCATTAAGTAAAAAGGAGCTGAAACAGCTGATGGTGTGCAACTGTTGCAGGTGGAAAGTTGAGAATAAGGTAGAAAATATAGATTGATTTAATTTATATATTTTAATAATTTCATTACTTGATAACAAATAACTAAAAATGCATTATTATCGCTACAAAAAAGTTCGTTTTTGGATTGGTGCAAGATTTCTCGTAGGAATGTTTTTAAAATGTCGAAATAAAATCTACGCATATAGTAAAACAAATACATTTCTCGTTACGCTCATAATCGAAAAGATGAAGATAATGATTTTACAATTGTACGATTATAGGTACCTACTTAAATATTCAAGTTTTTGATAAAACGTTTAATAATATTACGATGAAAACGGTTTGTGTAATACGAAGTTTGTTTTCGTTTAGACAGAGGAATTTCGTTGATCTAATGCAGAAGCAGAATGTTCATCCTTTGAACTCGTGATAATATGTGATATAATAGAAGTTTAATAACAGCCAAAGGATGGTATCTCATATAAAAGTTTTAGCTGTTATTCATTGTACCTATATATTTATCATAATGTTATTTATAAAATGTCCAGAGCTTGACATGGTGTTATGTTTGTCGTTCGACCCATATATTATAATCAATGCCTACCTAAGTCTGTTTGGTCAAACACGATATGAACTAGGTATATATTTAAAAAAAACACACACTGTACCAGGGGATGGGTTCAAGACAAAATAATGTAAAGGGTGATTTTTAAAATTCATATGAGACACATAATTTTGAAGAAAATCAAGATCAGAGTATATTGGGGCTTGGAGTGAATTTGGGTGCAAACGGAAAAGGGGAGGACAATAGCCCCCTGGGTGTTGAACCATCTTTGAATCCACTGCATTGTCCTGAGTGTAATATAGTATAATATTAGAATATTTGTATACAACATTTTGTCGATTATACTTACCGTGTCCAACAGATCGATTATTTTGGACAGAAAAAAATACCACGATGCTTTGTTTAACTGAAACACAATAAAGTTTTTTATTTTAGGGCTTCAAATAAGAGATATACAATTTTATTAGCTCTTTCGTAAACTTGTATTTAAACTACGTTTACATTTTGACTCACTATGAACGCAAATACGAACTAATTTCCTTTTTTCTCTTATAAAGTTTATAATAATATACGTAAATAATTTGCTGTAGGTAATTTAAGTAAGTTAAGATTTTTAATTGACATCTTTCCTCTCTGTTTTACATTTATATTTGGTATTCTTATTCACTTTATTAAGACATGCACAGTAAACAATAATAATAATTATTTTATTTTCTTGTCAATTATTATTACGTTCGGGTATAAGTATTTATAAAAATAATAATAACAATAATATCAACGCAAAATTATTTCAACATAATTTTTAAATAACGCAAATGGATTTAATTTTACTTACCTCGTGTATGAGAAATTGGTTGTGATGGCGAGGCAGTGGATGACATAAATGATTGACATAGTAATTTATTGCTCCAGGTGTTATGAATAACTAATTGTATAATAAAAAAGAAAATACTATATTTTAATATTATAATCACATATAGTTTTTCAATTACAAAAAATAATTATTAAAAATGCATTTTGTTTAGTAGGTATTATATATTATGTTGCTGTTATATGTCTTCTGTTTTGGTAGACTATATATTATTATATACGAATAAAATGTGTATAGATATGTAGTTAATATATCTTATTGCATAAAACACTTGTAAATTTTAAAATTAAGCAATCAATAAGAAATCAACCCCATAAACTTATAATATAAGTAAGTACCTAGTGATCCGGAATTAAATATGCACCTGAAGAAGAAGAAGAAGTGATAATAATTATTTTGAATATCTATGATAATGAATATCCATAATAATACATATCCATTCGATAAAATAATATTAAAATTACTTGTTTATTCAAATTTAGCTTGGAATATTCGTTAAGGTCATTTTCGTCGAGTTGGTAAAATATTTTAATTTTGTTAAATACCTATATAAATTATTTAATACAGTAAAATGATTTTAATTTGATATTTAGGTGCTCTTTTGTGATTTGTAAGACTTTCAAGTTTTAGAATCGAGATTAATTTTGGTATTTTATCATCAAAAATAAATATATATACGGTGTGTCACGAAAATATAACCATTGCAATATCTCCTGAGATAATTAAAGTAATCCAATTTTGTTTTTTTTTTTATATTTTTTTTACTCACAGGGACAAAGACTACAAATATTTATATTTGAATTAAATTTGTATGTTTTAGTAAAAAAATTTTAACAATAACTATACAGAGATTATTCTTTTGAACATTTTGACGTGCAACTTTTATTTTCATTTATGATTTTTAATAAATTTTAAAATGTACGAAAAAAAAAACAAGTACAGTCAATTAGCCACAATAATAATAATAATCAATTAGCGAATGCGATTACAGCTTGCTTAATAAAATTATGGGAACTTTTCTTTAAACTTTAAAAATTATTATTAGTCACAAATTTAATGAAAATAAAAAGTTGAAACTTCAACATTTTCAGAAGAATAAACTCTGTAAATTGGTTATCTTCAAAATTGTCCAAAATAATAAAATAAAGTTTTTTTTTTTATAGAAACATAAAAAATTAATTGTAATATAAAAATATGTAGTCCTTTTCTCTGTGAATACAAAAAAAACTAAAATATCTTATTATTATTTCTGGAGATATTACCATGAGTATTCGTGGGATATTATTTCGGCAGGTATCCACGTCCAAATGTAGAATATTTTATAGCAGTCGTGAATGTTTTGAATATTAGATTAATACGTTACACAAACAAAGCTCAAATCGATTTTAATACGACTCTCGTACATATTCAATATTTATAACCGCGTATGCTTTATACTTCGAGTGCGCGTTATTCTTATTAGGCATAACTAAAATATATCGTTTTCGCGAATTGAGAAATTGAAACTTATTAATTATAATGTAAAGGTGTGAGCTGTTCAAGATGTAAGACCGCGGTATACCGGTGTACTTACGTCTAAGCATAATAAACTATATATTATTATTATTGTTATGTCGAGGATGGATTTAAAAATTTATCACCACTCCGCGCAGAATGTCACCCTAAAAATGGAAAAACCTCTGTACAATAACAATGCATTTCGGATGTATGCAAATATTTCCTTGAATTTGATTGCATTTCATATATTTACTAAATTCGCAGAGACTATAAGGTTATATTCGGTAGGTATTCAAATAGTTAATTTGAATACCTAATAATATAGACAAATATTACATGAGCAGGCCCGTCGCTAGGGTACAAGCCAGCCATGCGTTGCTTTTTGGTGGCATACAATTTTAAAGAAATAAATTGAAGCGTTAAAATGAAATTGATAATCGTCAAAAAAGACAGGAATAGAATTTTCACTTTAGGACGGAAAATATCTTACACCGGGCCTGTGTATGGGGAATAGTGTAACACCTAAGTAATCATATTGATTTTAACACCTATTGATTATATTTAAACAGTAAAAATCGTTTCCTGGATTTAACCAAGAATATTGAAACTCACATAAAAATAAATTTAAAAAAAGTCCGTGTCGTTAGTTATTAAGTTTTACAAGTAAATGTCTATATTATTTATTAGGTAACCGTGATATTTGGCCAAAAACGTATTTTCACAAAACAGAAAAAAATACCATTCCGAGTACAGATATAAAAAATAACTAGATAGCCGACCCTATGAGTGCGTACCTGACGTATCAGAGTATCTAAAACTTGGCAACCATATGCGTGAGATGTGAAAAGGCAAATTTCATTGATTAATTATGAAATATTTGTTTATGCTACGAATTATGTGATAATAGGAAAATATTTGAAATCAATCTCAAATAGTTTCTGTATTATATCCAATAACTTCATGGGTTAATCCATAGTCATAAAGGATAATGTGCCCTACAATAACTGATTAGTCCACTTGCCGAGCAAGTTTTAGTTAAAATTCTACCCACGATCGCTGCAAGTTATACTTATTTAAGGTTAATGGTTATGACTTAGTAATTAAATGACACGATTATAAAATACCAGAATATCAAAATACAAAAATGTGCAATTACCACAATTACATAATACATATACTAGTTATAATACAAATAACAAAATAATTAACGCAAATACGCTATAAAATTACCTATATAATTTTTATTATATATTTGGTCTCAGGGGAGAAGTGCTTAAGAAGTGGATTTTATAAATTATTTTTTTTATATTGCCAATTATAGAAAAATTACGAATATTATGGAATCGTGAAAAAAATTATTGGAAAAAATTGCATAAACAAATTACATTAAATAAAATTGACGTGAGGCTTTATTTCTTGGAACCAAATATACAATCTAAAATAAGTTAAACTTATAGTGCTTAATAAGTAAACGTTGATTTGAGTATGCCCCAATAATATATGTTCGTCGGACTTCAAATTATCTAAGATCGTCGGTTAATCAAAACGATCTGTGTCTTCTTGATACACGCCACGGCTGATTTCATATCACAGTATTCAGGTATTCTATCATATACAGTAAGATTTATAATTATTGACTCTGTGGTGTAAAGTGATTTCAGAAGTTTTACTCATCATACAAATAACATACTTATTTATTTTTAATTTACTTGAATGAGACGAGATCTATGTACATCTGTGCTCGAGATCGCTATTCAAGATTAATAAGCAGTGGTAGTTATTTTTTTTAGTGCTATACGACACACTTTGTGCACTACAAAAAATTAAATTGTGCACGTGCCACCTGTGTTTCTATTATAGGCAATTATTATTGTATTTACTACCATTAGTAAAAAAATTCAAATAGTTACATGTGTGCGCTACGGAAAATCAGAAAACATAACCACTGTAATAATAAGTGGCTCTTTTAGTTTTCGAAATGAACACATTGACCCCTATTGGCTATAAATAAAGTCGTTTTCTTTAATTATTATTTTCATCAAATGGACTGTTTAGGGAAAATTTTTAGATATAAAACGATTTTGTGACCCGTGGATTTTATAATGAAAAACACGCTCGCATTGACATGTTCTTAAATATTTCTTTGGAAATGGAATAGTTATTAAGTCATATATATATATGGTAATATATTGAAGAAACTCACCAACGTTACGAGCCAACTATTGTAAAGCGTTTGTATCACGTTATACAAAAGCATTATGTTTTTGATGTTAAACGGTTTCCGGTTTTCCATCATATTCGGGCCGAGTTTTAATACGAACAACAGATAACCAGATAAAATCGTCAGCACCATCCACGGCGTATTCATGAACGGCCACGAGTCGACCACTTCGTCTGTTAAATTGATCGCCAAAAATTATTATTGAATAATATTTAATTTGGATTTTAAAGGCCTTGTCCGTGTTTTTTTACAAATTGTTAACGTTTACAATAATTAATTAATCTTAACAAATTGTTTAATCAATTTTAATTTTCATGCTAATAAAGTGCCTGAAAATGATCTTTTTTACGCTCGAAACCTGCTTTACAGGAAAAACTCTTATGGTTCGTTAAATGATTTAAAAATTTAAAATTAGGGAAAACTGGTAATATACTGAAAACTCTAACTGTAGCATTTAGACGTTAAATTTTCAAATTTAAAGTCTAATATTAGAAATTTGAGAAATTGTTTTCATTTTAAAAAAAATGTTTTATTGAAATCGGACCATTCAACGTGAGGCCCGAGATTTTTTCCTGTAAATAAGCAAGTTTTTCGAAAAATGTATTAAATATTACATAAAGGTACTTACCGAAAACTAATTCATTATTGAATACTTGTAAAAGATAATTTTGTGTTTTCGCCGTGAAATCGTTCAAACTTGCTTGTGTCACGTTGGCCATGTTGTATCAACGTTATTGCAACGTCTACTTCTAAATTTACAAAACAACGAAATAATTCATTAAATTATGTGATCAAATAGCAAAATGTGTATAAATTTTAATGGAATAGCAATATTAAAAAATATTGTATTGAGTTTGCCAAGTAGGTTTTATTTTTATCCTAATACTTTATTCAAACGATAACTGAAACTACTATATTAAGTGAAGGAAAAAAAAACCATCACTGTGTATTGTACAGTATAGTATTGTATAGTATTGTAATAATAAAAATGTTACGGTTTTCAGAAAACAGTTAAATACATTTTATATTATACGTTACAGCGTATATAAAATAATAATAATTGTTCGAACATTAATTATATGCATGTATTTTAGTTTTGAATTTAAAATACATTTTCAACAATATTAATATTTGATTTGTCTTGGAAATATTAGAATTGTATGCACGTAGGTGCAGTTATTCTTATAACTGAACAAAAAGAAGTTTGTTTTTACAAAATGCATCATCTCTAAAATTATGCATTAAAATTAAATATGACAAAACCACTGCATTTAATCTGATAAATCCGAGTTTTATGCGACAACAACTATTTTATTAATTATTTAGAAAAACAAATATTATTACTTTAGGTTTATTTTTATCATTTTTTTTATTTTTTTTGTTGGAATTTAATCTTTCAGATATAAAATATTAGTAAGAAAAAAAAATTAGTGACTTTATTACTCTTCGTTCCTACATACAACACATTACACTATTTGTAAATGATTTTTATTTTTTTTGATACGTCGTCCAAAATAATAATATTAACTCATAATTTCCTTACGAGCGGGTTTTTTTCATATAAATTGTTATGATTTTAAATAGTTTTATCAAAATTGAATATTTTGTTTGTTACTATAGAATAACTCTGGTTTGAGAAGAATAAAACAATTGTGACAGTTTTTGTTTTGTTATATATTACATAATGTTACTATTTAAATAATTTTAAATGTCTATTATAATAAACTGAATCGAGAATTATTGTTTTAATAAATTAGATAGCAAATTATTATATTAATATACTTGTAAAACTCACTAATAAGAGCAAAAAGCGTGTAATGATTTATAACAAAAATTATCGATTTATTTGACAATACGCATACTTATTATACGAATAGTAAACAAAGAATAAAACATTATTTTATCTTTTTAGATTTTTCCTCCCACTATGGTCTTATATAAGTATAAATCAGTCGAGTTATTTTCTCTCGAGTAAAGTCTTACAAGTTTTAATCGTTCAACTTTAGGATAGTGTGTCCGAGTGCCGGTATAAAGGCTTATAGAGATTACACGATGTTTAATGACTCGGATATTATTATTAAGAACAAAATAAAACAAAAAGATCTGTTATTGCAGGTGATGTCCACTGATTAGGCGGGATATAATACACAGGGTATGATGGGTAAGAAATTTAATTTAAATCTCGAATGCAAAGACAATAGGTGATATAATGGCATTACAACCGATAAAAACGAATCTGCAGAGTAAACTTATTTTAGAGACCGTGCGGTAAAATATTATTTCGGGAAAGATTTAAAATTAAATTATAAACCGCCATGAAATAATTTACAATCCGTCGGCGGGTTTCGTTAAAATTTCTGCTTCAAACGCTGTCAAAAAATCGTTAACGGACAGAAAAAAAAAATTAAACACACATCCAAGTAAGATCAATACTCATTTCTCACAAAGTACGAAAAGAAAAGAAAAACGATGACGCATATCATACAATTGCGTACGTATGTACTATGTTCCCGTGAAAGCCCGACTGGCTAGGTTTTACTAGCTAATGTTAGAATTTACTGTTTGTATACAGTTGATGCACAGTGAAAATCATCATTTTATTCGAGTTTTTACCAAACATTTTGTGTATATGTGAACGTCCAAATTGAGTTAGTAAAAACTGATTACGCGACAAATAAAAATTATAATTATTAATTATTAAATCTATATATTATCAGATTTTACACCAACTCAAATTGTACGTCCTATAGGATATACACAAAGTGTTCAGTAAAAGCTCGAACAAAATTACGATTTTCAGCATTCACTGTGTACAAACCGTAAATCCTAGCATTAAATAGTAAAACCTAGGTTCATGTAATCTGGCTAATCTTGGGTTTCAGTCAACGACTCGCGGTATTATCGTTATTTGTACGCGGCCGTTATCATTTGTATTAGTATATTATTATATTTTAATCGTTAATATTTGATTGTATCGAAAACATCTTACTGAACAATATTCGCCCGTTCTCGCGGTGTTATTCTTCTCCCATCTTAGGGCACGAAGTACTGTATACAATTATAGTATTTTAATGTAGTATTATGCAGTAAACACGCTCGTATACACAATAATAACGCGTAAATTATAAAAAAAACTAACTAAGAGTAAGCAAAGTAAGATTCGCGACGAAATACTATACTGTATTCTCAGGCGGTCTTAGGCGCGTTGTCTCCGGTCGACGCCTTCCACACGACCACGCGCGTACATTAACCGCTGACTAAGCCTCTAGTGACGGATTGGCCGGGGCAGAGAGTTTTACGGAATCCGTCGGTGATTGCGATAATTGAAATAAAATGCGAAATTTGACCGATAAACGAATATTAGAAAAATTTCGTCCGACCGCTGATTTTTCAACCGAGAAAGTTTTACGATAGTCTAATGTGACGACCGCGGACGGCCGGTCCGTCGTTAATAACTGTTATGACCACACTAGCCCATCCACTCCTGAAATATAATACCTATAGATTTGAAACGCTGCATAACATACTAAGGCAAATGTGTTATTCGTTTGCGTAAAAATATTACTGTGATCTCAGCTAACGTAATTAGTGGTTAATTGATAAATACCAAGTCGCGCCATAAGTGCTGTCCCCATTTATACATTTTTCTAAAATCGCTAATGCTAAACGCTAATGACTTTGTTTTCAAATATAATTTTACCTAATGGTCATATCTACTAGTTATGTCTGATTAATACGGATTTTCACGTTACACAGTAAATACGGAATGGGATATTAATGAGAATCGTATTGCAGTGATAGCGTTATTTAAGAGGAATAAACCCCCGTTAGAGATTTTCAAATTATTAAAATCGCTGAAAATAACTCAGAAATGTGTTCATCGGACCACTAAACGGTTCAACAAAATGAATACTGTAGACGACAGACCAAGAAATGGACGACCACGCGAAACACGAACTAAAGCTGTCGAGCAGAGAATCCGTAGTAATCCATCCTGCAAGCACAAAAATCATGGCCCGAAAAATGAAAATCCCACCAAGAACCGCCATATCCATATCCCGTATTATTAAAGAAGACCTTGGTTTCGGCGCTTGTAAGTTGAAACTCAGAAAGATTTATAGGACATTTAAGTTGTGATACTAAATGCAACGACAAATAATTGCTAACAAAATACGATTCTAAGTGAAGTACAGTTAAACGCGTTTTGGAATGCCGTAATTTTTACGATTTTCGTTAGAACTTGAACTCAAAACGCTTATAAAAAAAAAAAAAAAACGATTACATAAAAAGTATATAAAGCGTCAAACTGTCAAGCATTTGTGTTCGACCAAAAAAAATTTTAACCAAATAAAAGCTAAATAATATTACTGTTTTTCCGACGTTTCTTCTGGTTTCTTCAGTTATTTGTAAAATTACAAGGCGATACAAATAAAAAAAAAAAATGCGTCGTGACTTGAAAATAATTTTCATTAAAAACCAACATTGACTATAATGTTCAGAGGTAATCGGAGCGAGTGCTTTGGTCGAAAATTTGTTAACAAACAGAAAAAAAGAGAAAAATAAAATTAAAAAAAAAAAAAAAAAAACGAAAGCGCACAAATTAATGTAAAAACATATTCAACATTTAAAGCACTGAGTAAGTAAGGACACCGTTGTTGTAATAATATCACGAAACCGGAATGTTCAAAATCGTCTTACAGGTACCATACCGACAGCAGTAAATATCTATTATAGTGTTAACGTCACTAATAATGCTAATTGAAATGTATTTATTGTGTAATTATTGTTACTCGACAAGTTACTACATTATTCAACTTGATTACTTATAACCTACATATAGGTGCTATGTCATAATACTTAATGAAATATTATGTAGCACAGCTATAGTGAACGCATAATAATTTAATGTATAGGTTATTCATAAATACGGCATAATAATATTGTACACAATGATATGCATTCATGTTGACGTCATACGTGGATAGTATTCCGGGTATTAATTATTCAATATTGTAATCAGAATATTTTTTAAAAATATATTATTCCTTAAAGCGAAAAAAATTACTTTTCTCAGTCTCGTTTTAGAGTTTTTAACGCTTACTTAGATGTATACTTTATTTTCTCGGAAAACATTTTTCCGGTTGTACTAAAAATGTTCCGATTTGTTTACACATTATTTTAAACAATTCGGAATTTTTCACCGGGTTTAAAACATTTTTCGAAATTTGCAATAGTTAATAATATATAATATAATGTATAATCATGTATCATTATCACTATAATATCTATATTGTTCCCTTAAATCATCCGAACTTTACATTATATTTTTTTTTACACGTATTCGTAAAATATGCCGAACGCTTTCCGCAAAGTATTCGGAATGTTTTAAAAATACAATTGTTGACAAATATTCGAATATTCAGTCTGAATACTTTTTAAAAATATTTTACCTTAGACTTTTTGATACCTATAGGTTAGGTGTTATAACACATATATCTAGTTCAACGTACCAAAGACAAATTTTAATCTGTTAGTACTGCAAAAATAACTTGTATAATATAGGTACGTAGTTCGTATCCCGTTTTTTTTATCAAACCAAATATATTATAAAATATTACGCTGAATAATATGAAAATGGCGTGTTTTAGTTAATTACACCGTAATGTTATTATTTTAATGCTGTCCTAAAAATTCACTAAAAAATGATGATGTAATAGGTAACGTTTAGTGCAACGAGGGTGTGCAACCGTGTGTATCTATGTGAATTCACGTGGCCATTGCATGAATGCACTATCTTCATTAGTCGATCGAAATAATTACGAATTTATAATTTAATTATTTTTAATTCGACCAAACGTATTGTTTAATACATTAAAAATACACTGTAGTTAGGTCACTTGGAAATGTACACGGACATATTATAGATAAATTATTAATTATGCCATGTGATATTTTTTATTATTATTTTGTCGGTTGATTCGAAATAATATTATGTATCTATATTTTATTGAAACCTCTTATTATAACGGACATTAAAGCGTGATATAATTAAACAAAAAAAAAAAAATACCCGTTTAAAAAAAAAATACACATATCATAGCAAAGCCAATACATTCAAACGTACCCAACGATTTCAATTTCAGAGCTTCAATTAATAGTTGACAATTTTAAGCCTTTTGCGTCAGGAAAACTTTAGTTTTTCACCGGGGAGAACCAACGTGGATCAAATGTAAAATAATAACATTAATATTTTGTTAGGTATCTATAATAAATATCTGAGCTACACAAATGTGTCTTAAGGGCCTGATAACAGAGCGTTTATTTCCGAAAAACACGCTTTACTGGATAAACTCTCAAGTCTCGAAAAGTGGTACGATTTCGATGATTATTTTTTTGGTGGATCGATATGAATATCCTACAGATTCCATTGTACTTATTTTTCAATATTTTCATCTTAATTTACATATTATTTATAGATACATCTATGTTAATTATTTTGCTCATTTGCTTTAATATTTTAATGCTTTAGCACCAAAATTTGGCTTGGAATAAAGGTTTTTCAAGGATCGACTATGTGATTTAGCGTTACTGCATATTCCCCGAGAACTTGTTGTTTCAGCAGAGACAATTATTGATCGCTTTGCATGTAGCTAACAAATAAATCTTGAATCTTGACTTTGTTTTTTATTTCTTTAATAAATGCGAATTATTAATAAGCGGTTTCATAATTTACATTAATAATATTATAAGTTATCGTCATACCTGTGTGATTTTTTGCTCGCGAAGACGTAGGTATTCTTGAAATAAAACTAGTTTTTTGTTTTTCTTAAGGTTCGGTACACGAAACTGGTACCTACCGCATTTATACGACACTTGTAAATTGCACATAAATTGTATAGAATTCTCAAACGACTTATATTATATACATTTTTTTTATAACGATCGTCTGTTTTTTCAAACAAGAAAACATACCGATCATACGCGACTCACCAAATCCACGAAATCTACAAGAGAAGTTTGCAGAGTGATTGAATTAACGTGAAACACTCGTTATTTTGAAAAGTATTGATTTAAAAAAAAAAAAAATAGTTTTGAAAATTTACAAAGCACGCAACTCTAAAATGTATCTCATTATCATCATTAATTTTCACCTTTATTTTGGGCGTGAAACGAATACCACTAAAAAACAAGGGTGACGAAAAATAATAGAAATGCAGAATTTAAGAGCTACTTGTTTCTTGAATTGCCGAAAAAAAACGGAACGGTATACTGTAATATTGGTAAGTACCGGAAAATCGTAATAACGACACATACCGGAAAACCTCGTTCGTTGATATTTTATTTTATACTATTGAATGAAAGCATAATTGTATAAGTGAAAACACTGATAACGGCATAACTCGTTACATCAAAATGTATTATTCCATGGAGGTAGTAGGTTTAAATCGTTAAACATGGTAATATACAATGTTTTCTAGGAGAAAAGTTTTTTACAGTTACAAAATAAAAACCATAGGTACATATCATAGTAAAACCGATAGATCCCTTGCTACGCTCTGAATCTAAAATTAAAATGAACGTTAACGTGAACGAATTAAATATTTTCGTGAACGTTCCGAATATACGGTATACCGTTCAAGCGGTATTTGAACAATAACCAATACAGCTGGTTAACCGATACAGCCGGTAAAAATGCTTAATCTCAATTTTTCAATAAGGACGCAAACATTTGAATCAGATCAACTTTCTCTACGCCCAACCATTTACATATCCTGTATATTTCGCGGAATGTTACAAATTTTCCGCTCGCTCGTATTCTCATTTAATGCACGAGTTGACATTACAATAATAATAATACTAAAATATTAATTACTAAACATATTTCATTACCATAACAACAATTTATTAACGGTGATAAAAATATTAGTAAAAAGAACGGACATACTTCGCACATAGGTGCAGCCACTGCTGTAGGTGGGAAGTTGGGAAGGTAGGATACAAACAGGAATTTAATGTGTAATCTGTAAGCAACGATAAACCATTGCTAACGAAAAAATGATTCTGAGCGGAGTTCAGTTGATAGTGTTGCTTTATCAACAATACAATATATGGTATATGTAATTTTATGTTAAAATGATTACAACAGTGTGCATTTCCATGACAACAATGATTGTTTAAAAAAATATTAAAATAATAAAAACTTAATATTAACAAAAAATAAATAAAATTAGTTGCCAATGACAACCTTATTTTTCATCTTTCAATATTTTCTAAACTAGAAAACCAGGTTTTCCTTATTATCTCAAATATTAATGAGAATTTCAAAAAATTACCTCTTCAAAGTACTATCCAGAGAACATTCATTTCAGAAAAAGTGCTACACTTGATAATCGGAATATGATTTTTGGTAGAAGACGTGTTCACATAAATAAATAAATAAAATAAATATCATTGTAAAACCAATACATTTCACACAGAATTTAAAAAAAATAGATATTGTGTTTAAGATTTTGACAGACGTCCGTATTCTTTATTTTTTTAAACATTATTATTAACTATAGTTTATAATGTGTCGTATTCACGATTCGCACATTACACGAAAAATTTAAAACTCATACGTATCTATAAATAAAATTAATATTTAAAATATTTGCGTTTAAAACAACTATAAGGTATTTTAGTTTTTACAAACGGTTGTTAAAATGTTAGGCAGGGGATATTGGCGCGTGGTAAAAAATTATTTACGTCATTCTAAAAGTATGATACGAACGAAATAAACGTAAGGTATACTCTTATAGTCCGTATTTCCACTACGATAGATTCGGCATAAAATCATATAATATTACCAAAAAATCAACTGGTATTTTTTTCCCGAATAATTATAGGCACGTTATACTACATATTTTTTTGCTTAACATAATATATAATGTCTATAAAACGATAACGATTATTCTGCGGCGAAAAAATATAGACCATCACCGCCGCACCGGAATTATACTGTTTTATAGCCTGTAACTCCTATTATATAGGTATTAAAGTAAGTTATATTATTATTCTTATTCAACTATCGATTTTTCGGTGTTTATTGCATACCTATTATAAGTTATACATTTTTTTTTTTCAAATATGTAATATATAATATTTGATGTATGAGTTTACAAATAAATAAAAACATTAAAAAAATGTATGTAGTAGGTATAATATTTTTGGGAACTTAATAATTTTTCATATTTTATAAATGTAATATTTTTCTCGCGGCTTCTAAACGAATACGAAAAATATCATATTTTTGTATTATTGCTATAAAAGCAGCTCTGAAGATATAAATTCCGAGCCGGGGAAAATGTATAAAAAGTCCGATTAATAATATTAAGGGACATATTTTTTTACCACCTTCCTGGAAGGTGGGAGGGGGGTTAGAGTTTAATGTTACATGACGTGTGGTTATTGTAGTATATTTATATTAATAACCTATTTTAAATTAGTTTTGCACGTCTATTATTTATATTTAGCCTCATCATACACATCATACACAGTTACCATAGGTAATTTACGAGTAGCCAAAATAATATTTTAGCTACAATGCGTGTCTACCATGCAAAAATTAAAATGTTTTTCAAACATGCCACTAACACATAATAATTGATACGTTTCCATTATTTGTACACCCGTATCAATCTGTATGAATACACTTAATAAATAGTCTTGTTAAAAATACTTTTCAATTATATTCGAATTATTATTCATTTATTCGTTATAATTTTTTCATATTTTAGTAAAATAATCAAATAGGCTGTTTAAAATTATCTTTAATAATATTTGTTTTTGTACCGATTTCCCCGTTTTTCTTACGATTTTCCCAGTTTTCCCATGTTTTTCCCGGTTTTTCACATTTACTGGGAAAATTCTCGAGGAAATCGAAAAACGACGTCCTTAGAGTACCTCCTCACATAGATTTCTTTTCAGAAAAGATACTACACGTAAAAGTCAGTTTATGTTCTTTGGTAGAAAAGTTGTCCACAAAATAAAAAATAAACATCTTTATAAAACCAAAAGCCTTTTCGCTCTACTCGGAAACTAAAAACATTTAAACTTATTTATTGATATTTAATTTAAATCGGTTCAAGAATTTCATATGTTTCATATTAGCGTAATATTTAATAGGATCTATTTTTAAATGAGCTTATTAGGTTGACTTTAGCTAGGTAGATTACCATATTAAATTATCTTAATTATAATCTATGGACGGACATTTTCCATAATTTTAAAAGGACCTGATTTTTTTTTTATTATAGTTTATTGTATATTAAAGTTGCTCTATGCGCTTGCAAAAAAAAACATATTATTTTAAACACCAGGAAAAAATGTATGTGTGATTTATTTTAAACATCCTTACCGGCTATACATTGCCAGTACCTATGTTATATGGATGGATGTCTATTAATTATATTATCAGCATTTTTTAATTTGTTTTAAATGGTTTATTTTAAAACAATAGATATATTGTAAGTATATGTATATATATTTTTTTATAAATCGTACTTTTTTATTCGCGCTCTCAATAATATATTGAAAATGACTGCATATAAATATACATTTACTATTTATAGTATATAGTGATGACCAATGACCACTGACCAATTTACACTTAGTATATTTGATGGGGTAAATTTCTCTGTTTATATGTTTTTAAGAGGCTTATACCCCGTAAGTCTCCCCTGACCACTAATTTCCGTCTATGTTATAATGAGTTTGAGTACGGTAGGTATATAATTGTATAATGATACAATTTTAAAAAAATCGTATTAAATATCTCTTAGATCCATTATGAAATATTATTTTAAAAACAATGAAAATTTAATAATATACAGTATTAATATAATATATTGTAACATAAACTAAAGTATTCTATATTCACCCTCAATATTATATTCGTATCCGACCTGCCTAACCATTGTATCTTATCTTGTGGTTATAGTAACCACAAAAAATATTTCACATTCCCACTAATTCTACGTTCTTTGGACACAATCACTATCTTTACAGAATGTTGCGTAATGCCAACACCTCTTATATAGATACTGCCCTAGTTTAATTTTAAAGCTTATCTATTATCAATTGTCAATTTATGAATCTGTATAATTTTAATACTATATTTTGTATTTCCCTTAGTTCTATCTGTACATTTTTCTGGAAATTCTTGTTCTGTTTTCTACCTTATTACGTATATTGCTGTCAGTCGTTAATTACTCAAATAAATAAATATTCTTGACTACAAATACGATAAAAAAGTATATTTAAGGTATTCAAAATGCATCTGTTAAAACGTATTTAAATGCAAATATTCGAATAATAACAAAATTGGAAATTGGTATTGAGTCAATATTTTAGTGATAACAGGATATCTATTAGCATTTCTAGACCAACTATTGAATATCAGACATTAAAGAATCATTTTATATGTGAAAAAGCTATCAAATGATGAATGATTGTTAGTAAGTAGTCATATAAAGTTCTTAATGAAACATAGGCATGCTTGTATTCACAAATATATTTATGTGTATAATATATGCAGGTATAATAGGCACCTATTGGAAATTGTAATATTTTGTACATGGGATATATGCATATTTTATACTGTCGACTATCGGTACTTAATTTAAAAAAAATGAATTCTAAAATAATTTAATTGCCCTTGAATGGCATTTTTTTTTTATTAGTAGTTATAGGTATAGGTATATTTCGTTATTCCTAATATAGCGGTCGGTTTATGTATGTTATACAGGGTGATTTTTTTTTTACAGATAATAATTTTTGAATATTAGTGCGAAATTACGACAGTTATACAAGAAAAATATTTACTTACTACATCTAGTAAGATGATATAAAATGAATAAGAAGTACACGGGCTGGTCACGTATGGAGATCTGATGCTATAATGAAATAGGTTCTGAAATGAGAGAACAATGTCCAAATGGCAAATGACTACTGAATAGGCTAAAATAAAGGTGGGATGACGAAGTCAGAAATATGGAGGAGCGTTAGCTCAGGATAGGGATTGATGCATAGGCATTCAGAGGGAGAGAGGCAAGGCAAGACGGGGCATCGGTTCCCCCTGGTTTTTAAAATTATAAGTATAATTTAAATAATTAATTTAGTATCGTAATTTTATTTTAAGTATTTTTTTGTTTTTTAGTTTATTATGGCCATCCCTGATAAATTTCCTGCAGGCGCCCACGGATAGATTGAGGCAGATGCGTTACACTAATGTGCCTCAATGGCAGCCTTTAAAAACTGAAAAAAGAAGAAATAGAAAAAGAACCAATCTTTGATTAAATCCAAAATATATGATACAATGATTTTGAATTAATTATTATTTAAAGTTTGCGTAATTTATATTCCTCGTTCTCAGTTTCTTGACGGTCAAAACTTTAAACCATTATAAGTTATAACTCATAAACCACTAGACACTATATTAAACAGACGAAATGCGAATATCAAAATGTATTATACTTAACAAAGTTGTATGCAACTTAGTTTATAGATAAAATTAAAAAAAAAAAACAATTATACTGTTAAATCTTAAACAGGTAGTGCAAATTATTAAGTCACGTCTTAAGTCAAGGCTTTCTACAATATTACAAATAAAGCAATCCGGTTTAGTACGTATTTTAAAATAATATAAACAGTTATACGACAAGTTTGATTTTTTTACCATTTATTTTTCAAGTTTCACAATATTATTATTATTTTTTTTTTTAAATAATCTAACTTTTTCTAAGGTTTACAGATATAATAACCCCCTTTTAGTATTTGTAAATATATTTACTTATATATTTACTGATATGTTAACATCTCCAATGAGATTACGTACTTTGCTTTTTTGTTGTTTGTCGTTAGTTTCAATTAACACGCGAATGGCCATAAGGGCTTATCAATTAAAATATTTCCGGTGTAAAACACTGTAAGAATAGAAATTATAACACAGATAATTCAACATGTTTAAATTACTTCCAAAATGGGTACATAAAAACACCGTTGTTAAAAATTCAAAATTATATTTACTATAAACATTGTATTATAATAGACAATATTTTAAACTGATCGATATATAATACTGTCTACCTATTATATTTGTTACAGTTAGTTATGAAGCGGGGGCATATTTGAATGTCAATGTGATATTTGTACTTGAATTAATAATTTAATAAATGCAATTTACATAATACTATAAAAAAGTATTATTTTTTTGTAAAACAAATGTTACTTCCGTCCGCATTATAACGACTTAGCATGTGCAATGTATACAATAATTATACAACTTTGCATAATTGTAAGAATACAAATACATTATTTCACAATTATACAATTTTATAAAATGTAGTTATTTTAGACTTTGAGCGAAGCGAGTAATGTATTGGTTTTAGAATGATGTTTATTTTTTTTTTTATTCTTTGTCAAAATTACTACCAAGAATTTAGCTTCAATGTATCAAGTGCAGTACTTTTTCTGAAAGTAAATTGTATCTAGTTGGTACTGTAAACAGATCAATTTTTGAATTTCCAAGTGGTTTTCATAATAATTGGGGAAAACCGAGAAAAACGGACTAATTTACAGAAATAATGTTTTTATTATTTCCAATTTAGTGTTTTGCTGTTATTGAGTTAAAAATGTTTGTGGAAACTTGAAATTTGAGCAGAAAACTTGTATTTAATTTTTATTCAAATTTTAAAATCATTTGAGCCATTTTTGAGCTATTCATAGACATTTTAATTTTGGGAGTGTTTTACATAATTTTTATTTGGTAGGTACTCGGTGGATAAAATCATTAGACCTAACAGAAATGCTTGAAAACTTAACAGCAAATTCATTATAAGTTGTATTTAGTGGTCAACAAGAAAAAATTGAGTTTAATGTGGTATTTTTTTTTATAAGAATTTTAACATCAGAGTTTGACAAAAACAGGAAATATTACGGCCTTTTAAAACATATATGATCATTAATCTAACTTCGCTTAAAATCGTTTTCCGTTAGCAATGATTACAAAATAATAATAATAAAAAAACAACATCTACTATGTTACTTTTAATTTAATTAAGTTGCATTTTAAAATTATTTAAATATCTACTATATCAATAATAATTATACATTGAATAATATTCACGAACTTCGTATACCAGATACGAGCTCAGTTGATATATGTATCAGCTAATATTAATAATGTAATTCACTGTTTTAATTAATTAATTAATTTGGCTAAATAAATATATAAATAAAATAAATAAATGATTAATTGTTGCATACAGATATAAGTAAATTAAATTCCCTTCTATATTCTACCTTCCCAACTTTTCTCCTACATCAGTGGCCCACCAATCGTGCGAACTATGTCCGATTATTTTATAATAAATATGTACACAGATAATTTTTGAGTAGGTACTTAGTAAGTACAAACTATAAAAATAGTACCACTAGGTACGACAGTTGTCGTCACGGACAATTTTTTAAATGTACAATTTTTACGGGGGGTATCTAACGTATTTATCTTGCATTCCATACACAAAATAATGATTTGTATAGAATTATTGTGCGATAGGTTTTATTTTTTTTTTAAGTATAGTATAAATCAGTTCGGTTTTATCACTGAGAAAAATATTTAGGTTTCCTTATAAAATATTTTCTGAAACAAAACAAATCATACAAATTTAAAGGCGATTTTGAGGTTTCAACAAGGGCCTTGTTTTTTTGGAGGAAAGTTGTGTTCATACTTCCTTGTAATTTTTATTCATAATTTACTTAGTTGTTGATTGATATGTTGGCTTCATGCCAGGCGATAGAGAGAAAATCAAACTCACAAAATATTTTACTTACTTTTAAGAAACAGAAATGGTACACCTGGTTTTAAAAAATTTAAATTAAAGTAGAAGTATTAAAATGACGTGATACCCGCATGTGCTGTCATCTCCGTCTTTACAAACGTACGACCAAGCACATTTTCGTTGAGTGGGGACACAAACAGCGAGATATTTTTAAATTGTGATATTTTACATATTCATATCTCGCTTGAAAATTAAAATATTGAAAAACCCGATGGAATTGAATAAATAATGTTGTTATCTAAATGTTTGATGATAAAAACTCTAATATTAGAATAACACGACAGTGGCTTTTTTTTTTTTTTTAATACGCACATGATAATGCAGGTCACAAAACCTAGCTATCGAGAATTTTCAACACAATAAAAATAAAATAATCCACATAGTTTCAAACAAATCTACTATTAGCTAATAAAACATTAAATAATTAACTCATGCAATTTCATTCACGAATCATCACGACTATAGAAAATCATGAACAATATCTACATAATGTCCTAATTACGTTTTTGTTTTTCATTCAAAGGAAAAACAAAATATTAATTTAAAAATAAAATATGTAGACCGGTAATGCGCAATCAAAATCCAGGTCAAACAATTTATCGCACTTGGCCAAATACGTAAATTTATACCTTGTGCGGTCCGAATGACGCCGCTGCAGCACAAAATTGTCCCCGATGAACGCAAATTCGGTTACGTCGTGCGTCTGTAATCTAATTGCGGCTATCCCGTCTTCTTAAATTGAAGCGGCCGTATGTATATAAATATTATACATAATATTTACCTTCAGCGGCAAAAGTCAAACGCTGTCTATCAGTAGTATTTTCACATAGACTCAAATCAAAACACTTTGTGGATGTCCATCGTATTTCCGATATTTTAAATAATAATTATTTAAAAATTGTGTATTTCAACATAACGAGGGTTAAAAATTATTTAGGTACAGTCGCATAGGAAATATGTACGTGCAAACTGAAAGCATTACTTTTACTTGACAACATTTTGAATTCAAAATAGTATTATTGTTTTCATATGTAACAAAATATTGATTTTATGAAATTGTTTGGTTGAGCGGTGTGGTTGAATTTCGATCAATAATTATTCTGATAGGTATCTAATGAAAATTATTGAAAAGAAAACAAGTGACTGAAACAAATATTAAATTAAAATTATAATCCAGAAATATAATAACATAATCATAATACTAATCGTAATAATGAACGAAAAGTGTCCAAATGGAATATTCCACAGCATATCGGTACATACATTATTTATGTATCGAATACACGATTGTGATTATACAGTTTTAATGATACACAAAAATATTACAAAACTATTATTTATTGTATTGTTTCAGCCGCGATATATTGACTCGGGAAGAATTATTATCCATCGATCAAACTGAAAATCTATTTTTTAACAGCCCGACAACACAAGCGCAATTGTTTAACGTTCAAAACAAAAACTTATAAATATTTTATGAATCATCTACTCTGTCGAGGCGGTAGAGTAGTTGGTGTGATGAGGGAGGGAGCCTCCACTACCCCAAAAAAAAAAAAAACGCTATGAACAATATCTGCAAGCGTGTCCGAAAACAATATATTACCATATTTTTTTTTTTAACCGAAAATACCATAAATATATAATAATAATATAATAGTATTAATTTACACCGATATTGTCTGTTATTATAACAGTATTCTATCATCAAGCCACAATATTAAAATAAAATACAATACAGGGTGATCAATTCTCGATAAGACATCCGTTATCTTGGAAAGTATTAACTATTGTTTTTTGTACAATTCCAGAAACAAGCGGCTCTATACAATACCGTTATTTTTCGTTTATGTTCGGGGATAAAACTATTACCCTATATTAATAGTTGGTTAAATAGATGAATTTTTAGTTGCCCCAAAAAATAAGGTTGGTTGAAAATAACGGTAATATAAAATTTTAGGTTGCTTATTTCTTGAATTGTCTTAAAAATAAAAAATGTTGTTACTTTTCGAGATAATGAGTGTATAGATTGACCGCCCGGAGTACGGATCGATCACCCTGAATAACCCTTTTTTTTTTTTTTTTTCAAAAACGAAATAATTGTTATTCATAAACTACTAAATACTTCCCACACGACTAAATTCGCGTGAGACCATAATTTTAAAAAAATACGTGTTTTTACAATATATATTTCGCTGTTAGGTATTGTTAAGATTTTTCTTTCACTATACAACTAAATATCAATATGCGTATCGCATTTTAATGTAATCAGTGGGATACTTAGGCCTTCCTTACAGATGGGGGGGAGGAGAAATATATGTTCATCCACTCTTAAAATAAAAAATTCATTAAAAAAGTAACGTCACATCTACAACAATTGTATTTATAGATGCGGGAATTGGGCTCTTTTGTATTTGTAAAATCTAGAATTTCAATGTATAAATACGACATACTCATTTAAATAAATAATATATTTTAATGCGTGTTATAAACGTGTAATATCAAGTCTAACCTCCGGCTTTTCATAGAAGAGAATCTTTCAACGGTAACATCAACTGTCATCCACTGGTATACTTATTTCCTGGTAAATATGCAACAGCGCAAACTCGTATAAGAGATCGCGGAACTTTTATATTGTAACTAGAAATCAATTATAAGAAACAACGGTCGAGCCGCAAAAACAAGCACCAGAATCCTCGACCCGCTACGACCATAGATAATAAAAATATTTTAATGTCTATGAGTTTACCATTTTATCGTATTAATAATTAATAAGGTACTTTTTGAAAAACAAAAATTTAAAATAATTGTAAAAAGATTAATGATAAATAACAATACACACATATAACTATACGGCCCACGGGGGGCAGGTGACCCCCTCTTCCTCCCACATGTATCAGAATATGATTCAAAACTACTATCTCGACCGTATACTGTACAGTGAGGTATTGCACACTGAGTGTTTTTAAATTTAATACAAAACTTCACATATATTTTACCGTGACGCGACTGTTATATTTGAAACATTGGAAATTTATAGGATACAGCGTAATTAAGATTTTACGTCAGAAGCAAATATAAATCGTTTTAAACAATGATTCTGATTAGAGATTGTTGAACTCGCTAAGAGTGTAATCAATTTTTTCGAAATTAATTTGTTCAAACGCCTTGAGCTGGGTTGCCACACAAATTATGTTCTACTAACTACCCCTACCCAAGTTATAAAGTTGTATTTCTCGTAAACGGATCGATAGAAATTGAAATTCAAACATCAATATATATTCAAATATTAAAATATCATTTTTTTGTAAAATTTTTAATATAGGTATTATAGCAATTTTTAAATCGAAAATGGGTTGTATAATTATTTCACTCTCATAAATGAGGGTGGCAAAAAATATTGGTAATATAACATTTTAGCACTACTTATTTTATAAATTGTTCAAAAATAAAAATTTCCGAAAAAAGCTCATAATAAATTTCACTTTTATTGAGGATTGATCGCTCAGTATACACAGTGTTCAGAATTTTATGTTACGGCAATTTTATCCTATTAATACGAAAAATAGAGGAGAATAATTTATAATCAACACTTTTCTATTTTAATATTTAATATTGTAATATAGAATTATTTAATCAAATTTGAAGACGCCATTTTCGGGGTTTACTTTTGTAATTCTATTTATAGACGGAGTATTTGTTCAAATAAATTTTGGTAAATTTTGATTTCCATCAACCCGTTAACGAAATATTCCACTTTTTATTTTAGACAGGGGGAGAGTATAGGGGAACACTATTCAAACACCACGTGCCTTGTAACCGCATTGTCGTTTCGAATTGATAATAACATCATAATGAAATCACCGACACAATTTAAATCAACAAAATCGACATTAATAATATTGTAATATTATACTGATAGAACATTAATTTTTCAACGACAACGTTATATTATACGCATATGTATTAGCTGTCCCAAAGGTGGACTGAGAAAATTCAAATTTCTATTTTTACATACGCGACCATTGTTCGTTTTTTTTTTTTTTATGGAATAATTTGTAGCATTTAGAATGTTATTTTGCCGGTTAAAAATATATTTGGGAACAAGACGGCCTCTAACGGCTACACAAACACACGAACACATACACATGCATATATATATTTATTATATTTTAAAACTTATAAATCTAGATTAATTAGTGTAAACACAATATTATGCCAGCCATTAAATTTTGACCTGAGCAGAAAAAACACATTGTAAAAAAAAATCATCTGGACAATTTAACACCGAATCGATTCTTCAGAAGGGGCGAGATCAGTGGGAATTTATCTTCTCCATAACCTTTTCCCCTTTAATATTTATTGTTTTACCTATATATATATATTTATATTTATATGCATGAAAATAAAAAATAATGTAAATAATACAAATTGTTAAAATATAGTAAACATGTTGCTTCGTCCTATGCAAAATCATATGATCTTCGCGCAGTCTAGAATATATTAAAATGCATTTTAATCGGAGAAGAAATAATTTTACAGATTTGATACAAAAATATTTATCACTTTATATAATATCCATTTGTTTGTAGGTATAGGTAAATATTTTGCATTGCCTATTGTAGCATTTTTGTTCGATAAAAAGAGTATTGCATGCGAAAAATTATAATTGAAATATTTTAAAATGACGAATTAGTATACTGTTGTGTATTTTTACATTCAAATTGAGGTTTTCAGTTAAAATTTAAAATTTACCTAAAATCTCAACAAATTTATAAGTGATGAATTAAGTCTGGCAATTAACAAAAAAAAAAAAACTACTAGATCCAAAATGAAACAAAAAATAAGTTTCGGCATTTTTTTTCAATTAAGACAAGATATTTGGTAAAAAATATAAACCGAACAAATTTAAAAATGTGTAATCGGTAACTTCACAGTGCGCCATAAACATTATTCCGTTTTTTTTTTTGTTATTTTGTTTCCAGTTTTTCCCAATTATTATGAAAACCCCTTAGAAAATCAAATAATGACCAGTTTAATGCACCAACTTGATCCAAAGTGCAATAAATAACATCTCCCATCATTTGATTGGAACACGATTTCTCATGGAAAAGTCGTTTACAGATAAAAAAAAATAAATATATACACATTAAAGTAAAACCAATAGATCCTTCGCTATGTTCAGAATCTAAAATGGCCTATTATTTATATTTTTTTACATAGAAAAGCGCATATTTCATACAATTTACTAGGTAGATAGGTTGGTCCGCGGAATTTTAATATTGATTGTTAAATTATACTTTGTCCATTCACGGCATTCGGCGCATTTCAAAAGTAATCTTACATAATTATTTAAAATATCTAAAAATAAATGGACAAGTGCTAATTAAATAAATGTAATATTATGTTTAATATCGGACAGCGTGATCTTTTTATGTTTAAATCGTACAAATTGTCCATTAATCGTTTACGTAGATAGACGGATAACAACGCGGTAGTACCTAAGTAATAAGTTTGTGTTTCTCGAAATGAAGTTTGTAATTTCACTGGAAATAAATCGTCCGCTACTGATGTGTTCCGGTCTATTTCTACTGTATAGCCTATTTAAGTAGAGATTCGAGTTTTAATTGGACACGTGCTCGGCCAGATCAAATTATTAGTAGGTTTAATGTTAGATTAGGTTAAGTTTTCTAATGGACAACGGCAATACTATACATTATATGTAATGATAAATATTTCGTATGAATGAATCACCTATTTATTTTGTTTCAAATAAAATCGCTGAAACATAAATTAGTTAAGATTATTGTAATTTAATTTGGGAATTATTGGTTTATTAGCTCGACGACGATTTGAGTGCGGTCAAAAGAGTTAACGCTCCTAATTAACGGCAACGAGGTTAAAACCATTCCCGGAGTTATTGCGTTCATATTCGAATATAATACTGAAAAACGAATAGTTAATTTGTCGGGGTAGGATTCTAAAGTTAATAGAGGCCAATGATGATTTAAGGGGGTGCATTCTGTAAGGGTGGCCAGACCTTTGGTGTGGGGTTTGACAAATAGTTTCTATATACTGGCGTCCGTGTATATATATAAAAAAAAAATAAATATATTACTGTAATATGCATCCAGAGAATGACCAATTTGTTCGTGCAAAATTAATGTGTGAAAATATATATATTTTTTTGTTTGTTTTGTAAACCCCTTTCAGACTTTAGCGGTATAATGAATACATACCATAACGCACTAAATTTATCCCTTTCGTTATTTTAGAATAGAATTGTTTACTGCTAAAAATATCGTCATACAAATACAGTACAAGTTAATTAAAAATATATTTTCAATCGTGTATATTTCTGATAGAAAAATATTTTTATCTTTGTTTTTTAAACACAAAAATGTATCAAATTAATTTATCTACGTTTAAGATATTAAATCTGTCTTAATTTTAAAGGTTCGTGTGGTATTCCATTAAAATATTCAAAGTCTTGTTTTAGATTTGGAGCGTAGGGAGGAATCTGTTGGTTTTACTATGATATGTGGTTTTTCTTTTTTTAGACGAGGAGGGGCCTATTAGTTTTAGATTCCCAGCGTAGTGAGTTATTGGTTTTACTAAGATGTTTATTTATTTTTCTCCTAGTCTGTGGACACATTTTTCCTAGTAAACTTGCACCGATTTTTACGTGAAGCAACTTTTCTAAAAGTTCAAATTGTCTCGATGGTTCCTTTAAAGAAGTCATTTTTCAATTTTCAAGACGAAATGTTCAAATAAAATCATTAAATAGGGGAAAAACGTAAGGAAACGTAGAATTTTACGATTTCAATATTTTATAAGACCGTGGACGACGTGTTCTACCAGAAAAATAATTTAATCGAAAAATCACAAGGTACCACATTTTGTGCCTTTTTGATTTACTTTTTCACGGTATCAATTATAGTTAGAACGGCAAATATTTACGACGCACCTTGACATTACCGATTTCATTGTTTTTAATTTTTGCAAACTATGTTTTCTATTAGAAATAGTCAACAACCTCGTTAATTGTTCATTAAATGGGTATTTGATTCTCCTTGTAGTTTTCGTAATAATTTGGAAAACTGGAAAAAGATGTAGAAAGAAAAAAAAATTTACGAAAATAATGATTATATTATTAGAAATTTTGTTTTTTTGTTATAATTCATTAACACAATAGTTAAAAACAAAGTTGAGTGTAATGCAGTATTTTATAAGAGTTTAACTATTAAATTTTGACGAAAATCGTAAATATTGCCTTTTAAAATATGTATAATTGAACTTCGTTCCGAATTGATTTTAGTTCCTTATGGATATAAATTAAATAAGTTTATGTATCCCACATTTCCAATTTTCAACTTAGAACAGCGGTACATCTGTCTGTAGTAACAGCTTTTTTTTGAATTTTTTTTTTAGAAATTATTATTTGAAAAAAGTATACCTACATTAATTTCTTGTCTATCATTATTTATGTAATACAATGAAATACAAATCTGGGGGGCAATATAATAAGCATTTTTAAACAGGCTGTTGGACCTACCTACTTATAATATAGGTGCCTTTTTCCTTAAACAGATTTTCTTATTTCAATAAAAATGAATTTAAACGAAAACAGAATATTTATATTAACCAGCAGACTTAATATACATGTACTCGTGCGTCTTAATTTGTATTAAATTTAAAATACTACGTAAAGAACTATTTCCCAGAATTTTTGGTTGAGTACCTAGGTAAATAAGGTTGATTATTTATTTTAAATTTATTATTTTACAAAATCATACACTTACCTTAAAGCAACTCGTCACTGATGTCGAACAGTTTGTTTGAGATGCAGTATTCGGCTCTGTAATGTAATTCCGAAGAAAAATCACTTACAGATATTCCCGACGACACGAGTTATACCATCATCGTTCGTGTCTTATTCTTCAAAGCGAGTTTTTCCACTATTATCAGTACATATTTTACTGTTCGTATAAGTCAAATTGTAAACAAATAAATACAAAACGATATTTAATTTTTTATTAATAATTGCAGTACTCGTATTCGTATGGGTTGTATAAGTAGTATTTCAGTTCGATCGTATTTTTTTAACGATTTCGAAGTGTACACCATCCGACAACATTCATTAATGATGATCGACTTGAGCGGAGATCGTTATAAATAACGTTTCAAATGGGCCAGCAGACTCGAGGTAATCAACTATGATACACGATAATTGTATTGAACTCACTACTATTTCTTAATGCACGTATCACATAAACACATGCATCATATATATTGTATGAGTATTTAAGTATAATAATTATAAATTTAATGTTATTAATATTGTTTGTTTATGGGCGTAATTTTTTTTTATTTTTTAACACCTATTGTCATTATTAAATTACGATAGCTAATAAATTAATATAGTTCCGATACTTAACTGTAATGATATGAGAGTACTCGTAATTCGTATTCGCTTGTCGTTCCCCGGGCTCATTTAACAATCGTCAGTCGAGAAGTATATTTTAGTCCGTTTAGTCTTAACAGCCAGACAAAACTGTAGGAATTGTATTTGACAGATTTCAATTTTAAAAACGGTGAATGATTCTATAAGTTCTTTATTCTGGTTACGTTTGGTTATAGAATTGTTTTATTGTAAATCTGAAAATATTTGATTATCGTGAATGTGATCGGTCGTGTACACTAAAATTACTGCGCTCAGTTGTCGTATTGAAATGTTTTCAAAAATCTATCTCGCGCATGCTTTGAAGTGCCTTTTACTAGTTTTATTTAAGATTAAGAGAATTAAAATTTAAAAAATAATTTACACATGAAGAATCATAATAGGTTTTAAAAATCGAAATCCGTAAAACGTAATTCAAACAGTTTTCTCTGACTTTTCAGTAATATATTGTCATGTTCATCCGTAAAAAAGACCATACTCGAAGGTACAAGGGTATGGATATGGACAGTGGTATACGCAGGGGACTAACGGACTGACTCTCCTCCCCCCACCGTTTAATTATGTTCGTATTATTATCTATATAATTATTGAATTTCAAGTTTCGACTATAATAAACCAGTAAGCAAGGACGGTTATTTATATAAATACACTTTAGTCTATATTCATAAGTTAACAATTTCATTTACTACCATTGCCCGTTAATAACTTATTATATGACTGTATATTATGTGGATAAGTTTATTATTTTTATCTAACTGTGATGACACATGTCATAAACACGGGTATTATTATTATCGTAATAAATATGGAAGGTCGGGTTTATTATCAATAGTCGGGTATGGTCGTGTCTCTTATCAACACCCGGAGGGTCGGTACTTGGATCACTATACATTGCCAATTACTTCGGTTACATCAGAGAGAAAATATTTTTAGATTCTGAGTGTAACAAAGAATGTATTGGTTTTACATTGATGTTTATTTTTTTAATATTTTTAAGTGAACATTTCTTCTACCAAAAAGCATATTCCGATTATTAAGTGTAGCACTTTTTCTGAAATGAATGTTCTCTGGATAGTACTTTGAAGAGGTAATTTTTTGAAATTCTCATTAATATTTGAGATAATAAGGAAAACCTGGTTTTCTAGAAAATATTGAAAGATGAAAAATAAGGTTGTCATTGACAACTGATTTTATTTATTTTGTGTTATTATTAAGTTTTTATTATTTTAACTTTTTTTAAACAATCATCGTTGTCATGAAAATGCACATTGTTGTATTTGCAGAATCGTTTTTTCGTTAACAATGGTTTTTCGTTGAATAAAGATATACATTAAATCCCTGTCTGTATCCTACTTTCCCAACTTCCCACATACATTAGTGGCTGCGCCCACGTGCGAATTATGTCCGTCCTTTTTTATCATTAAACGTTTAAACGTCTAAACGGATTAGCTGTAAGCCAACATAAATTAAAAAACAAAATTGAACATAGTTGAAATAGTTCAAACATTTTTAAAATCTCACCTAAATTGGTGTAAGTATCGGATAGTAGATCAATAGATAATTCGTATCATTAAAGTGGTTATTAAAATATATACAAATATTTTTAAATTTTATAAAATCGGATTTAATGAGAAAAACTGTCACCAATCCATTTAAATAGGTTTTGTCGTTTTAACGGTTTCAGAAAATAATATTTTAGAATTTCTATGGGCTGAACATGTACGGAGAATCCAAAACCCACTGTATAAGCCCTTGCAATTGAGAAAACACATCTCGAGTCAATCTGATAATGAGACAGGTAGACGTAGTAAAACATGACGTTGCCACTTTAGAAGGTACACCAAATTGGAAGATTTCGGCGACGGATAGAGGGCAGTTAGTGGTATATTTTATTAATACGTGATCGGCGTGTTGGGCGTATTGAGCATTACAACGCGCTGTTTACGTTCAAAATGACGTGATTTACGATTACGCCGACCGTGCATTGTTGGAATTGATCCCTTGGAGAATTGGTTATGATACGGGATGGACATAGAATCGAATAAACCCAGTAAAAGAAAAAAAAGAAAGTAAATAAATAAAAGTTGTTTTCAAATATTTTACTTAACTGTGTAGTTTAGTTTCCTTATGAACTCGTCTGTTCTAGAATTAATTTTTGTAAACATTAAATAGTCGAATAATATAGAGTCTAAATATATTGTTTAATAAAAATAAAAAAAAAGTTTTCAAAGTTATTTAAACAGTTATTGACCATAAGTTTATACATATTTTGTAAACAGTATTTTTGGTTGGATAATATAAAAACTACGAGTATATATGTATTTCGTCATAAATAATTAAAGACAAATGAACGTTTACAATATAATACTAACTCAAGTAGTGACTGCAAATATCACGCTAACAACGCCTACGCGTAATATAGTATTGTTATTAATTATTATATTATACTGTACAAATAATGTAATTATGCACATATCATATACCTACAACACGCACATTATGGTTGTTAACCTTTGTTTTACTACACGTATAATACAGTTATATAGTCATTCGTACGAATACTACCTATGTGAATTATTCGTTTAAAAACCTACCGGAGTATTTATTAATTCAGCGGTGTCAAGCCTGGATTTATAGGGAGATGAAAATAGCTCAGTCGACAAATTAAAAATTTCGATATGAAAGTCGTGTGAGTCGGCATTTGGGAAATTGCGAAATGATAATTATTATTTCAAATATCCAAATAATATTGTATTATGCATATTCAATAAATAACGAATAGGTAATAATTTACCAAATACATTACCGAGCTTTTTTATACGCCATAATACCATAGAATAATAATTAATTTCATAAAAACCGCTAACCAAAGATAATAACAATTCGTAAAGGCAATTAGCGTGTGAAATAAAATAAATAAAAATTACCATCGAGTGAACAATCGATAGAAACATTTGGAACATTTTTACTAACTAAAAAAGTCTCTCCGAGATTAAAAAAAAAAAAAAAAATTAATGAAGGGAATGAATCTTTGTGATTTCGTAAGTATAAAAGATACCCAAGGAGGAGGAAATTGATCATTTAAGATAAGTACTGTGAGAAACAATCAGATCATTTTACTAAGGTACCAACAAAATATTAGACATTTCAAATAAGTACTGTAATAACACCAAAAGGGAACAATAAAAAGAAGTAACAATGAAGTAATAAAAGGTAGGTAGGTAGGTAATGATAATAATAATAATAATAATAATAAAAGAATTTAAACACTAGGGATTAGCGAATAAAATTCTGAGCTATTTGAAAGTGATTACGAAAAAGGTTGGTGATGCGTACTTGTTCTTCACAGGGTGCTCAACAGAGTGATCGCCTCGAGATTTCTGGAGTGGTCAAGACGCTCGAGAATGTAAAAAAAATACATTATATTTATTTCGTTTTAAAAGGCAGGAGATCATTTATTAATAATAGTGTTAATGATTCGAATTTTATAAAGAAATTATAAAGGTTTATCTACTAGTTGCGGCTTTACGGGGGCTAAAGGGACCATGACTCCCCCTAAATTAATAAAAAAAAAAAAAAAATTATAGAACAGGTAGGTATAATATCTACTATAATAATATATAGTTGAGATTAATACTACATAAGTTTCTATTATTACAGTATATGATATAATATTATATTAGTTTTCCTCGATATCGTCTAATTGTATATTGTTGTTATATATACTTATATTTTCGTATAGTACGCCAGTATGTTCTTTTCTAATTAGAAGTCCCAATTTGGGATTTTCAAGGTTTTCTATTTCTAACCCAAATTTAGTTGATTTCTGATAAATTTTATTGTCATATACAGAGTAGGTACTTGCTCCAATGCTTGCATATCGATTTACCACAGTAATTTTATTCGAACAGACAACCGACGGACAACTTTATATTTACTGATTATAATTTATATTAAATTTATATATTCATACAAATGAAAAATATTTTTCCATGCATTTCACTTAAAACTGATTGTTTATCGTATCTATTCTAAAAGAAAGGAAATATTAGTTTATTATTACCCAACACTTACCTACCAACGAACAATACACGTGGACTTGTAGGCTGCATACTGTTGATTTTTTAATTTTTCTTAAGCATTATTCATTTTTAATTTAAAATCGATTTGTATATAGAAATTGTTATACTTATCATCATAATAATTGTATATTTTTGAAAAAAAGACGGACATACTTTGCGTACAATGATTAAACTTAACCTGACCCGTACGGGAATTTTCACCCATTCTTCTTTATTAAATTATTAAAATATAATATATCAATAATTACAATGAATAAACATTTTTTTTAAATTTATCATTTATTATCATATAAAAATTAATAATTAAATAAATATGTACTTCAGCTAATTTGGCACCCAATTAATTTTAAATAATATTTCACAACTTACTTTTGGTAACTGTGATTTACTTCTTTATTTCAGCAGATCTTTTTCCTCTGCGTATCAAATACAATATATAAGACCCGGGTTTAAAAGTTTATACTGGAGTTCTGGTACTCGTAATTTACAAACATAAGAGAAGAAATATGAATAGAACTTAATGCATTTCTCTTGGTAAGCATTAAATTCTCCAGAGGACATAATGCACATTCACACTCACTTGATGAAATTTCGGTTGTCTTGATGGCGGTTAACAAAATGTTCAGATCCAGTATTATTCAATATTATTTTTAACAAATTAATATTTTTTGTCTCCTCGTTAAAATGAAAACAATTTAAAAAGGGCTGCTCTCAAAATATGAAAAAAATTAAGAGGACTTTCATCCCCCTGTGCCTTCCCCCTAATTTGAATACTGTTTTATAGTAAAACTATTATCCAATAGCTTTTTCACTTAACTCAAAATCTACATGTTATTCGAAATTGTATTAATTTAGCAATTATATATGTTACATATGAAATTAAAAAATTTTTAAAGCCTGACCTGAGTGTCGTAATTGTCTATTTATCCAGTGGGGCGTAAATGATGGGTTTAAACTAAATTCATGTATAATTCGATGTTTTGATGTATATAGACCGAACATTTATGTATTTTTTGATAAGTGGGGTTACCTTACAAGTAGCGAATTTACAGGAGAGGGGGGTGTGTTGGTTCCTATCAATCCCTTACCTCTTGTCTATGCTTACATAAATAATTATATTATTATCACGATCAGTGGCGCAGAAGTATAAATATACGCGCTTTTTCTAGACGCGGTAACATTTTCAAAATATTTGAGCCATTTCGAGCTATTTATCAACATTTTAGTTTTGTGAATTTTTACGTAATTTTTATTTGATAAGTACTCTATCGATATAATTGTTACATAAAACAGAAATGCTTGTACATTTTAACAGAAGGTTCATTATAAGTCGTATTTAATGGCAAAAAAAAAAAAACAATTGAATGCAATGCAGTTTTTTTATGAGGGTTTTAAAATCAAATTTAGATGAAAATCTTAAATATTACCGTCTTTAAAATTACGTAAAACCAAATTTCGCTCCGAGTCGTTTTTCGTTACCAATAATCGTTTATCGTTGGTTACAGAATCAACGAGATCATTTATTAGTGTAAAGAAATGAAATATATGGTATATTTTATGTTGTATACTACAAAGTATACTGTAGTGCACACAAAAATAACCATTGCTATGAGCGGACACAGCTCGTGAATATTATTATTATAAACATTTTAAATCGTCATAATAAAATTGCTTATAAAAAGTGATTTAATATTTTATAAAAGCACTTTAAGAACATAAACACTACTAAAAAGAAGCAGATTTAAACATAGGAAACCTTATAACGTAAAAAAATATATCCTCCCTACAAAGTAATGGCGTAACAAGTAAATAAAACAAACATATACGAGTGTTTAAATTGTACATGAAACATGCTCACAGGTTTATATTTTGTTTGTGTTTTGTCAAAATTATAATTTATTTACCATTTAATATTTACTTTTATGTCACATTATATTACATATTTTTACACAAAATGTTAACGTACGTAAGTAATATCAGTAATTATGTATGCAATAGTAAAAATACGATAGTAAAAATGCCTTTAATAGACGAAGTATTAAAACGCCGCGCGCCAATGCTGCCACACAAATGATGCTCCACTACATTTCCCCGACCAAAACTTAAGAGTGGAATAACTTGTCAATGGATTGACGGAAATTAAAAATTTTAATACCAAAATATATTATAACTAATACTCCATATATTTTTTTTTTTTTTGTAGGATTCTTAACATAGATTGTCATTAGAAAATCAAAAGTATGTAGTGGTTTTACTCCCGAAAATAAAGGCGACAAAAAATAAGATACATATAAAAGTGTAGAACTACTTTTTTCTTAAATATCCTATGAAACAAATTCCGAAATGTGTTAATACTTTTCGAGATAATGAGTGTTTTACGATAGATTGATAATTTTGTATAGTCAATGGTAATGCGTTTACATTCCTTCGGTTGAATTTATTTTACTTTAATTTTTTCCGCAGTGTACGTTTTCTTATAAAATATCATAAACATGTGAAAAAATAATATTACATCCATTATAAGATATATCATAAACAATTTCGGATACTGGCAGTCAAATATAAATAGTCCGAATACGTACAACACGATAACCACGAACTGAAGCTGAAAAAGACGTTATATTATATTAGTTAATACATTTCCGTTCGTTATTCAGATGAGTTAATAGTAATAAATATTTAATAATTAAGTGTATTTAGACATTTGGTGCTGGGACTTACAATTTGAAGTCCAGTCAAGTACTTTTTCCACCAAAGATATTTTTTGATTTTAGGTCCGAGGGCCGCCAAAAAATAATAACTGTACATAATCATATGGACTGTTATATTAATGATTCCACCAAAGGTAACTTGTTCACCTATATAATTAAATATACATGAATATTGTTTATTTTGTTAATATAAATATAGAATGATTACTTTATCGTTACACACTCAATATTTCAGAAAGTATTGAATATTTTCAAATTTTTAGATACATTTATTTTGCACCTTACTTTTGGGGGTGGGGTGAAATCACTATCAAATTTTGATTTTCAAATAACGACCTATCCAAAAATGGCATAAGTTAATAAAGCTATATTTTTTTTTTTTAAATTAAAGTCAAAATTTTAATTTTTCATTAATCCATATAGCAGATTATAACAGTTCAAAGTTGGTTAGTTTTATGAGTTACTTTTTTTTTTTTTAAAAAACTAATAGCTGAATTTACATATATGTATAAATGTACAATAATACTTTACTATACTAGAACTATTATATAGGTACTAATTTCCAAAGAATGGATAAATTTGAGTATAAAAATAGTAGGGTTGGGAAGTGAAGTTGATTTCCTCGAAAGTCGTATACTTGATACTGATGCTATGCATATACAAAATTACATTACTCTGACTTTATTTGGAGGGTGTGCAAAGATGGTTAAAGCTAAACAAAACTACTCTTCTCCTATAAAAACTTGGTGAAATGCATGCTGAAATCCAACTCAACATTTATTGCTTCAGTCCGTGTGTAAAAAAAATGTACCCGAATTTGAGTTGATATGGTTCATAAGGAACAACAGCTAAAATTGTCCAAAAATAACTGGAAAAAGATAAATTCTAAATACATAAAACTGACACTATATACACAATACAGTGCTAACCTTCATTTTCAGAAAGAATTCGATAAGTAATGAAAATTAATTTTAATTCAACACTATATTAAACTACAGTTTTATTTTATAACATATTTTGGATTAGCATTCGGGTTTGCCACTGGGTGTGTGTAATGTTTTATCTAAGCTGTTAATATGAAAACTGTATTTTTCATAACTATCTCAATTGAAACTGAATAATTGTAAAAATAAAATAATCCTACTATAAATTCCACGTACACATAATATATTAATATAGCAATGTAAGTAAGCATGCTCACTTTTAATGAATCTGAGATGAAACCAAGCAGTGAATGCCATGTTTACATGATGGTAAACGTGTAGGAATGTTACTTGAGATTGTTTTTTCCTCAAAACGAAAAATACCTGTTATAGAAACATAAAAGCAAGACAATTAATGTGATAAATATATTTAGTGTTTTTTTCAAATTTTTTTTCGAGTGCAATGAACTGGGAAAATACAAAAATTTATCGGCTATGCAACACGCAGTTGTCCCCTTAGTTTCTTGCCACTTGAGAAGTTTCGCTCCTGTGTGTGTGTGTGTGTGTGTGTTATAATATTATATTTATACAATTTCAAAGAAATAAATTAGCATATTTAGGTATAAAGCTGTCGTTACCTTTTTTGAAAATTAATCGAATTAACTACCTATATAGTTTGAGTATTAAAACTTTTCGACACGGTCCACGAACAAAAGCTTATGTCAGGAATATTTAAGTAAAATACATAAAACAGAAATATTCGAGCGCTTATAATTGATTGCGAATTTTATTTTTTTTTAATGAATAAATAATAAGTAATATTTTATAAATATTTTTATCTTAAAAGATTGAAATAACTTGTTTGTTTGGCCGCATTCGACGTCCATGACGTTATACCACTAATTTTATCGAAACCGGTGTCAGACTTGTACGAGTAATTTCGAGAACTTTTGACTAGCATTTATATTGTAAACAGACGGGTTTGCCCACTTCAGGTAACCTATCCAATTTATTCGATTTTGTTGAAACTCGAATCAAAAACTTCATATTAATCAGCGGGATTTTTTTTTTTTTTTTTAAGTTGCCATTAAACTGGTTTTCTTTTAAAAATGGTTGTGATAAGTTTTGAAAATTGAAACTACCAAAAGGCATATCCTCGATATTCACACTAAGCATATTATAAAAAATTGTATTTTTTTGGCTTCATTTGGGAATCTGTAGAGGTGTATTTACTAAAAAAAGACGCTTTACTGCAACAGCCTTGATTATTTCAACCCGCATAAAAAAAAATTCTAATCCCCAAGATTGAGCTAATTTGGTCTATAGGAAGCCGTATTTATACCGTATTAACCTTAATACAGTTTTCAAGATTTGGTATCGGTTATCGTTATCTTGCATTGTGCAATGAAGATTTTGATATGGGTTTCGACGAAATTGAACGAATGGATGGGTTACCTGAAGTTGGCCCACCTGTCAGTGGAGAGAGTAAATGTTACTCTTGAATTTTGGGTGTGGACTTGAAAATTCTCCTAATTAAATATTGACAAAATGTTGACTTTAGTGTCAATAAAATCGGATGAAGCGGGCGGGCAAACTTCGTGAAAGTCCGGGTGTGCACATGAATATAGTGTCACTAGAAAACTAAATGACTAAAATATCACCAAATTGGTAGAATAAACTAATTCCAATATTGTCTGTTAGTGGCGCAGGTATACGGATTTCATAAATACAATTTTAAATTTTTATTACAAATTCTAAAAATATAAAATTGAATTAAAAAAAAAAAAGTTGTCTCAGGGTAATGGGGACGGATGCAGCCACTGTTATAGGTATATAGGTATTACATATTTGTTAGCAACGATTATACATTGCTAACGAAAAAAACGAAATAGGCAATATATATACTTTTTTTTAATATTTGTTCAATATTGTCCCTATTTTCCAGGATTTCCTATTTTTGGGAAAACTCCTGAGAAAATCGAAATTGGTATTTCTAAAGCACCTGCCTGTTCGGATTTCCTTTAAGAAAAATTACTATCATTAAAAATTGGAAAAAAGTTGCTGGTAGAAAAGTTGTGAAAAAAAAAAAAGAAGGGCGTAATATATTTTAACTAATATCTACATTTCTTATATTTTCCTGTTTTTCCGTTTTTTTAAATTTGATGAGAAAACTCCCGAGAAAATCGAAAAACGACCTTTCTAAAGTACTTCTTTAGTGCAATTTCCTTTTAGAAACATTGCTATCATTAAAAGTTGGAGCAAAATTGCTAGTTGAAATGTTGTGCAAAGAAAAAAATAAAAATATTTAGTAATATATTTCGAACATTTTCCAGTTTATTTCGTTTTTTTAAATTTTATGAGAAAACTCTTGAGAAAATCGAAAAATGATATGTACCTCTACCTCTCCACACCGAATTCATTTTAGAAAAGGTGCTACACTTAGAAATCCGAGCAAGTCTTCTGGTAGAAAAGTTGTTAACAGATAAAAAAAAAAAAATAAACATCTTTGTAAAACCATAAGCTTCTTCTCTCCACTCAGAATCTAAAAAAAAAACTTAAGAACATTCAATAGACAAAAAATTATTCATCATTTGTTAATTAGTCCTCTTCACCCTGTATATACAGGGCGACTCATTAAGCGTGCTCATCCTATTTTTTTGGTTAAATTGTTTATAATTTATTTAAATTTTGATTTTTGGAATTTTTAATAGTAGTTAAAGCCGATATTTTCGAATAATTTAATTTTTACTATAGCTTTTCATTTGGAAAACTTAAGTTGGTATCGCCACAGGATATTCCTTAAATGTTGTGAAATATTTAAGTATTTGAAAATATTGACTTTAACTACACTTAAACATTCCAACATCAGAATTTTTATTTTTTTGTAAAATTTAAAAAAAAAAAAAAACGGGGTGAGCACGCTTTGGTCAATCATCCTGTATATTATATATAAATTTATCATTACAAACTTACAGTGTCCGCCAAATCGGCTATCTTAGATATAAAATAATACCACATGGCTTTGTAAAGCTGAAACAGTATAAAACAAATTAAATAGAACATAAATTTAAGGTAAAACCAATTTGAATTATATTAAATCGCTTCCACATTGGCTTTGACGTGACGATAACGATATATAATATTATTCTTATACGTATTTGTAACACAATGTTTTATTGTTAACGATATCGATATCTGTTTACAAGTGCATCGAACCCAAATGCTAGTGACGTAGGTAATCGCTTTGTTTATGCGATAGTAATCATAATGTTCGAAAAAAAAAAAACACCGGTTTTAAAATGTTTATACCATATTTTGGCCCGGTTTCAAACATGACACTGTTTGGCCGAACACTAGTATCTAAAATAAACCGCACACAAGACAAGGACACGAACTAAGTGTTCATCTGCCAAGTCGACTTGCCATTAGACACGGTTTCCCGTATCCGGGCTACTTCTTACATATTATTTTCAATCGGAGAAAACACGCCGTACCTCTATGTTATATTAAAATAAAATTGTCAATACTCTGTCCATCCAAGAGTATTGGAGTGTTTCGCGTATACATTTATGCGGCAACTTTTGTAACCGACCAAATACCCCATCTCCTTTGCGTGAGTTACAGTGCGTGCACAATAACATTGACCTTGGCGCCATGTAAGTGTCCACCTAAATGAAACAAGACCTTGTGTAACCGGTAATGCGCTGGGAAAATTCTTGGTGGAAAGAGATTAACGTTCGTAACTTATAATTAAAATATATATATATTTGAATCAGATACCCCTACACTAAACGAGTCTCGTGTGAAAAGCTGTTTGCATACGAGTCGTTTGTGTCTTGTAGCGCGATTCTAGCGGCTGGTCACATGGTGTCTCGTCTAAAAGTGTCCTAAAGCTAATTATTAGGTCTATGTAAACGGTCTATGTCCACCGCCTGACCACTTGTAGGGTAACCACTGTTTCGGAAAACGGAAATATACCAACGAAAGGATTCTTCAGCGACTAGATATACCAGGTGATTCATTTAAGATGGTACACTTATTATCTCGGAAAGTATTAACTTTTTACAGAATTTTTTTTTAGAACATTTAGGAAATAAGTTGCATTACAATTTTATCATTGTGTTATTTTTTGTCACCGTTATTTTTTAAAAATATTTTATTATTTGCAACCTATATTTAAAAGTCCATAAATAGTTTGAGTATTAGTTAAGATAAATCGTAGTGTTGAAATTTTTGATTTCCGTCGATCCGTTGACGAGATATTCCACTTTTAAGTTTGGGTTGGAGGAGAGTATTCCAAAGACAAATAAAGTAATAATGATGGTTAAATTTGGAAGATTTTTTATGGTCATCAAATGGAGGTAGATTGGCAAGACTTAAAGTAAGTATTGAAGCGGACAAAGAAGCTAAGAATTATTTTAAGTTGGAAACAGCTCAAAACTTTAATGAATAAATCAAACATTTTTTTTCTTTTTAATTAGTTTTATCAAATTTTTCTTTTTATGAAATATTGTTTGTCGAGCTAACCATAGAACTCAGCTTTAGTGTTACAATTGAGTAAACGAAAAATTTAGCAAAAAAATTACCAAATTCTTCAATGGGAGGAACATTTGAACCCGAATAAAGATTGTCTCATGCTTTTATTTTTTTCAGGATTAGGACCCGTTCGATTTGTTCATCTTTTGAATGTGCATGACTCCACGAACAATTTTAGCGTCTTTAACGGCATTTTCGCAACAAACGATTTAGTCAATGTCATAAAGATTCGTTCATTACGACATTACCTACGTATACCTATAGTCAGTATTCATGGAAGGGTTATCTGGGCACATTCCTATTAAGTTTAGTAAAATGCATTTGTTTTTCTACATTGAATGAACAATTTTTAAACTCAACAAAATTATTTGTTTTATTTTAAATACAGATGAATTTATTAATAAAAATTGGCAAACGTCCGGAAATGAGAAAATCTTGACTTTATGTTGTTGAAATAAAATTGAATTTGGATTACGCAATTTGGGTATTGACCCAAATTTTTATTTTAAAATTAAATTTTACCCATATACACTGCTTATAGCTTGAAACAAAATAAAATTGTTTGAATGTTGCGGTAAAGGATTTAAGAAAACTGCAGACAAAGTGAGTCCTAATATTAGAACTTCTGTGGTACTATTAATTATAATATTATGATAAAAAGCAGTAGCGTTTTGATGATTTTTCAAAAGGAAGATCAAAGAGACAATGCCTAGGAAGTAAGAGGAAGAAGTGGTAGTCCCTTTAACGGTGAATTTTCACCATGCTCTTGCAACCCACGGATATTCTTTTAATTTTTTCAATAAAAACCAATAGTAAAATAATTATTTAAACAATATTTTAGAATACAGGGTTACCTACAGTGTTATCCTTATGCTAATAACTGTGCCAATATTAATTTTTTATTTTCAATCGTGTTTTTATGCGAGTGGGACACATATGTAGAGAAAAATTAAATTTTTATTTTATTCCTTAATTATTGAAAAAAAAATAATAATTTTATTTTATCAATATTCAATTATTTTCAAAATAGCCATTGTAAAAAATATTACTCTAAAAATTTTAACACAACATATATTCATATCCGATCAATGGTTTTTTTTTAATAATAGCTGTTGTTATTTCTATACAGTTTTCAATAACACGTTATGCAATAAGGAGTCACGATCAACACGGTAATTCCTTATCTGGAATACATTCTGTTGAATATTAATTTTTTCCACCCCTATTTGATATACACCCAAGCTATTATAAACTAAGAAACTGTTAAACGGATATGAATATATGATGCATTAACATTTTTAGAATAATATATTTTACAAAATGACCATTTTGCAGATTTTAAAAAGCGGAAAAATAAAGTTATGATTTCAATAATTGAGAGATGAAAATAAAAATAAAATTTTTCTCTACAAATGTGTCCCCATCGCATAAATTCCGATAGAAAAAAAAAAAATGAATATTGACCTACTTATTAGCATACGCATAAAACTGTAGGACACACTGTATTATAGTAAAAAGCAGTTAAACTATCATATTTAAACGCATTTTGTCTTAATTAGATTTCATATTGACTAATATTTTTTTTTGAGACGAAAATAAGAAAGACGATAGGGGATCAATCCCCAATATCCCTGTGTGTACGCCTCTAAATTAAAAGATTATAAACTATGTAAATGCAAATGTCACGTTATTTATACAAGACTTATATGTATTAGAACCACTTCGTTTTCGATTTTAACGTTTCTCTTGGCAAGTATCGGATTATTACTGGCAACCTGTTTTGATAACAATTGGAACATGGTCGTCGTCGTGCACAATCGAACTATAACATCATTCTGACGGGTTTTTGCTCCCCCCTGCGTCTTTTCTTCACATCTGTTGCACAATATGCGTTGTCAACCTGATCAACAAAATCGGATAATATCTATCGATTTATCCTACAGAAATTCCAGACTATAGATTGTAAAAATATGGGACAAAACGCATTATGTTGTTTATAGTTATACCCACACTGCATTGTAATATTGTGACACTAATATGGCATTGTTCACTCATTTAATGTACCGAGGTATCGGTTTTTTCTCCGACCAAGCGAATCCAGAAATCATAAAAAAAAAAACGTTCTAAAATTATTATACACTAGAAAGTTATTGATATTTAAACATCGATCCGACCAGTATACTTAATAAATTCAAAATACGAGCTATCTGCGTGCTATCTGGTTTACCCCGAACCCGGTATCTGTTATATCGGCATTGTTTGTCGGTTTTTAACATTGTTTAGAGAAACTTTTGAGAATCTGATTCGGTGAACGTGTCACATTAACCCGCCCGGTCGTAATATTATGGCAAATTATGTAATGACAACCACAAACAAGGTTTCCACGGGTTTAAATTGGAATTAATTGGCGGGAGTATTGTGTGTAGGTTTGCTCGTAAATTGTGTTCGAAACGAAACGGTTTATTTTGTGAAACTGCAATATAGGTATGTACTCACTTATAGCCAATGTCATGTGCACAAGTTTCGTACGCGTAAAACGGCTAAAAGTTCAGCTCTAAGAGGAGTTTTGAATACAAGCTATATACTGTGAACGCTCATCTGCGTTTTTACTTCAGACATTAGCATAGAAATTAAACTATGTGATAAGAACAACAACAATTTTTGCCAAGTCCATATTTCAGAATAACAATCGGCGCGCGTTAAAACGCACATTAAGACAGAGACGCGAGTATCACGCGTTGGTTTATAATATTCTAAAACGTATAACAATGATGTATATGCGACCCAAACTTGGGGTAAACAGAATTAATACTTTAGAATAGTGTGTTTCTCGAATTGTGTTTTGCGGGTACACGTCCAAATTAAATCAAATTGAATATATTGTTAGTGCGTTCCACAGACTTTGCGCGAGATACATACCTACCTATAGTATACAAAGTTTATACGGTATTATTTACCATATTCACAACATTTATTTAAAAAAAAAGTATCAATTTATACATGTAAACATAGTATGTTTTACCGACTGAGAGAGTATTAAAATCGTCGATTTTCACGGTTTTAAGGGTTCGGCGGGTTTTCTTATATTAAATCAACTGGCGGAAATAAGTTCTAGAGGTTAGATTAGCTATATTAATATATGTTTAAGAATATAACGGGCTGGAGCCCAATTTATAAAATTTAATAACAAAATACATTATAAAATAATAAATATTGTGTTGTAATACCTACCATTGTTTCATTTAAAATTTGTGGGTTTGTGGGTATGTGATAGTTCTAAAGAGATGGTTCGTGAAATAATTTATAAAATCTGAATTATTATTTTTTACATTGTCTTGTTTTTCTTCTGTTATGAAACTATATCTTTCGGTGCTCGTTTAATTTATTCAACAACAATAGTGCATAATATAGAAGAACAAAGTAAGGATCAGAAAGTTGATAATAAAATATACTTAATGTGAATTCTTAAATGATATGTATACTCGTTTCTTATCAAAGAGTTAAGAATCCAAACACGATGTATGTAGAATCTTGGTATATAAACAATGAGTATTTTAACAAAGGAATAAGGACAGAATATAAAATCGGCTCAATACGATTATATGGTTTCCTATGGGAATGAAACGTAAATAAATAATAAGCATTTTTACATTGAACGAAAAAAACTAACATTTTAATTAATTCACAAAATATTTTATAAAAAAACTGATTGACCTTCATGATATCAATTAAAATACGTTAAACCTTAAGATTTCGAATGCACTACTACTATATTGTTTCCATTCTAAGTTTGGTCATAATATTTTAATTATATTTGAACTGATTATTTTTCTGAATAGGTATCTTATAAACAGTGTGGTGGACATTTGTTTTACAATTTTATTAAAAAAAATAAGAAGAATATTGTTAGAATCAAAATGTAGTTCAATTTGAGCGCCTATTAAATTGTTTAAATTTCTTGAAAATGAAAAATTGTATATTTTTTTTTTTTAACAAATAACAAATAAATATTATAGTAAAAATATGTATTAAAATAATATTTTTACTCTAGTTTCTTCTGCTTTATTAATTTATTCAATATAATTGCATTATAAATATTAACATTTTTTTTAATTGTTTTTTTTTTAAGTATAACTTATCTTGTTTTTACAGAACTTAACGAAGATAAATTAGTAAATTAAATATTAGAATATTCATAAGTTAAATTGATTTTTTTATATTGTCACAAATTGCATTTACCCTAATTAGTCTAAAATCAGTTATTATTGTTATTATAAGTTTATTTGCACGTCATTTTAAAACCAGATACCGAGTATTTTTTCATTATTTTAACTTTGTAGTCCGTGGTATATGGTATATAACTAGATATCTAGGTAGGTATGCAAATAATTTACATTAATGTTGACATTTCATTTCGTTAATTTTAATTTTTTGTATATTGAACCGTACAATTAATATTATACTCGTAATATGCAATTTGTATGATGCGCATTCAATTCATCTTACCGCGTATAATACGAATTTATTATGTTTTAAATGTACAGGTTTCACATAAAAATAACATTGGTAATTTTATATAAACTCTTATCGATAAATCGTTGTTTTTAAAAAAAATAGGTACGTGTAGGTAAATAAATTGTTTAATATACAATTTTAAGCACCACCCTATTGTATATGTTTTGAAATAATAATGCGACGCCGTGAACAGAACTATAGAGTTCATAATAATCGGTTTCAACAAAAAAAGGCATCATAAAAAAGAAATCAAATTCAAAATCGTTCTTAATAAGATTTTTAAAATCTAAAATCATAATCTGGGAAAACATTATTTCGAATATTTAGAAGGAAAAACAAATGGACTTTCTTCGCACGATATGTGGGCCACTGTTGTAGGTAAAAAGTTAGAAAGATAGAGGGGAGTTTAATGTTTATCTGTGTGCAACGATAAATGACCGCTAACAAAAAACGATTCTAAGCTGAGTTTGGTTACACATGTTTCTCAATTATTATGAAAACCTCTGGAAAAATAAAAAAAATGGCATTCTTAGAGTACCACTCTTGCCAGATTTATTTCATTGAACGAAAATGTGTTTTAAATTTGTATTGTTTTATTAATAATATACTGCGTAATCTTACCTGACTTATTAAATATCTACTGTGTGGTCCAGTGTCCGAATGACAAGAATAATTCCAGGCGTAATTAAATGTCCCAGGCATGAAAAGAAACTAAAAATAATAAAATCAATTCCCAATCATTTGAATTATCTATTGATTTTTAAACAAATACAATTTATATATTTAATAGTAGTATTATTATAGTAAAATTCAATCAAATAGGTAGGTATATTAATAAATTCGGAAATCACACCTACCCAACACACTAACCAACCGTTGAAGACCGTTTGCGTGGCGTTGTAGATTAACATTATGAGCTTTATGTTCATCGGTTGACGGTTCTTCATACATGTTGGACCGATTTTCAATACAAATAGTAAATATATTGCGATTATTGTACAGATAGACCACGGTTTGTTCATTAAAAGCCACGAATCGATTTCGTCGTCTAATATTGTAACAACAAAACGAGTTATGTTAAATTATAATGTTGTTTGAACAGTTTACACTGATATTTGTATACATAGTGTCACAAAAAAAAAATTGGTATTGTTTGATCGAAGTTTTCTTCTTTTCCCTCGACTCTTTTCTCTGATTATATGGGTTCAATTACCTTAGCCCTAAATCTCTACTTGACTCGGTATACCATATCAACTACTGGCACCCTAGTAGTTTTTATATTACTCCCAAATCACGATGTATTCTTCACTCTTCATCTTTGTTAAGCCCATACCGTGAGTGAATCCATTCGTCCATCTAGGCGTTGACACTTCTAACTCACTAATTTTCTATCTTAATGTCCATGGATTTATCTATCAACCACACTTAATCAAATAATGTATTTCATATCCTTTTAAAATCCACTGTTTTTTTGTAAAAGGGATCTTATATCCCTAATGGTTCTGTCTACCTATTCTGCTTCCCATGATCACTTTGCTTAAAATCATATATCTTGGCACCTAAAATTATAATTTGTTTACTACTATATAGTATACTGTAATAAAATTAAAAAGTATGTTTTTTTTTTAAGTTAACAATCGTAGTGATAATTTGACAAAAGTTTTTATACAAAGTCGTAATCATATTCAACGGATATGAATCAATCGGACATGTTCTCAATTATTCAATTTTAAATAATTATAAGAGTACATTTAAAGCTTAAACAAATATTGATTTCATTAAAATATTTTATAACATGGTAAGTATTATTGAACGAAACACCCAATCTTATAACTACATGTGACATTAAGTAAGTACCTACCATATTTTATTTCTTCCTTTATCATATTAGAAATGTGCAACTGAATGTCGGCTATAATACCATGGAGATAATTTCGAGTGTTGGTTTCGTTTAACATGTTTTCTATTGTTTATGAATGTATTTCAAAGATAATATCTAAACAAAATCAAATAATTTACAAGTATTAAAAAAAATAAAAATGTAAAAGTGTATGAAATGTGTACAGGCATATTTTATGCAAAACTTTTAAACACATAAACCTACGTAAACACAAGTAAAACAAACTCTGGAATATAATATAAAGGTCATATGTAAATACTATCGGTATTGATTTAAAATTACCGTCTGCTGTTGTATTACCAGATAATAATTTTATAAATCGAATCCCGATTGTATTTACACATCTTTATAATACTCCAGCTTTATTTTTTTATTTTTTATAAATCTATGTTACCGGTAATTTTGACAATCAGGAAATGAAATTTTATAACGATAATAAGCAATAACATATATTTACAGTAAAATTACATATTAATTTTATATTTAAATAAATAGCTTTTTTTTATATTTTAGATTATACAGTGGAACGAGGAATGTAGTGCTTTTTCATTGATGTTTATTATTATTATTATTTTTTTTTGTTTTGTGAACACTTTTTTTTTACTAAAAAGCCTTCTATGATTATCAAGTATAGGATCTTTTCTAAAAGGAAATGTTCTCTGGGTGGTACTTTAGAGAGATCATTTTTCAAAATTCTCATGAATATTCAAGATAATAAGGAAAACATCGGCTTTTAGGTTAAAAAAGATTGAAAGATTGAAAATAAGGTTGTTATTGGGAGCCGTTTTTTTTATTTTTATTTGTTATTATTAAGTTTTTATTACTTTATAATTTTTTAAAAAATCATTGCTGTCATGGAAACATACATTTTAATCGTTTTATCATAATATGATATGTACCATATGCTGTATTGTTGACAAAGCAACACTATAAACACATTTCCGCTTAGAATCGCTTTTTTCGTTAGCAATGGATAAACAATTGCTATAGATGCTACCGTTGCTTGTAGGTACACATTAAATTCCTTTCTGTACCCTACTCTCCCAATTTCTAACCTATAATAATAACTGCACTTACGAGCGAAGTCCTTTTTTACATTTTAGATTATAAGTGGAGCGAAGAAGCTTATGGTTTTACAAAGATGCTTATTTTTTTTTTTTATCTATGCGTAATTTTTCTATCAGAAAACTTGCTCAATTTTTTAAGTGTAGTACCTTTTCTGATAAGAAATTGGTGTAGGGAGGTACTTAATGGAGGTCATTTTTCGATTTTTTTTAAAATTTTATCATTAAATTTGAAAAATTGAAAAAAAAAACTGAGAAAAAACGGGAATACGTATGAAATACATTACTAAAATATTACGAATTATTTATTATTATTATATTATTTCTGAGGCATTGTCAAAATTTCCTGAAATGTCAATATCACCGGTAATATATTTATATAACTTAAATATACCTATATTATTATTTTGTTGATCAATAAAAAATCACTTTTGATTCTTGTTTCTTTTTTTTTTTTTTTTTGGTGGAGGGAGGATTATTTAAAACGTTATAATATGTACCTATTAAATATATTGTATTAAGTGCTGCAAGCATTGGATTTGGCAAAACTTGAAAAATAGAGAAATCAAAAAACTGTTTTCACGGATGTAGGTTTAAGGATTTAATGTTTTATATTTTTGAACAATAAATTTGTTTTTGTAAAAATTTTAAACTTAACTGACACACCTCTTTTTTCTAATTGTTGTTAAATTATTCAAAACTACATTGGTAAAACAAAGATGGGCTATTTTAAAAAAAAATTGTAATATGATGTGATTGATAGTATTTTAAAGTTTTTAGAAATTGAATAACAATATTATATTCGGTCTGTAATATTTCAGTATGTTCACTTACTCAAAATGGTGTGTTAAAAACGATATTGCTTTTTCGGATATGGTGCACATTGAAATTAAAGACTGTAATACAATTTTCGGTTAAAACATATTTTTTCCAGATTTTTGTACGGTTCTCAAGAAATGATAAGATTTAAATTGACCTAGAAAAAAAGTTGTTTTACCAAATTTAAGCTTCCAACGTTTTTCTTGGCTCTGGTTTTTCAAATTACGCGTAAAAAGAATTGGATTTTTCATTTGATGGTAATTATTTGAAAATTGTATCAAAGTTCAAAATAAATTATCCGTAAAATAGTTTTCATGTTTTTATTTTATCAATATTGTAGGTTTGACAAATATAGCATTTTTTCATGCCGTATCTCACAGATGTAACATTTCTGCTCAGTAGTCCTTTATATGAAATATTAGTGGACATTTTCAACAGTTCATCCATTGTGCCTTATTTCTTGTTGTGACTCAAAATTATTGAACTCGTATAAATATCATAAAACTTGTCATAATAATTTTAAATATTTTACTGCATCTATAGAATAGGCTAATAATAATACAAGAATTTTGTGAAAATTACAGGTTTTTAACCGAATTACAACAAAATCACAAAATCGAAACTAATTAAATCGTTATTTTCCTCAGTCATTTTGAAAACTGCACGGAAAATTAAAAACCGTTTTCTCCAATTCCCTAACTAGATTCATAATGGTACTTGTACCAAAAAGACATGTATGTAGAACTATGAATTTTTTTTTTTTTTTTATGTGCTCATCTCTTGAATAATAATTTCGAGCTGTCGTTAAATTGACTGAGTAAAAATAATATAATATTTTTTTTAAAAAAGTAAATTGTTTTATGTACTTGACATAGATAATAACCTGTCGGCTGTGTAATCAAGTGTGTATACGATTTATTTGTAATCGGTATACATAATTAGATTGTATACTTGCATTTTATTTTATAAACAAACAATTATTTTCAACTTTATCAGTAACTTGTCAAATTTTTTATTCAAAGTAATTTATTACAAATACTATGTTCTCGGACTATTATAGGTTTTAAAATTTTTCAGTGATTATACTCGATCAATTCGATTTTGCGTAATTTTGTAATTATCGTTATTTAATACGTTAATTGTCCGTAATTTTTATGTTTAATAACTTAAATTATCACGACCTTAACGATTAGCTTAATGATATCACAGATGTATAAATATAAAAAAAATTATTATAATATTTACTCAATACTCACACATACCACTTTTTAGTATGTACACTGTAAACTTATTAATACATTTTTCGGTTTTATGTCGTTAAAAATCTTCTATAGGACCAAATCTTAGGAGAGAAAGATATTACGATTGTTCAAAAGGTATATTTTTTTTTAATATAAATTTTGACCCAACTTAAATAATTTTGAGTACGTAGTAAACAAATTCATTCAAAATCTTCGTATAGATAATCGCTCGTATTGGATAAACGAATCAACCTACGTTTAATAATATATTAATACGATATTAGAACAGATATGTATTGTTAAATGTTACATGCAATGGACGTTTTAACATTAAACATTGTAAAACTAATTTAGTATTCATGGATATGGGGAAGCGGATTTTTATACGTTACACGGGTTACAATGATAAAATACATGGCATACCTTATTGTGACGTCTTCTTAATGAACTAAATTGTATTTAATTTAAGTTTTGCTATTTTGTACACGATTTTATTATAAGTCAGTTTAAACCGTAGTATTTATTATTGATATAAAAATGTATTTGTAAGTATTTGCACTGCGGATACCGATCAATAGTTGTTTTTTTTTTTATAAACATATATGAGAAGATTGAAAAAAAAAAAACTTCTCTATTTAGCTGCAGATCTGCAATACCATATAGTTTATTTACAAATAGTTTTAATAAAGAGAGCGCACTAATCGTGTTAGAATAAGACACTTGGTGTTTTTTGTCACAGCACGTATTTCAATGATGCAAATCGGATGAATAGAAAAATAAAATAAAACGACATATACTCTTATATTTAAGTCATGACACTCGTGTATAAGTAGCTGTAAGTACAGTACCTATACCTACTATAAAAATGTGATGTTTTACCATTATGTCTGAACATTATTGAACATTAACTAAATAATATGTGTAACCTACATATTGCTCTTGTAGGAAACCAAATACATCCTAATTATGGGATCGTTTATGTTGCGTAGTCACGACAATATAGATTTCATATTTTAATAAATTACTGATCATCGAGATGGGATTTTTTGACAAATTCGTCCTTGAAGAATTATGACACGAGAACACTGCAACAGATAGGTAAGCAAGAATTTTTATTGCGTTCAAATGTAATTCTAAACGTACATATTCTCAATTAAAATGGTGGTACCTATTTTTAATTTTATTTCGAACATAGAGAATCGGGAAAACAATTTTGAGACGAACTAATATAACAGAACAAGCCGAATATGGGTACACATCAGTTATTACATTTGATAACTAATTAAGACTCAGTCGCGCTTTACATTTTGACTGTGATATGACTGATGATGAATTTTTAATTCAAAACCAGTCGTATAATACACATATACATCATAATACTCCAGGCGACGCATCGGTTCATTTATTTATTTTATTTTTGTGTAAACATTTTTTATTTATATATTTAACTGTTTGATTAGTGTTCCACTACTTTACCTAAATTGAAAAATCGAATATCTCGTTAACGGATATGACGGAAATCAAAAATTTTAAAATACAAATTTACTAAAAGTAATACTCCGACTATTTATGGAATTTTAGATTCCGAGCGTAGCGAGGGGAGCTGTTGGTTTTACATTGCTATTTATTTTTTATATTTTTCTTTGTTCTAGTCTGTGGACACGTTTTTTTTCCTAGTAAACTTACTTCGATCTTTACGAACTTCAACTTTTCCGAAAGCTCCAGTCGTCTATATGGTACTTTAAGCGGGTAATTTTATTGAGTTTTGACGCCATTTATTGAATAAAAGCACTTAAGTGGAAAAAAAACGTACGAAAAGGTACAATTTCACGATTTCATTATTTTATAAAAACACGGACGATGTTTTATACCAGAAAAAAATGATTTAATCAAAAAATCACAAAACACCTTTTTTGTTTCCTTTCTGATATACATTCTGTATGTGTGTATAAAAAAAAAAAATTTAAATAAACATCATTATAAAACCAATAAATTTCATAAAGTTCTCGTTTCACTCAGAATTTCTAAAAACTAAATTTCATATATTTTAAATAATCTATTTATATAAAAATTAATGTTTATCTTTATGTCTCTTATGCCTTTCTAAACCGTTCATCCGATCACCATGAAACTTTAGGAAGTTGTTGAGTACAAGTTTTTTGGCATACCGAGTACATCTATGACATTTTTCGATAGCTCCACTATCACCCATAAAAACCGAGTGTTAGGTACTTTTGGTACGAAGATAAAATATTTTATATACGGATGCAAGAACAAATATTAGTTAACCAGGTTGCCACGGGCAAATTCTTGTTATGTCTATGGTATGCATTCTATGAGTGTGTAAATAGGTGACTACGTATTTTTTTGTCGAGATTGTAGAGATTGTAATGACAATTCCAATTAAACATTTTTAATTTGAATTGTCAGCGAAGAAATATTGTGTACACTTTCAGTTCATGGGTGATACAAGACTTACCTAAAACATATGATATTATATGATATATAAGAAAATGCATTTTTAAACATTTAAGAGCAACAACGGTTAACTGCAAGTAATATTGAAGGAGATTGAAATGAGAAACCTAGGAGGAAATCTCTTTTATTAGGCACACATTATTTAGGATGGGCATCGCAGGGCGGGACAGCTAGTGTTCTGTATTCATTAAATCATTATAAATCATTAAATGTTAACTTATGTACAAAGATATTGTATTTTGTACATTTGAGTGATATTTCAGATCTTAGTTTTTTGGTGTTATTGCGAATTTTTTTTTGTAGCATGGACAGTAAATTGCTTTAAAAGTATGATAAAATATATGGGGGGGGGAGGGGTGAAAGTTATGTCCACCAAAGTGTATAATACTTAGTGAAAGTTTTTAATTGTGAAATTCAAAGGAAATATACAAAAGAATTTTATAAAACACGTATATTATGTTTAAATATAGTAGGTTAACGCTCAGTTTGGTTTCGTTATACGTGGGCACCAAAACACCTTAAAAAAAAATCTATGTTTTAACTTAGGGTCAAACCGTAACGTTATTCTAGCACTCGCTTATTGTAATATTTAACCTGTCGGCTCGAAAACCATATCAACGTATTTATATAAATTTTACAAGTTTGTATCGGCACAATAATTGTAATTTGGACACATCTAAAAATCTTCATAAAAGCTATTTTCAAAAAATGCGGACGACAGCGTCACGATACTCCAGTAGGTACCTCAGTATAATGAATAATGATTATGAACTGTGTGAAATATATACCAAAAGCTCGTCCTTTAAATCAATACACATAAACGCGTGGTGTGCGTAGTTTTGTCTAAAATCCTTACAGGAAATTGACAATATGATTACTTTACATAATTAAAATACTCTATGTAAATCATCCGGAATAATTTAATAATTATTAAGAAGGACGGAAACAAAATAAATACATATTTTATGATAATGTATAAACGAAATACAATACCTACAAGTAAAACGGCAAAAGTCAATATTTAATATTACCTATATAAAGATACACAAACATTATGCATAGTTACACACATATTTTAAATGTACAATATATATTTATATACCTATCTTACAAATACAAACAGAAAAAAAAAAAAACTGTACAGGGTGTTCCACGAAGATAATCAAATTCTGGTTTTTTTTTTTTTATATTACTCACAGGGATGAGGACTACAAATATTTATATTTGAATTAATATTGTTTTTTTTCCTATTATTTTCGGAAAATTTGACGATAGCCATTTTTTAAAGTTTATTTTTCTGATAATTTTGACGTTTCAACTAATTATTTTTATTAATTGTCTGGTTTTTAATCATTTTTTTTAATTCCAGAGAAAATAGGTGGACAGTCAATTAGCCATAGTAATAATTGATATTATTATATTGATTATTATTCCGATTACCTATAATTTTTTTTACTAATGATTGATAATTTTAATAATTATCTTATCTATATAATATTATGTAGGTTCACTGTGCTAGGAGCCGCAATTTTCGTTCTCGTAATAACTTATTTGTTTAGGTACTATAGTCAATGATTGGTACATTTCGGTTATCAAAACTTAGGTAATATAATCATAAATATTATACCCAAATATGGGTAACTAAAGTTCGTTATAATATGATTATTATAATCATATTTTAATATTCTGTATTTTCTATGATGATTCAAACTACACAAGGTGTGTTGATAAAACTTGAAATAACATTTATCATTTTTTTCATTATCATATTATAAAACTAATAACCATATGATACAAACGACTTTTAAAAAAGAAAAAAATTGTGTTATCTCTTATTGTACCTGTGATTCGTAAGCAAAATTCTACACTTTGAAAAGTTCTTGAAGCCGGTATGTTTCTTTCCGGATACATTTGCTGATAAAAAAAGGGCAACTCGTTTACATTTCTTACCTACTTCTTCATAAATCAACAGTATATCAACATATTCAGAAATACTAAAAATTGATAACATTTTTTTTAAAAAATATACTTAAATTTTGTACTACTATTTAATATTATTACCAATTTGTTTTATTATACTGTACAATTAAATATTATGTATGTTGATTGTCTAGTTATTATAAAGTTTTTTTGTTTTCATAATTGAACTTACGTGTTTACTTATCAATAAACTGAATAATAATACCAAAGTAAATGGATTTTTAATTGGAACTGTGTTTATTTTATTAGAATTATGTAATATTTATCATTAATCAATAAGTTAATTTGGATCCTTAATTAACAAAAAAAAAAACAAATTTTCCTAGTATATGAATAATCATTTAAAGTTTAAACTTTGAAAAAGTTACAATACCTATTTTTATTAAACTTAATTATTTTTAATTTTCAAAATTGTTAACACTTACATTGTTACTACATTATGGGAAATAATGACAAATATCGTTTGTCTCGTTCTGAGTTGGGTTCTTCGAATTATATTAAAGAACCAGAAGACATAGAAAAGGAATACAACGAATATAAGGACCTCTGTGTGCAGTTAATTAATGAAAATGATGAGCTGAAACAGGTAATATATTTAAAAATATTTTTCTTTCAACTTTTATACTTTTATTATTATAATAAAATAAAATGAATCAATTATATGTCTTATTTTCAAATTTTTAACTATCTACAACAATAATTTATTACTTACTAAAATTAATTTATGACAATTTTAAATTTTCATTAATCAAATTAATTTGGTTATATTTGTAGGAAAATTCTTGAATTAAAAAAAATTTGGTTTGGAAGAACTTATAGTTGTTGAATTGGAGAGCTTTAATATACAAATGGTAAAGGAGAATAATGAAATGAAAGAGTCTCTGGTAAATGAAATGGTCCAAAATAAAATCATAAGTTTGTAAATAAATTATTTACTTTAAAACTCTAAATTAAATTATGGGAAAATCAAAAAAAAGATTTTGAATTTAAAATAAAAGCTCTTCAATCCATAATGGATGAAGAGAAAAATAAACATATGAATTCATCGTTAGAACTAACCAAATCACTTTTATATGAAGAAATAGTATTAACATTGAAAATGGAAATATGTTCATTACGCAAAAATTATACATTATATACAATAATTTTACATAATTCAAAAAATAAAAATAAATTATCAAAATATTTACAAATAAAAAACTAATCATGCAATTTTTAGAAATAAAGCAAGAATTTCAATTAGCCAAGAAGGTTCATGAAAATACAATTAATAATATGAACATCAGTGGGCAAATAATAGATGAACAAAGGGTATGTATGCTACCATAAAACTTCTCCAAATTTTTTTTACAATATGTTACGAGGAGTTATTTACATTTTATTTTTATTTTAGTGTGATTCTAAGTGGAGTGCTAAGCACTCCGATTTGGCCTTCTTCTACAAGAAAATGGAGATAACACACTTCCAATATAAATGTGAAATAGATGTGGCATTAAAACGTCAGAGATATTAGAAGTAGAAAAAATGAAGTAACTATAAATAATAATAATAGCTACACATTTATAGGCTTTGAGTTACTAACTAAGATTATTTTGTATCAGATGTTATATGCATGACCGAAAGACAGGGGTGGATAAACACCTCACACCTCCTGATTGCTGGATAAAATAGAATATTTAAACAAACATGATACACATGCATTTTCTGATGAAGATAATTAAACATATTTATGAAAATTCTATTATAACGTTCAGTTATTTTTCAATGTTTCCCTACATTATCTCTAAGTAGGAAACTTAATTACTTATTTCAAATAAAAATCTCTGCAATTATTAACCCAATATTACATTAAACATAATAAGTATGTTGATCTAATTTATAAACTGCGTGAACAAGGGACTTCACATGGAAAGATCATATTGTACATATTGTACACATAGTACCTATATAACTACTTAACAAAAAAAATAGTGAACAATTTGATATTTAATTTTAGTATCATATGAAGGCCATGATAGATAACCAATATATTTACACAGGTATTACACTATATACGGTATTTGTAATTATTTTAATGATGCAATTTATATGTTCACTAAAAAAACTATTAAGATGTATATGTGTATAATTAATTTTTGTACGAGTATTATTAATTTGGTGAATCATTTAACACATAAAATAGGGTTTCGTTAATCTAAACGGAATTGGGGAATTGGGTCGGTTTAATTACCGAAGACTAGCTATGACTAGTTAACTAATATTAAAACCAATATTCTTGAAATTTAAACTTAAAGATTAGTTTTTAAATTTATTAATATAATGAAAATTTAAAATTTAATTAATAAAATTAACACTGGTGCCTATATGCTGATCAAAATGTTCTCCAGTCCGTTTAGATTACTGTGTATTTCGAATTAGCTTGTTTGGATTAACGAGACTCTAATGTATATTAAAACACATTTTTTTTTACTAGCAACCTTTGTTTAAAAATAACAAAATAAAATATACACAAAATAACTTGAGTTAATATTTGTTGGCTAAATGATCAAAGAAATGATAATTATTATTATAATAATACATACGGGTTTGCAACTAGCAGAGTATTCATGTATAATATAATAATATTATAAATGTTTCAAACAATTTAACTATCAGAACGAAATTAAATGTCACACATGACACAAATATGGTAGAAAATTATGTTATCATAACAAAATGAACTCAAATTCATAATAAGAACTTGATTTCACAGACATTCTAATAAAAAAGAAAAACAATGTAAAAAAAGACGTCTTAAGATAATGGAGACGGATGCATCTACTGTTGTAGGTAGAGTATGGGTTCTAAACTTGGGGTAATAACTCACACGTAAAAAAAGTAGATACGCAGCTTAACAGTATAATGAGAATAGTTAGTGGAACTGTTAAATCCACACCACTCCATTGGTTGCCGGTACTAACAAATATTAAACCATGACATATACGAAGAAAAGAAACACTAATAAAAACCATTAGGAAGTCTGAAGATCAAAAACGCTCACTCCTATACCAGATGCTGCTTCAAACACCCGAACAGCGATTAAATTCAGAAGTCCACCAGTTGAGACTGCTAGATAACTGTCCAGTTCAGTATTTGATGGTGCTGGGGAATGACAGAGAGAATGGACTAGCGCTACTGTATCAAACGGGAAATTAGAACACGACCCTAACATTGGAGTCCTAGGGATGAATCTCCTCCGTAGCACCTGGTGTACACTAAATACACTACGAATAAGCCATGGCGGGTGCGGTACTCTCTACATAAATGGGGATTTCGAGACCTGTGACTGTGGCAACGAGGATCAAACTAAATAACCATATCGTTGAATGCTAAAGAAGAAAATTTAGCCAAGGTTTTGAAAACCTACATAAAGTGACTCCAGATGCAATAAATTGGATTAGTAACCTCGACATAATATATGACCTCGACTCAATATGAAGAAATTATTTTAATAAGTTATTAAGTTATTAAATATATTCCTATCTAATCTATTCATAATCTATGCATAATGCATATTATGTAGTTTTAGTTAAGTTGATTTGTGTAAGCCTATATTAAAAAGCATTGGCTTAAATTAAACCAACAAGTTTTTACAAAATTATTATGCAACAAAAAAAAAAATAACACTAATTTTATTTTAGTTATTGAATATTTTTAGCTTTGACTTATCATTATAACTGATCGTAAGGGCACATAAAGAATTTCGATTTTACATCCTCAGTATCAGCTCTTTTTTTTTTTTAATTACATTTTTAAATATTTTCACCGTGATTTAAAATGTTCTAAATATTTTTTTTAGTTATAATGTCGGGGATTTGATAAACTAACATTTATTTCATCTTCTTGTGTATCTATAATACTATGCTATAAAACGGCTGAATAACAGAGACACTAAATGGGGTGAATAAGTAAATATTTATATACCATACCAGCCGGTGCATAATATTCTTTGATATATTTTAACTTTTTTGACGACCACAGTATTGTTACTCTCCAAAACCATAATATTTATACACATAATATTTCGTGAAAATATATAATATTACGTGTAATTTAAATATTTAAATTTATATTTTAAAATACATAGGTAAATTCCTTTAAATATAGTTGGGATTTTATGTTTCGATATCAGTAAAAAATATTTTCTAAATATGAACTTCAGGAACATAAATTCCTATCGCTCACTAGGTCACACGAAATAACACGCATATAATCTTTTAATGCCTAAACTAGTATTTTATTTAATTTAAAAATAATCCCAAGAAGGGAATCAAAATACTTCCACGGTACTTTAATTTGTCATAAAATGTGACAAATAGGATTGCGTAGTTGGCCAGCGTAGCTGGTGTACAATTTTGTCAAACAGTATGAGGACTTCTAAATAAGTCTGGAAGATTGTCCCATCTTTGATGTGCGTAGGGATAACATGGGATAGAAGGTCATCTAGTTTTGTCATGGTGGATGATGTTTGAAGATGATTTAGATTTGATAGGAGAAAACCTAGAATAAGTATTACAACAGGCTTGAAAAATGGATGTAGCAGTTTAAAGAAAAGGACCAAAGATAGAAGTAGAAGTGAAACGGGGTATGAATTTGGGGGAACAGTACAACAAAGCTGGCGAATAGATATTAAGCGTTGCCGTGTAATTGGTGTGGTGAAGAGTTTTAAGTACTTAGTGTGAAAAATAACGGTGGGCTTTGGCTTTGATGAAACATAGGATTAAGTCCAATCCAATGTTAGTACAGTTTAGCGTTTTAGATTAACTTTGTACTTATACTTACTATGTATAACGATATATTACATAGTTTATACCTGGATTGAATTTTTAACGTGGTATATTATGTAATAATAAAATCGCACTTAAATTTAAGAAAATATTCCAGACTAAGGAAATTATATTTTTGCAGTTTTACACATACTTACCGATTATAATATATTATGCCGATTTTTTTTTCGGTTTCACGCTATCTTCATGACTTAATCTGTCTAAAAATTTGATTCATGAACGTTCAAGCACATGCTCAAATAAAAAAAATAACCATACTACTGTAAAAAAAAAAAAAAAAATATGGCTTAGAAAATTATCTAATTGCTAAAATTATATTATGTAAAATTCGCTGTACACACAGTGACGTACCGATTGAGTGGCATGATACCAAACTGAGCCACGGGTCGGTGACATTTAGGAAGCCCACAAATCATGATCCAAGGTATTATTTTGAGTGGATGGATAGGTGAACAAAAAAACAGGCAATGACTTTTTTTTTGTTTGTTAAGTAAATATGAGTGAACGGATAGATATTTGAAAATAGACATCATTATCTCTTGTTTCACTTCAATCTGTATAATTTGTCATCAACTAGGATTGTGTTTTTGGCCCCAATTTGGTTATCTAATCTAAAATTTTTAACTTAACGTTTTAGTTACGCCAGTGAATATGTATACAACGCCTAGAACGTAACTAGAAAATAATTTTGGTAGTGGGGAGGGTTTTTAAACTAAAAATATGCAATGTTCTAATTTTATTCACTGAAATAATTATTTTCCTACAACATAATACAATATGGACAATTTTCGTGGGTGAGGGGTTCAACCCTTAAAACCCTTCTCAGATACAGCCTTGCATAAAGCGATAATCGTATTTGCATCATGGTCGGCAGCGGCGGTTTTGACGATTACGGCGAACGCTCAACAATATCGAATTCGGATTTCGAAATAACAGAATCGAAACGGCCAAAGTTTTATATGTTCGCTTTAATCAGTACTCAAAATTGTATGCATTTGCATATTTTTATTTATTACGTTAAAAAGTAGCTAGGTAAGACACAAATTTGAATCTTAGCCTAATTTGTTGATATGCACAATTTGAATTCGCATATTTTTGCATATTCGGAAAATTTTTGATTAATATGCATATTATTATTTTTATTGGTATTTGTAGATATATTTTGTTTTTACAGAAGTTTTACAGAAATATTACTGACGACCGACAGGTTAGTGGGGGAAAAAAAAAGTTTTGTTCACAAAAACGGAAAATATACAATTAGTATTAGTAATATTGGAAGAGAATGGGAGAATGACGGTCACCTATGGAATAGATTTTACATCTCATAGTTTTACTACTATTAATTATTTGCTTCAAAAAGCTTAATAAACTCAGATAAACTTGTTGTTTACATTATATCAAAGACTCGGATTTTTTAACAATATTTTTTTTTATGACTTTTTTGGATTAAAAAAAAAAATAATAAAAACTTAATACCGGCATGGCTCTTATAGCAGGGTGATAGTCACACATAAATGCATGTTTATATGAATAAAAACTTTATAAAACGGACTGCCAGCCTTGTGGTTTACCAAAAGACACACTATACATATTCGATATTGATATACATAGGATTGTTATACAATTATAAAATTATAGTAAATAATTATTTGGATATAATTACAAGTATTATTAAAATATAAAATAT